TCCTAGGCAACTATACTAACAAAAACGGTGTTACTTTAATTATCTTAATATTTTATACACAGCTAATTAGATATCAAAATAGATTGTTAACCAAATTTGTTGTTGCTGAATTACATGAGTTTGAATTTAAAACCAATTTTTTATCAACAAAATCAATATAAAGTTTCTTAAAAAAGTGGTTCCCATTTTCCAGGCTCTTGTTGTAGATATCCTGGATTTACTTCTGCGAAGTACCTTACAGAGAGGAGAAGGGGGTACTGCTACTCATTAGTTAGGGGATAAAAGGCCCCGTTAGGCATAAGTCAAAATTTTTGGCATCAGTTAGTTGAAATTTCTTTTAAGGACATAACTCCTGGTTTTAACGTTTTATATACAAAAAAACAAGATGCCTATGAGTTGTTAAATGAATTTTGATCTAAAATTTTCTGCAACAGGATGTTTAGAAAGTTTTATCCTCCATATAAATATAGCAAATTTTACTATAAAGGGGCAATTGATGGACCAAAAAAGCGCTATCATTCATGAGAGACAACATAGGAAAAATCCGCATATTACGTAATCAAAAAAAGACAATATGATAAAATTCTTTTCCTCCTAAATTTTCATTTAAATTGCTTTAATAATAGGCCATAATGACTATAAAATTTGTGTCAATCCCCTCCCTCTATCTTTAATTACGTAACATGTGAACGTCCCCATACCCAATAGCCAACAATTTTGTCTTGTTACAATTATTCTGAATGGAAAGAGCACAGGGTAGTGCTAACTTTATTTTTCCAAATTGCAAGCCTTATCAGCTATTCGATATAAGGCACTCGAAATGATTTGCATTAGCCATAAAAACGAATATGGTTAGTCATTACTCCTGGGTTAACACAAAATTAGTCATTATTCAGTTGGCAAAACAATCTGCTAGTCAAAATCTCTTTCCAGAAATGGAAATTGGTTAAAGTGCTTGAAACAAACTTGCTTGAAAAAAATAAACAAGTTTCTAGGGAGAGTAGGCCTTCTTGGTGCTACCACAATTGCGATACTGCTGTCAATAACACAAAATGTGTTCTTTTGAAGTATGTTAGAAAATCACCAGAATTTGCAGATGAAACAGGAATTGGTAATTTTTGAAGTTTATCTTAATTTTGCTCAATTCAAAGGTGAAGCTAAGCTTTTTATGTTAACGCACTTTCGACAGGCCAATTGATGCCTGTGATCATTTTTTGTTCTGTGGGAAGATTATTTGCCTTTTGAAAACTTTAAAGCTTTTTGAAAAAAGCTAGAAGCAAACAACGCACGGGTAAATTTGCTGGTGTCCCGGTGGGCCAGTCCGCTACTGGTAACTGAAGTAGACTCTGAAGTTTAGAAAATCGATATAGGAGGCTTTTGTCTTAGGCCTCTCAGCTATCTGGTATATCATTGATTTACAACAATTTGCTTCAAACTGTTGTGTTATTATATATGTTTATGAAACAAGTGTCTCAATGCACACTAAAAGCTTTGCTCGTCTAACTGAGGCCTTAAATAAGGACCTTGATACCTAATTGATAGGGAATAACCCTGGGTACCAGAACCATAAAACGTCGAGCGTAGAAATGAAAAGGAGAAGCGGAAAAGCGGAGAAGCGGAGAAGTGGAGAAGTGGAGAAGCGGAGAAGTGGAGAAGCGGAGAAGCGGAGAAGCGGAGAAGCGGAGAAGTGGAGAAGCGTCTAGCTAAGATGAGATATAAGATTCCTCGCCCCTATCCATTATTTCCACACTTTATATCATATATCATATTATATCATATAAATATTTAGGCACGATGCCCTATCAGCTATTAAAAAGTGTAAGATTTATAAATTGCTATATAATATAAAACCCAAAAGGCTGCTCTTCCTGGGGGTCGTGCTTTTAATTACCACTAAGGTAGATGAATGCATCCAGATCCCCGCCGCCCCACAACACCCAGAAGGATGGCACCCCGCAGGCCCCAGTTCTGCCTAAAACAGACCAAACCAAGACCTACTGGGCCCCACCCTCAAAGCGCCACGAGGCCCCAGAGACCAAAACGCACCCAACCACATTAGTGTTAGAGTTATAAATAAAATGAGCTGGGCTGGAGTTTATGTTGCTCTGGTACCCAGGGTGATCACTGAAGATGGCTTAGATTCAGCCCTGGTTGAGACCGGGGTAGCTCAGTTCACTCTGAACAAAGCTTAAGCTATTGAAAATTTGGTAGCTTTAATATTGCATTTTGCGCATCTCATGTATCCTATTATATTGAAATACTGAAAATGGCATGTATGCAAATACGGGCAGGTTACATCATTCATTACTTGTAGGAACTTTTAAAATCTGAAAATGTTTTCTTTTTGACGGAGAGAAAACATTTATTGACAGTATCAAAAAACTATTATCTTTGCTGTATTTAAGATACAACGACCATGTGAAATAAAACAGCATAAAAAAACGGACTTGACCAGCCTACTTTGATGTAAATTGCGCTGTATTGCAATATGATTGAAAAACCAAGCAATATGGCATCTTGCAACGAAATAAAACGGTAAAGGCAGAGGTATTTACGGAATTGGAATAATTCATGATGAGGTTCATGCTGCATAACTCTCGGTCCATGTTCCCCTTTCGTATGGCTAGTCTCCCAGGTACATTGCATTAAAACTAAAGTTACATTTTTCTAGAATATCTGGAAACCTGGTAAACTTGAGAAATGTAAAGTATCAAATTTTGTAGATGTTTTTGTGGTTATGGATACTCTTTTACGCCGTTTACATGGAGCAAAATGAATAGAACCGCGACGCTGATCCTTAAAAAATATCCCGTATAAACGCTCGAGCGCGACCGTTTCGGGGGTGAATTGGAAATTGGATCATGACGTCTCAGATATCATACGTACATGTGAAGATAAAGAAGAAGATGATGATGATGAAAATCAAAAGAAGATAGAGTATGGAATAACGATAAGGCTTTATCAGGGTATAAATCAAGGGTGTAGTGCTAGGGGGCACAGGGGTGCTGATCCCGCCTTGTTGATGCCAAAAATTGGCAAATTTCTACTTTTGCTATTGCTACTTGCAACATTTTGGGCACAAGGCCCCCCTTGTTCTTTAGATAGTACTACAACACTGGTATAAATTGAGGCCATTGTTATTACCGTGCATTAAATAAAATGATGAATGCCAGTTCTCTATTGTTTGAAAGTAATGCTAAGTCTTTCAATTCATTGCAGATTTAAGATACTCATTCAATTTATTATAGAACCTCAGAACTTCGAAAGTCGTTAGATTTTACAAGCTTAGCGCTTTAAGATTTATTATGCAGTATTTAAAGCTCAACATTAAAATGGAAAGTTTCGAATATCAATAAAGATTTTAGGAATTCTCAAACTCTCATTTAATCTTCTTTCTTAGCAAATCGCCTTACTTTGAATACACAATAACAACTTTTGGCAGGTGACTTGTTTTAATCTTTATCAGGTCGAAAACCGCATCATCTGTTCCAATCAACCTTCCAGTCAATCCCTCGATTTTCCAAGAGATGAAAAGCCCTCGCTAGGTCTGAACATACTTGATGTTAATAGAATGTTCAAGCAACTTTTCCCTCGCAATAACCGACTATAACCACAGTTCTTGTAGTTAGATTTTCAGCAGTTTTTTAAACCAATCATTCAAATTGAGATATGTATATGAATATTGTATATGAAAAATTTGAAATGAATTGGATGAAATTAGTTTTTTAAAAAGAAATGTAGAAAATTACATATAATTTCTTTATTTTAACGCATTCTTCATACATATCTTCAAATAATAATTACAATTCCCAAAATCTCTAAAACTAATAACAGAAAATGTATATTAACTTTTCTTAGAAATTTTACTTGCTTTATGTTAAACATGCGAGACAGATTTAATGGTAGCACGATCAAGCATCAAGCACAAAAGATTTACATAATTTTCGTCGAGACTCAATGCTAGAAAAACTTAAATTCGACCTTAAATCTATTCTTAAATAGTTCTTAAATGACAACATGGGGACAATTTTGCTAGGAAATGGAAAATAAGAGAAAAGCCTCCTGTTTAATATGATGAACAGACAATAAATATTATCAAAAAAAGTATTATATAAATTATATTCTATGTGTGAAATTAAATTGACGTCAGGTCCAAATAGAAAGCACTAAAAGATAAGATAAACAGGAACAAAGCAATACGACGACGAGAATCCAATTTCACGAGATAAAATTTTCAAAATATATTAAATTCAAAGAATATACTAATATTTCGCCCCGGCATACAGGGCTTCATCAGTGTAAAAAGATAAGCTGTGACATCATCACACAGAGATACGACCCCGCAAGCCACAAAATTTCATAAACCCCCTCCCCCCTACGCATGAAAACACAAAGAGATTTTATTTCAAGCAAACATCAGATCTCTTATCAACTCAAATGCCTATCTCATTTCCTTGCTTCAAATTACGCATGCTGCACTTCTGTGGGCAGATCCTAACCTGCAAACCTCAATTGACAGTTTGTTTTCTATAACATCCAAGGAACAAGTGAACAGACGAACGGGAGGCGTTGTAAGGGCTGTGATAGTTAACCATTCATGAAATTTCAAAGCTGAAAGCTCTATAGCAAAAAGAAACGTTCTATTGTGCTCTCTGCGATCAACTACCGAAGCAATGGCCAATATATGAAGAATCACTTCACGCTTCTGGTTTGCAATATTCAAATCAAATTTGCATAGTTGAAAGATTTTTTGATCAACTACCGAAGCAATGGCCAATATATGAAGAATCACTCCACGCTTCTGGTTTGCAATATTCAAATCAAATTTGCATAGTTGAAAGACTTTTTGATGATCGAGATGAGGGATGATATAGCGATTCAGGCGTAAAAGAGATACGATTTATTGCACTGGACACAATACTGTTGACCAATAATCCATCCGCATTTTCTAACAGTTGTTTTGCTGAAGCATCTGTTCGCAAGCTTTTTAGCGCCGCTCAAGAAGAATTTGTCATTACAGAGTTGCTGCTGGCTATGAAGACTTTGAGACTCATCCTCTTGCTCTTTTCATTCGTTTTGCTTCCATTCTACACTGTCAATTCCAGCATATGCACAATCAATTGCGTTGCAAAGGTAAGGTATTTGGTTCACCATTCATTATATAGTTTAATAACTTAACCAAGATATCATACGAAAATTTAGCGTAAGCAGAAGTCTATTCTTTAAAATATCATTTGCATAAAATAAATTAAGCAGCATTTTGTGCACTAATATTTATTTGGTTGTTAAAGTTGTGGTTTTTTAGAACAATGTATTATTTCAAGCATGTGGTCTACTCGATCCCATCAAAATATATATAAGCCCATTAACATTTCGCTCTGCTTTGCACTTGAGAGTGAAATAGTTATGATAAAACTTTCGTAATTTCATAGACCAATATTCAATGCTCATAGCTTTGCAGAGGTTTGAGAAAGTTGTCTTTTTGTGAATGAACAGCTTTTTATACGAATCAGTTTCAATTTGTAATCACACATAATTTTTACAAAAAATAACTTGAAAGAGCTATCAAAGATTTTCGGGTCGTTCACTTAAAACGGAAAGATCGCTGAGTTAAAGGCTTTCTCGGAACTTGATTAGCAACTTCAAACAGAGTTAACAGTGGCTGCGAATAAAATCGAGTTTCTTTTACTCGTTCCTGATAATTAGCAAAAAATTATGGATCACATTTGCAAGCAAAATTCCAAACCATTTGCATAACTAAATAATTGTGTCTGCTTCGATTCTAAAGGGAAAACTTTATTAAGAAACCCTTAGAATTGTAAGGCTAATTAAGTCGTGCTATGAAGGATGTGGCGATTCCTTCTAAATAATACTACATTTATTTCCAGCGAGATTCATTTATCAATCATGAAAGCATGTCATATGCATATCTATCTTATTGCTGACCATATTTGAACTCGCCGTACCTTCAAGAATAATCTGTTGAATTTTCGTTTCAGTATCTTGCATAGTTTTAGAGAAAAATGCATTCATACAAATATAAATAACGCTCATCAAGTTCAAGTGCCCCCTCCACCTTAGATTACAGTGAACTTAGATCCCCCTCCACAGTACCAAATGACTACCACATTTAAATCGAAAATCACTTCCCCAATGTTCCATCAACTAAGGTAAACTACAAAGGAGAAGAGTACTGAGGGTTCAAGAGAAGTCGTGTGCTTATTTTAATCAGTTGTTGCTAAAATAATACTTAGAACTCAAGATTTGAGAAGATATCGACAATGACAACAACAAAATCATCAACGAAAATAACGGTAACGTTGGTGATCATGACGATTATGGTAGACATGATGATTATGATAGCAATAAAGCTACTTGCCAGTAGGCTAGCATTTAATACTGTCAATAATGGGAAAGAATACATTGCTTCGATCAAACCTTATTGCGTATTGCTTCGAGTAAAAATGACCCCTTCCCTCTAAAGCCGCCACAAACAAACACCATTTCAATGTAATGAAAGCTTTCTTTTACAAGGTTCTCTTAAGATTACCTTCTCATTCGCAAGCTAACTTATTGTTTTAAAGAACGAAAAGAAGGCTAGGAAAATTGACCTGGTCTTCACAATCTAATGCTCTTCTTACAAGACAAGCCTTCAAATTCGCCTCTTTGTAAACAGGCCCTAAGAAAAAGAGTTTTTTGTTTTTTTACCAGCCTGTCATTTGTGGTGACCCTAGATAAAAATATCCAAGTTGCAAGAAACCGCAAAATAGATACTGTAGTCTTAATAACTGATAAGTAAGTTGCTTTTCTAACTAAAATATGATGGTTTCGATTCCTTTTTGTCGATTAAATTCACTCATTCATTCAGTGTAGCATCTACAATTACATGATCCGTAGGTCGCTTACTATTTTTCCACCAAGCCCTATCCTTAGACATTTTTAAGCATACCATAATTCCAAATGTTCGCTCACTCTTTTACATCATCTATCCATATCCTTGCTAGTCTTCCACGAGATATTCTACCTGGAACAAACCCTTCCATGATGTTACAAAATACTGTGCCACTTGTTCCTCTTGCAACATGCCCCAAAAGCGCAGCTTTCCTTTTTGCAATTGAGTCGTTCAGTTTAAGGGTTGTGTTCATTTTCTGTAATACAGTGGAATCCCGATATAACGAACTCTGAAGGGTAGCAGAAAATAATTCCTTATATCCGGAGTTCGTTAGACCGACAGATAACGTTTTTTTGTTCCTTTCGCAGTTCACGCCTAAATCTCCAACCTCTGTGCAAATTTAACTCTAAAAAACCAATCTGAATTCAAATAATACAACTGGCTGGTCATTGAAAATGAAAATCTTAATGTTCCTTTCATAATTTGGGACCAAGAGATTGGCAAAGCTGGTATCACTTCGCTCTTAGTTGGTGCCTGAAAGATGTCTTCCATTACTTTACATTTTTATTTGCGTTTTCCTGCTTTTCCGTCTGGGTCTCGCAATTAATTTTTGTCGTCGCTCATTGCCAATGTCTCATATGTAAGAAGGTGTTCGTTAGTGTTAATGTACTCATTCGCAGTAATTTCTGACGCAAACAAACTTTCATCTCGTGCACCGAGTCCATCAGCCATTGCTTGAAATGTATCATCGACATGTTTTGCCGATTGCAAAAGTGATTTGTCCCAACATAAAGTGATAAATGAACGCCGAAAATAAACAAACAAAAATAACAGATTAAAAATTTATGAAAAGTTCGTTATATCGAGGGACATACTAGTTATGATGAAGGGACACACAATTGGGTTCGTAATATCGAGAGTTCGTTATATCCGGGGTTCGTTATACCGCGAGAGTTTGTAAGGAGTTTGTTAGGCAAAATCCAAGGGACCTGACATTTAGTTCGTTAGACCGGGAAGTTCGTTATATCGGGATTCCTCTGTACTTCTTTATTTCTAATTCTATCTTTCCATTTAATTTTCAATATTCTCCGGTTACACCATAGCTCAAATTCCTGTATATTTTCTTTTACCACTTTTCCGATGGTCCATGCCTCGCATCCATAAGTAAAAACTGACCATACACACGCTTTCAGGATGTTCGATTAGATTAACTTTTCTTTAAACAATAATGTATCAAAATTCAAGCTTTCTTCACCGGAAATTTTCTCCAGAAACGTTGCTGCCACACAAAATAATAAAAAATAACTCTCTGCACTTTCCTTAGATTATGACTGGAAGCGAAACTAAAAAAAATCGCAATATGACATAGATATAAGTCAAAGTCATTCCAAGGAAAAGACATCTCATTTCTATGATTACCTATCATTTGTCTGATGATTGCATTACAGGCCCGTCGGAGCTAGGGGGGGGGGGGGTTTGGGGGAAGTTCCTCTATATCTCCTCGCAATGCCAAATTATTTTCATGTGTCACAAAGCTATAATTACTTTGAATACACAGCATAACGAATGGTCAGTTTAGTACGTTTTCAGAGCTGTTCATATTGGAGATACGTTAGCTAGTCTCATAGTAATTAAGTGAAAAGGGCCTCTGCAATATGAACTGATCAATCGCGCTTAATAAAAGCAATTTCTGTCGACTGTAGCAGTCTATGGTATTAAAACCCATACCGAGTTTTAAGCGCAATATGTCTAATTGCACGATTGTTTGGTTACGTCAAAGATTTTCTACTTAAAGAAGTTTGGTGATCGTCACAGCCAACTTGATAATCTCGCACCACCTGCTTGGACGTTTGTCATTACTTACTACAGTTTAATACAGTATTCAAATCTTGAATCCTTGTCTGTCAAAACAACAGATATTCAAGTAACAACGACCTAGTTTTTCAATTATTGATTCACAGACGAGCAACATATAAACTTTCTCACCGACAATGCCTCATTCAAAGAGCCTATAAACTTTCTTAGAAAAATTTCCCAAACTGCACGATCTGCGATTGTGTACACAGCAGTATTTGTTGCTGTTTTGAAGCACCTCGCGCAAACTCCATAAATCCCAACAGACCTGGAGGAAAGGAAGTGCAATGCTTCTTGAAATCTTTTTAGTTCTCGACGATTTCAATCTCTTGCTTTCATTGTTGCTTAGGATATTATATGGTGTTAGAATATCACATGTATATACCTATCATAGCAATTACATGGAGTTTTCTAAAACTTATTGATAACTGCCGAATGTATTTCTATTCAAACTTTTGTATTACCAGCTCATTCATTTCAAAAGCAAAATGATCTTGCTTTTTGACAAATAAATTAGCCAGTGCAGAAATGGCCTATGAATACCCAAATAGCTCTAGCAAATTTCACTGATATTCAAAACTTATGCTCAAAAATTTGTAACAATTGCATAACAGTTTTTTTAACCTTGAAAAGCGCAGATTTTTTGACTAGAAAACATTCAACTTTTTTGAAAAACATGTTCTTGACCCAGCCGTTCCCAAAACAGCTGAATTATCGAGCAAAAATGGCTGCCTTTCACATTAACCTTGAATTATTCATGAAATAATCGGCGCTGCCGTTGCAAAAGTTGAGAATAACATTTCCTAACAAACAAAACCTTGTCTAAGACTTTGAAAGACAAAAGCTTTGAAGAGATATCTCGATCGATGTAAGGAAGGGGAAACTCTCTGATGTGAAGATAAAAAGTGAAATTCCCTTCGCACAAGCAACTAGTTACAAAAACAAAAAAGCCTCAAGAGTAGCTCCTTGTGGGGTTTCTTGACACAACGCAAGTCCCAATCACCTTGGCAAACGTCAGCCATTACATTTAGTGGAGTATAAGAGTATAACATGATACCTGTTTTCAAGGTTTTGAGGGTTTGCCAGACGGTCTGGTCCACTCTGTCAAATGACCGATTTTCTGTTTGACACGTATATCACCTTGTTACTATACCTTGGAGAAGAGAGAATGAAAACATGTTGAGTTTTTGTGAATCTTCCTTTCTGTACTTATGTTAGATTGCTATACCTATGTTCCAGAATGCAAGAATTCATGTATACCTGGAAAATACGTAACCCCCTGCCAATCATAAATGTATGCCTAACATGTTTTGTCTATGCTAAATAAAAAAGAGATGACGCATTCACAACGCCGTTACGCCGGAAAGGTAAACAGCTCCATGCCAAGAATTTTGGGCCTAAGTACATGGAACGCGCAGCGGACTTTGACGAGAGAATACTGAAACTAGTTTAGAGCAAAGTCTAGAGGTTTTTCTGGAAAATTGGTGTCACAGCCATTTGGCAATGTTTAATACTTATCTTTTTTGGCACAAGATTGAATCACTTGATGCTATGTCTTAAATACTTATTTTCTCAAATACTTGTTTCTTTTCTATGCCTATTTTTCGCAATAATCAAAGAAAGTTGGAACAATTAACCGATGAAATTCGCTTGTGCATGGAACTGATCGCAACTCTTTTCCTTGTAACGAACATTGGTAGATAATTCTGAAATCCAAAGACCACAATCAAAAAGTGACGACGCAAAAAAATATTCCTTGAATTAGTATCAAGCCCCACAGAAGCCTCAACTGGTGAAAAGCCCTTTCGTACAGCGATAATGCTTGAGTTTATTTGCTTAGAAAATAGCTACCCGCAACTCTAATCAAAATGGAATCCTCTCTCTGCTAATATTGATCTGCAATTAACAAGTAATTACCAAATCAAGCTTCCACACATGCTTCCCGCGTTGATCAAATCCTCAAATAACGTTCTTTGGTAACCCAAACCTCGCAAAATCTCTCTTCTGCTTCCTTCACTTTAATTCTTATAATATACTAATAATTTCAAACACGTTAGGGAAGTTGCGAATTACTTAATCCCAGGTTTTGCTTAAACTTTCAATAAATTCTGGTGGCTGATTCTTCATAGCTTTCAGTGAAGGTAGACAATTCAAATTCGAATTTTCTTGCACGTAACTCTAACGGTGTGTAGTTTCCATGTAGCGTCAAAGCATATCTTGGGTGTCACGTTTGTTATGAAGAGAAATATATATCCCCTAAAGTCACCTAACAAAACAAACAATTTGGGTCACTTGAGAATTACATTGCAACACAGATAATTACTTTTATTGGTTGCGATTCTCTTGGGCCTCTTGTGGTACCTAAAGTTCGCAGCCAAGAACAAAATGAATTCGTGCGAACCTAAGAGAACAAAGCCAATAAATAGAACTGTGTAAGAATCAATTGACCGAAACGTCATTGGCAATATGTTGAACATTACCATTTCTAAAACACAACCATTTCGAGTCCGCAAAAAGAACAGCTTTTAGCTCAGACTTGTTTAATTTAAATGAAACTATGCTACTACTTCGCAACCGAAAAGTATTGCGCATTACTATAGTTCCGGGCTAAAATGTTGACTCCTATCAAGAAATCCAGTAAAATGCATTCACCTCATTAACAACTCGTATCTTCCAAAATACCCCATTTTCACCAACTATTTTCTCATTGGCGTTAGCTGCTGACCTACCAACCTATCGACCTACCAACCTATCGACCTTCCAACCTATCGACCTACCAACCTATCGACCTACCAACCTATCGACCTACCAACCTATCGACCTACCAACCTATCGACCAATTGACCTATCGACCTTCCAACCTATCGACCTACCAACCTATCGACCTACCAACCTATCGACCTTCCAACCTATCGACCTTCCAACCTATCGACCTACCAACCGATCGACCTACCAACCTATCGACCTACCAACCTATCGACCTACCAACCTATCGACCTACCAACCTATCGACCAATTGACCTATCGACCTTCCAACCTATCGACCTACCAACCTATCGACCTACCAACCTATCGACCTTCCAACCTATCGACCTTCCAACCTATCGACCTACCAACCGATCGACCTACCAACCTATCGACCTACTAACCTATCGACCTACCAACCTATCGACCTACTAACCTATCGACCTACCAAACTATCGACCTATCGACCTACTAACCTATCGACCTACCAACCTATCGACCTATCGACCTACCAACCTATCGACCTACCAACCTATCGACCTATCAACCTACCAACCTATCGACCTATCGACCTACCAACCTATCGACCTACCAACCTATCGACCTATCGACCGATCCTTCCATTGACATTCCTCCCAGGAGATAAGAGGTATTATCCTTAGCCCCTTGAGACGTGTTAGAAACACAAAAAACACTTCTCTTGCTCACCCTTTCAAAAACTCCCTGAACATTATCTTACAAATCTTCATTTTTCCAGATAAGAGATCCTTTTCTTTTCAGAAATAATGGAAATTTTGTGAACGTATTTTGAATTTTTCGTGAATGTCAAATAAAATGTGAAGAGTTTTTTGCAATCCGTTTTTGCCAACTGAGACTATAAATGCGGTAGAACGAATCTTTACTTTTTCCCCTTCGAGATATTTTAGATCTGGTTTACCCCTTGTAAAATGCAATGGTATTGGTTCCCTATTTTTCAAAATCGCAGAAAAATGGAAATTAAGTAAAGAAGAATAAATTTCATCTGTCGGGTCACAAAAAATTCTACATCTTTTTGTTTCCATCATTCGTTTTGACAATATTTTACATATTTTCTTGAACAATAAGTTTGAATTGATCTTTATAAATGCTTCTATCGATTCATCAAATCTTTCTCTCAAGAAAATATCATCAGATTCATCCAGTCAAACCAAGAACAAGGTGAGCCTATGCGATGCAATGCTGGCAAAACCAACGTCAATAAATCCTGTTTGGCTGCATAGGTGCATTGTGTGGTTATTCTGACCAAATTAATGTGGTTACCAGGACGGCAGGCTCTCACAGTGGAGATAAGATGAAAAAAGTGCCGCCAAATCTGAGCGATGCGAATATATAGATTTATATTTGCAGCATGTCTGAAATTGTAATCAATTTTACCAGCTCAAACATCAAGAATTCATGAAAAATCGGTAAATCGTCACCATTGCTACAAAGCTGCAACAGATGTTTTCAGCCTAACTGCGAGATGAGTACTTATTCTGACGGAACTCGTTCAGCGTAATTGTTTTTCAACTGATATTTTTCACAACAAAATTGCTTTGAAACAACAAAATTATCAAAACTTTCTAAAATATTTGACACTCTAGGAGTTCCTAGCTAATTGTTTTCGCTCTATATTCTGATATTTTATAGACTATACTTAATGACAAGATTCAGTTTTACTCAAAATGATTGCTTTTTTACAAGACAATACCTTGCAAGACAGAACGGGCTTGTTTATTTTAAAGTAGAAATGTTGGTATGATATTTTGAAACTTTGAGGGAAAAATAAATCCCATCCAGTTTTGCACAAATTTTTTCTTGAAGGCAATCTAAAGAAACATTTTGGTTAATAAAATGAGACCTGTCCTTGGAAACTAGTTACCAAAAAGTCTATTTTGATTTAAAAACTCATACTTAACGATACTTAAAATTTCTATCAGATACAAAATACCCTTTGTAGGAAACATAACATTTACTGTCTACAATGAATAATATCTAAAATCATCTGACGGAAAGGAATTTTTTTTCTCACTGGAAATCCGAAATGAGATCTGAGAGCTGCACGTAGTTTATATAAATAAGCCTTAGATTAGATGATATATCAAGCTTGTTTACTAATTTAAAGTTCTATTTTCAAGATCCCTATGTCAATTAAAGCAAATGCTTCTAATTGATAAGAATAATATTATGCTTTGTTGATGAAAGCTGGGGCAACGCGTGCAAATTCTTTAGATAACACTTCATAAGACGATTTTCTATGACCACGCTCAACAAGCCCACGTTGCCAAGTACGCTTATCAAAAGTCTCCGTTTCTGAAAATAAATTCAAAGAAACTTGATTTTAAGCCAAATTTACGTCGCGTGGTGTTCATTAAATAGACTATAGAGGCTGAGATGTGATGGGTTTTTTGCGAAATCTTTCTTGTTTCAACGGCGTTTCCTATGAGCGTTATGAATCAATAAAGAAACCTGCCAAACAAGACCAGGTCATAGGCTTTGCCTCTATTTAAATTATATCCTTTCCAATACCATAGCGAAAGGATTCTCTTTTTGAGCCTGAGCTTACAACAATCACTGATAGAAACCTGATTAAGATGTTAGTGACCAATTGCAAAAATCTGGCGTAGTGTACGAAGGCTCTCAAAAATCTGTCATAGTATAATCAAACTTCAATGACGCGCCTCCATGCAGACGTATTTCTCCAAAGAATAGTAGTTTCCAAATAAGCCTTTAGTTCAAAAAATTGATCATTGCAGGGAGAATTTTCAAAAATCAGAATTCTCAAATATAATACGATTTGGTTGCAGGTAAACAACTTCTCAAGTATCCAGAGTGAACTCAAACGTAGGGTGACGATATCATTGGACTGCTAAAGGTCGTTTTTAGGCGTTTTAAAATCTGTCTACGTCAAAATTTCCTGGGTACCATCTACCACAGCCACATAAACTCAAGCGCCGAAATAGAAGTTACTTTTAGGTCCCAAATAAGAGGAGGGGGGTTGGAAAATTTTCAGATAAGCGAGGGGGTCGAGATAAGCGGGTGGGGGGTGGAAATTTGGTGTAATTTTGTAGTGATCATTGTCAAACCGTAGTCATTTCCTCCATTGTTTGACTGTGACTAACATCTCCCATTGTCTACGTACTCACAGTAACGTTATCAACAACACTTTTGTAGCGTCCCCTCGTTTTACGTGCTTTTAATTTACTAAGTCAGTCAGTAAATTCATCAAGACACAACGATCACGCACCAACATCCTTTGCTGCGACAGCAAATCCATAAAAGAACATCTCAGCATTAAATGTAAATATAGGAACATCGCCAAAAATCGTTCCTATAATGAATCCGACCGCAATGGAGCACGGGCTGCACTTCTCAGACACCTTAAAGGAAATTTTGACACATACGAAAATTAGACAAGTGGGTGCTAATTCAGCATAATGAAGCAGACTTCTTACTAAAGCTTACTATCAAAGATCTGCTAGAATAGGGTCATAATCTAGAAACTGTTGAGAATGGAAGGTGCCCATACCTTATCTGGGAAAACTCAACCTCAGTTTTTTTTACCTCAAATACCCGGGGTAAGGGAGCTGTCATTAAGTCTGACCTGTAAATGGGGCGGGAGCAAACTTACAAGCGTGTGACATTTTTTTAGAATAATTTGGGGGAATACAATAATTTTGGAATGAAATTTTGGGGCTATGAAACGGAATTGAATTTTTCGAAAAGTTACCTCAAATTGTTAGCAATATCTCAAATTCATATTCTACTGCTCCGTAGTCCTCAAAATCAGAAGAGTCAGATGCTGATGCTGAGAAAGAATCATTCGTGTCACTTTGCAAAAAAGTGTCCAATGTCTTCTGCCAAAAAGTCATTGGAATATAAACTTCAATATTCCTCTACCCAATTTCTTGGTAGAATGATAAACTTCAAATTGGGACAACTACAGAAGTAAAACATTTGTAGACGAGTTTTAAGAATTGGGTTGTGGAATACTTTTGCATACTTTTATGGGGTTGTGGAATTCTTTTACAGTTTTTTCATGGGGTTTGAAATTTTATAGTGCTTTAAATGGATAGTTTCTGTCCTGGTGGCGGTCAGACTTAATGACAGCTTCCTAACATAAAAGGATTCCACCATATATAGACAGAAAAAGTTCGTTTTCCTTGGACTCAAACGCGCTGCTCGTCCTCCCCAGGGGCTCACTTGAAACTTTAATATACGGAGGAGGGTGGCTCATCCGATAATTATGGGAAAGGAACTTCTTTGTGATCTGATACTTTTGCGTACCTGATTTAACAATATACCTTTTTATATCTATGTCAAACGTAACTCTCTAATGTACACTCTTTTTTTGATAAGAACCAGTAAATTTAAGTTCAGGCTGACTGTTCTTAATTTTTTCAAAAATCTGAGGCTGGATTGTTCTTAATTTGTTCTTAAATTAAGAGGGTGTAAGCAGTGCGATTGCTAGCTTTTTCGCTCTAAAGAGGTGTTCAGGACTCATTTGCTAACAAGGTGAGTGAGACAGCCTTAATTTGCTGCCAAATTTGAATATTCACCGAAAAACACCCACACATCGCTAAAAATCCTCGATTTTGAGAAAAAGACGTTGTTCAAAATTGCATTTTGCAGAAGCTCAGCCTCAGCTTGTTCTTAATTTGTTTTTAACTTTTGACCAGTTTTGAGGCTCATGTTCTTATAAAATTGTTCTTACAAAAAAAGAGTGTAAAAAACTTGAATGAAGGAACAGACGTATTTAAGCTGATTATTTCAGGAAGCAGTCTAAATAACTGTACCCTGGGTACCAGACTCACTATATAAAATAATAGAGAGTCTGGTCTAGTGCGCCCCATTCTCGTTCTGGTGAACCTACTTGAAAGAACTGAAGTCTATTTAACAGACTAGGCCTGTGAAACAAGACTGTCAGAAAAATAATAAAGAAACTCAGTAGTCAGAGGAGTTTTGGAAAATCTTAAAGCAAATGTGTTTTATTTAGTTATTTAAAGTCATTTAGACATTTTTAATACAGTGGTAATAGACTTTTCTGCCTCAAGATAACAATCAGGTTTAAAACGCCATTTGGCAGCAAAAAACATGTGCGAAGCATGAAATTAAAGTTAGCACAATGCAGTTATTAAGTGTTAATCATTATCAAATTGTTAATCATAGTCTTTTGTAATTTTCCTCATAAATTGTGTGTACTTTCAACGTCTACTTCCTAACTGTGAAGGCAGCGCGCTTGGACACCGCGGCGGTTAGAATCATCACGTTGGAAGGTCACCACAGCAAATATGGGCAATATGACAAGCGAAGCCCCGTTTGCCAGGCGAAATATAAGCTATAACTGATTTACTGTGTTTGTTGTTGTTTGTTCTCGGCGCCTTGCAGTGTTTCTTATCTACTGCATTTCACTACAAGGCCTAATTTCTTTGCAACGAGGGGCACAGCCTGGAATATCAGAGACTTTCCAAAGCCAGTTGGCAATATGGCGAAGGTGTCTCTTCTCTCTACAAACAAGGCTTTCAATGCTGTTCTGTGTTCAGTTCCACAACATACGGAAAATATTCTTTGAGTACAGTTTTAACAGCATCTTCAAACTCAATCGTTACGGTCGCTAGCATTTATTTATGTTCTGTTCTGTTCAATGTTTTAAACCAGAGCTAGGTTTATTGTTTCGCTGTGACCTTTGAACGTACAGAAATCTGTACACTCGCTCCTGATTGGTTAATATCAGCACACCAGAACGAGAATGGGGCGCACTAGACCAGACTCTCTATTTTATTTCATATATAGTGAGTCTGGTACCCAGGGTAAAATAACTGTAACCAAGGGTTTAGATACCGGGGGGGCCAGGAGGCCTTGGCCCCCCCAAAAAACCTTAAGAAGTATAAGTAGAATTTCCTTTTTGTTGCAAAATATAGCTGTTTTTACACTTATTTATCAGGGCTGCCCCCCCCCCCAAAAAAAGCCGTGTCTCGGTCCATGGCTGTGACTAGTGGTATCTTTACCCGTTTATAAAAGGTTTGAGTGTCTTCCTTGGGTCGTCCTCGCACGTGTCTTTCGATCCGTATCAAGACATATACATGCGCGAACTTTCAGCCATTATCTGACATTTATGTTCTTCTAAGGGTGAGGAACAAACAAATGTTGAACAAAAAATGCAATGTATTGCTATGTTTCCATTCTTCCGTGCAGTCTTTTAAAGGTTATGTCTTACTTTCTAGGTGAATCTAAGGGAAGAATGCTCAAAAGCATGCGGCAAGATTGGTAACCAGAGCATCCATCATGGTAAGTGAAGATTTTGTTTGCTAGCTTTACAAAACTAGCAATAAATGTCATATTTAAGAACAGTCAGCAAAGTAGACAAAAAATGAGATAATGACAGACTACCAGTAAAGTATCCATCTTTCCTCCTGAATTTTTTTTCTCAGAAAAATATTAAAAACTAAGCGAAGTTTTGGTGTGCCACTTTTGTTTACCGTTGGAAACCCATACTTTCTAATTTCTGATAAAAGCCTGGATTGTCAAGCACTATGACACACACTGATTTGACTTTCAATTCTGCAAAGATTATACATAAATACTAATAAATACTTATGTAACAGATCTAGGTCAACCAGCAGCTCCCAGAGGAAAACGCAGCACCATCAGCACAGTTACCTTGGAGCTGCTAACGACTAGGAAGACGGCTATTTACAACGAAACCGTTGTTATTGTTGAGCAGAAGCGCAGACTTGATACAGTCAACACTACAGTTATACTTCCTTATTTACAACCATTTCAGATCACTGTAAGTTGCCGCTTGAGGTTATTTCATATCTTATGCTTAAGCAAGGACATTCCAAATGCTATTTTGTCTGGTTACCTGGTGAAAAACCATAGAAACCAAAGAAAATTGGGTATGAGTAGATTAAAACATTGATATAGCAGATACCTGTGAGTTCGAGGTTACTATTCTTTGTACGATGGTCGCTTGTAGGAGGCCAAAGGGTTTCCCCCAATGTACGCTTTGTTAAATGGTACGCTTTGGTAAGGCAGTGACGTCATTGGCGCTGGCTGAGATATTCCTGGTATTCTCTGATATTCCATGGTTTATAGATTTCAAAACCCTGACCCAATCGATTAGATGGGGAAAGAAAGTGTGCTAATGTGGGAAGGTCGAGAAATTGTTCTTTTTACAAATTCTATTTAACATAAAACATCTTTTCCTCGTTCTAACTTTCATCTCGCTCAATCTCTACTATTTTTTGACTCAGCAACAGGCTCCGATGAAAGGATATTCCACCTCATTCATCGTAGCCACTAAATTTGACAATCTTTTAGGCTCGTCCCACGTGACTGATACCTTTTTGGAATCTCCAATCAACCATAACTTCAAGTTTTTTGTTATTTTTTTTGTCTTATCCAGTGTTGTTTTTCGAATGTATTTCGGTAAAAATATTGTGCTGACATTGAAAATTCGTGTTGATTAAACACCATTTTATTATTTGAATTTCGTTGATTCGCGTAAATTACCACACATTTTGAAATAAAACTTCGTTAGCGTATACTAAATTGAATCATATGAAATGGAGCTTTAACTAAACAAGGAACACCTCAAGATAAGATTAAATCGTTTTATAGAAATGGATGAAGGAAATAACATTTCAAAATTTGGATGCTGGGACAGAGTATATTTACAGATTTGCCATTGTGACGCGGAATACGACGACGACATTCAGCGAGTGGAGTCCGCCATTTCTTACCAAAGGTAATACAATTTCTCTATATTCTAAAATAAAAGCATTTTACTTCGAATATTATGCAAAATTGCAGTCTGATTCTGAGACTGACATCGATAAGGCCCTTCCGCTGATCTTCGAAAATCTGAGGCTGGATTGTTCTTAATTTGTTCTTAAAATAAGATGTAAGCAGTGCGATTGCTAGCTTTTACGCGCTAGGGACGTGCTCAGGCCTCATTTGCCAACAAAGTGAGTGAGACAACCTTCCTTTGGCACCAAGTTTAGATATTCACCGAAAAGCACACACACATGGCTAAATATCCTCGTTATTAAGATAAAACGTTATTCAAAATTGCATCTTACAGTAGCTCAGCCTCAACTTGTTCTTAATTTGTTCTTAACTTTTGACTAATTTTGAGGCTCATGTTCTTAAAAATTTGCTCTAAAAAAGAGTGTAAAAACATTTCTAAATTTGTAAACGTATGTTATATACAAAATATATTTACACGACTTCTTATGAGTTCTTCCACGGCTTTGTTCGAAAAATTAAGCTCTGGAGAAACTCAGATCATCTCATTACAAAACAAACAGGATCTCATCGATAGAGCAGCAGAAATCTCATCGATTGCGCATAGCTTGGAGACTTCCTACACTAAGGCCGCATCTCTATTGGGCCGCCCACGGCGGTGCCATTGGAGCAATGGCTTTTAGTTCGTTTAGGCTTTTCCTTTTCCATGTGGCCGCTTTCATTTGAAACAGACATGTGCCTCGCAGGGTTCCTCGAAACGACGAAGAAAAAACCACACTCCAGAGACAGAAATAAAAAAAAAGCACCAAAACGAACGCTGACTGTCTTGCGATTGTTTCATTTCATTTATTTCGGCAAAGCATTTTCTTAGTGAAGGAAAACTTCCACATTATGTCAGACAAAGGAAAGTCCTTATTTGAACAGAGGAAGAAATAGCTCTTTAGAGATATTGCTTAAATCCTTTAGTTGCTCAAATCCGTCTCTGCGTACCAGTTTGGAACCGTTACACTCGTTTCCAAAAGAACAGTTCAAAATGGAACCACGTTCATAAGCGGACCCGTTGGGGGGGGGGGGGTACAGCATATTGAAGAGTCCTTATCGGCCCTGAGGCAACGCAAGGCCTAACTGTGACTAACCTGTAACGGGTTTGCAAAAATGGAGCAAGATTTTTTGAACCCAAGTACAAACAACATATGGAGGTTCAACCCACGTGTGTTTTGAGTTAATGTAGTGTTAATGTAGGGCTGATGAAAATTTTCTGGAAGACGAGAAATTTAGTTTTCCGACTAAAAGCTAATAAGCATGTTTACTTTTTCTTATATTTGAACGTGATGTTTTCATCCAAAGCTAATTATCATAATATAATTCATATCTCGTTGAAAGAGACTGGTAATCTGATTCAGAAATGATGAAAGAAGTCATTACAGTCTTTCCTCTCAAAATGTAATACTTAGATAAAATTAGATAACCATAAAAAATCTACAAAAAGATCTAGAGTTTCACGACAAAATAGGAGTTTATTTTTACAGGGGGATTTTAAATTCCCTCTGATATCTACGCCGCTGCTGCTGAACATATTCTTTCCTTTAACCAGACAGGTGTCTGCCCGAAAATTGTGCACCGACGAACCTCGCTTTGATTCCTAAGATTGATGAAATCGAGTCGAAGACAAATAAGGGGTACTTCAGGTACGTCATTCAACTCACACTAACATGGCGCCCACCAAGAGGTAAGTTCGCCTCCAGTCTTGGCTTTATATTCCTACCTTGCTCTAAACAAGATTCACGTAACGAAGTTCTTTCTAAATGTTTCATACAAAGCGCTGTCGTTTCCTTAAAGAATAATCTTACTTTTATGATCAGTTTGTGTTCGGTTAAAGGAAGAATAGAGGTATTCCTTCTTTCATTCCTTTAAGTTGATATCGAAAAATAGCTTTACAAGGCTAATTAAAACCAACTAACAAAGCTAACAAACACAATAAGATAATGATCATGTCATTATTATCTGATGAAATCGACGTTACTAATAGATTGCCTGCACAGCTAGCAGATGCACTTGAATTCAGTGAAAGTCTGTTTTTTTAAACTGCCAAAGATTGAGCATATTTGAGATATTGCTCCAAATTTCTCTACATCCATACGGAACAGTATGAAAATCATAAATTTCATTATTTGACTCCACCCCCCTGAATTTTGAATATAGTTGTATATAGATCCTGTTGGAAAGAATGTGAAGGGTAGATTTAAACGATTTAATGTTTGAATATTTAAAAGTGAGATATTGCATATTGTTGTTATGAATGATAGCTGTTTTGCTTTCACCAGTAGTTATTCAAATATTGCTTGGTAATCATTGTGATCATAGTAATCATTGTAATCATTGTAATCATTGTGATCATAGTAATCATAGTAATCATAGTAATCATTGTAATCATAATAATCATTGTAACCATTAAGGGCTCTATCATGTATCCTGTAGATTTTTCCCTATTTTTCCTTCAGCAAAATGTCCAAACAAGGGGGCAATAATTGAAGAATTATATGACAATGTTTTCATCATTAGTACTTCGTTGGATTCATTCATGTTAGAAGAAATTCTTGCAAGAACCTTTACCTTTTTACTTGCGTCTTCTTGCGCTCTGAAGGGGCATTAATAGGGTGTATAGGGTAATAATCTTCAAGGTGGTATTTTCTTGGATTATCTGGCGTTTTGCAAAACTGTGCCCTCTTGAAATGTCACACGGATCCCTTCAGCGTTGGTCTAGAAATAAAGCAAAATGGAATAAACATCCTGAAGCCAATTCTTTCACAAAAAACTTTCACAAAATATTTGCTCCCATGCAGTGGCGTAACGCAGCCACCTGGGACTTTAAGAAAGAACTGAGACAGGGCTCTTATTTACGGCCTGCAAAAAAGTCCCATCCAAGTTCTTGATTATTTCGATCGCTGTGCCAGAAGAATATGTGGATTTTGTTTGTTCGGAACATTAAGTTTTTCAACTTTTACATATCTTTTGCCAAAAAGCTGCTCAAAATTAAATTCAGATCTCATACTTACCAGGCTAAACTAGAAATAAGATAGGTATGCCTATATTTTCGTGTTAGATGCTATATCCATAAAATCCCATATGACTCTTCAGTGTCCCATATGACCTAAATAATAAATTAGTATAAATTATCGAAAATGTCTATAAGCGTTCCCATTGGCGATTATTTGTAACATTTCGACGTCTGGAAAAACGGCGGACGAGGTTATTAAATATAAAGTAGAACAAGCAAAAACATTTTGATGTGTATTCTCAGACTTCCTAGCGTTTATGGTGTTTTTTGCAGTGAAGGTCAATGGGACATATGAGCTGGAATCCTATATAGGTGAAGTTTATTTGTCAGCGGAATCAGCGGCCACAAAGTGTAAGAAGACGTTTCACAGAGAGATAACTTTCAGCAGAATTGACAAGGTAGTAACTTTTGAACCAACCTTTTGAACCAAGCTTGATATGAATATATATTTTCATTCCTACATCATATTTATTTCCTAGCGTAGATTTTTCGATCTATGTTGTGTAAGGATGTCTCAATGAGTTTGCTTTTTCAAAGACATTTTTAAAATTTTTTAAGTTTTGAATTTGATTTTTCAATAGTTTTATGCTACCTAAATAACTGGAAACATCTTTTTTATAGAACAAAACGAGTTATCGTATACCAACAAAGGGCCAAGTATTTCTGAAAGGCTGCTCGTATGATGTCGTGGTAGGATTATTCTTTCTGATTTAAATTGTATTTGGGTTCCAAAGTCGTAAAGAGAAGTAGTTGCGATTAAGAGACCTAGGGATGTCAGAAAATCACTCACGAGTAGGCTGACTTGAAAATAATTTTGCTCGACTTTTCAACATTTTAAAATCTCCGTGAGAATTTTCATCTGCATCAAACCTAACGCTTCATCTCTTGCGAAAAATAGCCGGGAAAAATTAGCCTGGATTCTGAATCATAGGGAATCTATTCATGAGCAAAAAAAATATTGCACAAGGTTTCCCAAGACTGTACATGTGTTTTCATGAAATATATATTTCGTTACGCAGATGTGGAGCATACCATATACATCGGGAACGATTGCAAAATTCCGCTTGCCAGGTATGGAATTTGATATTTTAACAATTTTACAATAAGACTTTACTGAAGTGGTCATCTTTCAGAAACGGAGATTTGTTCCCTGTAGAGAAATGTCTGTTTTAAAGAGGTGTCTGTCGTCCCGAGACTCCTTCGACAATAGTAAAGTTTTTGTCCAATGTTTGTTAGAGTTTACAATGTTAAAAGTTTTACACTATCATTAATAGACACGTTTCGTAAAGTAATCACTTTTTATAGATTTTATAGATTCATACAGAAGAAATATTCATTTCACTATATCATGAAACAAAACTTCTGACTTATCATTAAATCTTATGGTTCATCTTCACTTTTTTATAACTTCTTTATTATCAATAAAATTTTGAATAACAACTTGTTCACCGAATGAATATCATGAAAACATATCCGATGTTCTTAGCAACTTGAAGGCAATCTGTCTCGTTGTGGATTGGTTAGCGAGAACAATAGCTGGAACAATAGCCTAAACACAATTCCAGCGCTCCGCCATATTTTTTACAATGCGATAAATTAAAGGGGGGCTTGAAACAATAAAAAATCCCTTTGTTCTTATAATCAATCAACGTCGTGACAGATTGCTTTTAATGTAACAATTTTTTTTGCAGATTGCATAGAAGGGCATTGCAAGTGTCCAGGTTAGAAATTATTTTCATAATCAAACGACATCAAAAGTCTGCCTGAAAATAAATGGATATCATCAAGCCCAACATCTTGATCTAATGTAGGATATGGCGTCTTATTTGTAGAGAAACAAGACTTTTTAGCCTCAGGTTCTTTGATAAATCTTGAAAATCGGCGCGTAAGATACACCTACACACGATTTAGTGATTCATAAGCGATTTTAACTAGCCCGAAATCGCATATCCATCTTGTCTTGTGATTATCTAAGAGCTTCAAAAATATGTGAGGAGCAGGTGCATTGCTTACTAAACTTGGTCACAGAATGTCGCTTGGATGCTATACTTATTGAGAAAATTGTCTGCCCTGAAAAGTCTGCATGAAAACTACAAATAAAGACTTTAATGTGATGATATTATAAGAAAAGAAAATGCATTCTTGACGACAAACTGAGTCGCTCTGTATGTAGCTTAGTATAATCATTATTTTCAGAGCTCAATGCAAACCGTAGTGGAGCCGACTCAAATGAAATAGACACAGCTATTTCTAACGACCAGCTGAAAATCTCATGGAGCAGAGGAAGTTGGTCTACAAAAGACATACACTATTTCACTTTGGACTTATGGAACGAAGATAATAGGCCCTTAGGGGCGCTCATACATGTCCTATCCAAGGTATGCATTGTTGTAAGATTCCATAAACTGTATGTGTAAAATTGACCATCTGTTGACTGCAGACAGGTGCATTTGTATTGTCAGATTTACTGCAGTCGCGTTTATAACACTGTGTAGTAGGAATGTCGTTTATTATCATACATAATTATTATGCTAACCTCGCTTTCGTTTGTATATAACACAGTCTTTTGTATAGTAATTCAGTAAGTGATTAACCTCAACACAAGTCGCTCGCTTTTTGTCTTCACTCTCAATTCGTTGACTACTCGAAGTGACAAGGGTTTTAGAGAAAGTCTAACCCCTGTTACAACTGGGGGGGGGATCCCATTTTTGCCCTGGTGGAATGTTTCAAGGAACAGGGTATACTTTTTCGATAATGGGTGAGGGTATTATCAAAATTGCATCAAAACTCTAGTGCTGGGTATCAAAATTAAGGCTGGGTCAGAGTATTTAGAACCAAAAGATAGAAATGCTTTCAAATACTTGTTGCCATGGGCAACGCACGTTTAGACCTGTGCTATACTTTCCTGTCCTATTATATTTAATGAAATAAAAGATGTAGATTTGTCTTAGTTATTCAAGCTTCAATTCAAATACACAGAGAAGTGTTTCACTTAATAAAAGGTAGTCGCCCTGTTGTTAAGACTCTAGTTCCTCTAATTTTCCTAACTACAATTTATCATATTAGAAAGAGTTTTATTGAATAAATCAAAATACTTGTTTTTGTTGAATTTTGAATTGCAGGGAAAGAATTATACCCGCGAAGTTAAAACTTTAGGTGCCAGTCAGATCAAAGTGAGTATAGGCAACTTTCAATGCTTTTTCCTTATAAGTATTAACACAGTTTTTAATCAGAAAAATATCAATACAATGTTTCTATTTAACATGAAACAAAATATCTAACATTGTTCATATATGCTCTCAGAAGGGGATGAGAAATCTGACATAGGGTTAAAATACTTTCCTCGTCCCAGTTGAAATCGAGTTTTGATCTTCCAACTGGATGGGGACTAGCTTGCTCCGATGGGTGCTGTAGGGTGCTGACCCCTTTAACGAGATACTGCTCATTCGTAACCTTGTAAAACTCTTACCAAAATGAAATTCATTTATAAGTTGTAGCTCTAGCTGTCTGCTCTGGCTGTCTGTTTAGGGTTTTTCCCTTGCACGTTCTGATTTATGCAGCTAATTTAAAATTTCGAATCTTGCATTTCCGTACCAGAAGTAAGGCACTAATTTCAACCGTGCGAAAAAAACTCAACATATACTTTTCTGCTGTTCCTTCGAACACAGGTTACAATTATGGCCAAAGACAAGTGGAAATGCACAGTGGAACCCATTCTGAGCAAATTAGTTCGCCTGCCACCTAAACGTAAGTAGATCAAAAATTTCTCTTTCGTGTGCTACAAATGGGAAAAGCCTAAAAGAAGGGGAAAAGAATCATTTTCTTCCCTCTCACTTTTAACCCTATCTTTTCATTATAGCAATAGTAATTATATGTACCAAGTCAAAGAATATCACAATATTCTGTCAATTGGCAAACAAATGCATAGCAGATGCACCCTAAAAATAGTTGTCCTAGTGACACCCCCTCCCTTTGCGTCCAATTTGCCAAGGTTCTTTATTGTGTCAGATCCAGGGACACTGTTACCCTTTCTTGTCACATCCTCTATCCGTGAGTCCATGAGCCTATGAAGACTTAAGCATCTGATACCACTCGTTGAACTAACCCTATCCACTTGTACCATTACGTAAAAAGGTATAACTTTGTGTATATCAGTTAAGTCTCATTTCATCAGAAATTACTTTTGAAAGCTATACCAATGTATTTGTGAGTTAAAATTGAATGATGATAAAAAATATAGACAAGAAAAAGTTTGTTTGCTCCAGATACAAAAGAGGGTGCTTTGAATGATCACCTCTAGGTGTATTTCTTGTCAGAACTTGATGAATTTGTGCCTTTTTATTGGATTGTAAACAAACGTTTTTGCTTTTTGTTTTCAGGGCCCGCAACACAAGAACCTACAAATACAACAACATCAGCAAAAACTTTGCAAAAACAGGGTTAGAAGAAGATTTCTTTACATTATTGGCTTTAAAATAATTTACAATATTCTTTACAAGTTTAGAATTGGGGATGCGTGCCCTGGTTTTGATTTCGATTGAAAAAAGGCGATTTGAGTGTCCTGGTGGTCTCATCATTTCTTTTTATCCACAGAAATGAAAAAAGATTTTTTAAAAGTGGTCCTGATTTCACTAGTCCCCACCATTGTTGTAGCTCTAGCTGTCTGCCTTATTGTGAGGTACTTCCGAGAAAAGAGGGAAATAAGGAGCAGGAATATCAGCATGATCTATGCAGCCCAGAGCCTCTCCATAAATCATTACAATGACGATAGAGCAAGCCAGACCGGCGGGTGAGTATTCAACAGTGCAAACGTGTATGATAAACATACGTTCAATTTTCAGAACTTAAAACATGGAATTTACCAACAGAGTTTCCACTACTCTGCTCTGAAGTGTTTGAAACGCATTTGATTGGTTTATTGTTCTTGACCACTGAGCAATCAATAACCACTTGATATTTGAAAAGTTCAAAAGCATTCTAACCCTTGCTTTGTATATATCAAAAGAGTAGAAACATTATTCCTTCCCGTCGTTAACGTATTTTTTTTCCGAAATTCTGAGATGATAAATCACTGGTGCGACAGTGATGCGCAATCACTTCTTTATCTTTGCGGCTGTGGTTACGGTTACAATTACTGTTACGTTAAATATTTTTCGACAGGGCGGGTATCATTGACAACAGCAAGTCATCCGACATGGAGCGCAATCCACTGTATGTGTCACATGATGCTCAAGATTCCTTCGAGTTTCCATATTCAAGGCTGCGATTTGTAAAGGTATGTTTTCAGAGCTACCACCTTTTACCACAGAAAGTATCGAGGATTAATGACGAGAATATTGTTATTTAAAAACAGCTTTATTTAAGCCAAAATTTCACCTCACGCTACACATAGATTCAATGAGTAAAAGTCCAACTCCAAGGTTCAAAGCAAATAGGGAAGACAGTATTCGAAGAAAGAACGTAAAAACATCCCACAGATCGATTGCAATTGCTTTTTAGGAGTTGCAGGATAAACGTTTCTCTAATGAAACCTATCTGTAAAGCATACTCTACTGGCATCACTCTTTTACACTGGATAATATTTATGCTGGATTTTGGTAATCACAGTGGATGGAAGGTTCAAACCTAAATTAACACATTAGCCAATCACTGAGCTGACAGACTGTCGTTAAGAGGTCATTGATATTCACATGTACTTTATTTTACTTTGCTTTTAATTTTAGAGTTGAAGAGCCACACTTATAGTGGATATGCTCAATTGTACCATTATTATTATTATTATTATTATTGTTATTATTACTTTAAAGAATAAAGGTAAATATACTAAAACGTTTGGTAAGAGCATCATGCACTGATTTCTCTATTGTGGCCTGTAAAAGGCCCGAATCATAACCTGGTTAAATGCAGGCGAAAATGCTGCACGTTGGCAACAAATGATTTTCTGTTGCAGATTCTAGGGAAAGGAGCATTTGGCAAAGTGTACCTAGCATATGCACAAGGACTCTTCGGAGAAGACAAAGACCTCCCTGTAGCTGTGAAGCAGCTCAAAGGTACAGACCCTACATCTTGTAATCTTATCCTTCAGAACCTCTAGTAAGGCGCACTACCGCAGGTGTCCAAAGTTATGAGCCATTTCAAAACTAGAAATATTAACACTTTAAATATTTCAATGTGAAATACTATTTGTTAAAGCAACAACTGCAACATACATTGGGTCCTTTTAAAAAAGTTTTCAAATTTGTGTGTCGTTTTCAACACAAGGATACTTTTTGTAGATGTATGTCACATAGGTAGCTAGGCTCTTTGTAAATAGATGCTTTTGTATATAATTCCTTTAAATTTGGCGCAGAAACATACATACATACATACATACATGCACACATACATACACACATTTTTATAAACATAACTGATTGGATTTTCGTACCACTTGGCCACAACATTGAGCAATATCTATACATTCACTGTTCTGCGCTTAATTGTAGACTATACAAAGAGAACAATGATACATAATATGCTTCTGCCCGAGGCATAAAATGCAGCTAATTAGCTCTCTACAAAAGAGACCAATGCGTCAGGAAAACGGCAACCATGTTGTTTGCAACTGGCTCCGCTTTCCAAAAGCACAAATTCTTGTGTAGAATCATTGTAGCATGAACAGATTTCATTTTCCAAGTACAACTGAACAATGCTATAAATCTTACCATCCTTTGCAGAAAGTCTGTCAGAGCAAGAGACTAGAGAGTTTATGCAAGAAATTGATTTTATGAAAACCATTGGCTTCCATGAAAACATACTGGCCATTCTAGGGTGCTGCACCCAACAGCTTCCTTTGTGTTTGATTGTTGAATATGTGCCAAACGGTGACCTTCAAAGTTATCTAAGGAAACTTAGAAGGGAGGTACATATGTCTTTTAATTACATTATAATTTATTACATTACAATTACATTACTAAATTTAAATTAAATAAAATAAAATCATACTATATTATGTTATATTATATTATATTAAAGCATATTATATTATGTTATATTATATTACACTATTTTATATTATATTATATTATATCATATTATATTATATATTAAATTCAAGAAATAAAACACCATCAAAAATTGAAAAATTCCGTATAAGTAGCTAAAAAGTAGCTTTTTTGCATGGTAAATAAATTTTGTTACTTTATTACGGGCCCCATCAGAGCACAGGCCCGGACCCTTTGCCCCTCCTAGCCAACCTCGGGACGCCCTGGATAACAGTAGTTTCACTGAATGCAAAATTTTCCATTTAAACAAACTTAAATTGTTCAGTTGGATCTGTTGGCATTAACATTGTCCAACCTTATCATGACATTATGAAGGTAACAAACTTTTTGGGCCTTTGCAAATTGTTTTCACATAAGTTTTCATATCTTGCCCATATGAGATGGAATATTGCAATATTTGATTGAAATTGTTTAAAAAATTTTCAGTACGAAAAAGAGCATCCAGCATATCTTGACAGAGCTGCCATGTTGCGGAAAGGAGCCTCGCAGTCACCACGAATAAGCTATGACTACGATTCAGCGAGACCATTGTTACCAAGGGGATCATTGGTGGGTCTGAATGTAGATTTACTCCTTAAGCCTCTGTTTCCCTACTGCCTTGCTTGACGGACGCTACAACGGAGAGGCAGTACCGTCCGTCAAGTGAGGCAGTAGCGAAACTGAGGCTCATAGAGTGAGTCTAATTTGAATGATGGATTTCGTTACAAAACTAAATCAAATTTAATCTAGTGGCCATGAAGTTGGACCTGGGTGATGTCAGCAAGGAACCAGGGGTCAGTTGGGACATATGCCAGCCCACTGATCTTTATACCTTGGAAAAGTACCATTCCAATAAAAACGGGACCTTATTACTCTCATCTATGCAATGCTGATCAATTATAATTAGAATCATTTGATTCTAAGCATATTTATACCTGATAAACCTATCACTGAAATTTAGTGTGGAAACAGAAGTTGTCGCGGTATTTTCCAATTGATATGCTCCTAAACTTTTTCAAATGTTTCTGACGTCCCATCATGTTAGCCAATCCTATTTCTCAAAACAGAGCTGGTTTAGCATACTGTTTAAATGCAAGATAATTTTTTGTTATGTCTGATACAGAATTGAAGATAAATTTTAAACTTTTTAATCTGACTTAAACGACATTTGAGAAAATTGTAATCCCTCATCATACGGAAAAACGTCTTTTGTGATCTTTTTTCTAGTTGAACCTCTGTCCCTAAGGTCATTGACGATAAAATGAAACTTATTTTTTTGGATAGCTCACTAGATCTTTTTTTGTAATTTTCTTTGATTAACATAGATAAACATTCATATTTTTTGTCCAAGGAAACAAATTCTAAATAACCACCAGAAGCCACCAATATACCGATTGCGAAATTTTGATTTTGATTTCTCATGAAACAATTTGCTTTTTTTTCAGGATTCGACCTCGCAAAACAGTTCGCAAGCAACACCCCAAGCAGTATCAGAGAGCAAAGGTATAAATTTAAAAATAATTAACTAACTTTCAGCAGTATCAGCTATTTCAAAGCTGGCATTTTCGAAAGAATGTGATGAAATCATTTGCAGTTACTTTTCTCCCGGCACAAAGTTCGACTTTTTGTAAATACTTTAATGTTCATTTGCACAATCAGAATCAAAAAGGTCTCAAATAACGTTTTATTTTCCAAAGATGATGAAAAATTAAAGGAAGCCTGCCCATTTGATGAAATCCTGACAGCTCACGATCTCCAGAATTTTGCGTGTCAAATAGCCTGCGGAATGGTAAGTATGCATGTTCAGTAGCATTTCTCTATATTTCACAAATGGTGCTCTTTTGTTTGAATGATGAATAGAACCTCACAATCCAAAGGTATTTAATTTAACAACAATTCATCAATCAATGATAAAGCATATGCTATCAATCTAATTAACCATAATCTATATCATGATATGGATCAAAATCTGTACATAGATGATTTTTAACATCGCAGAAGACATCAACATACTTTGAGCAGCAAAACCTCTTATGAATTCTACACACTCAAAATTTCGACTTAAGTTTCGCAAATTAAATACGCAATGCTGGTAGTGACTGTTGAAACATTTACGCGAATCTCTGTAGTCTAATATCCAATGATCGATCAGCGAATTGTCAAGTGGTTATTAACAAAGAATTCTAACATATTTCTGTATTCACTTTTCAAGGAATATTTATCTTCAAAAGGGATAGTCCATCGTGACGTTGCAGCGAGAAACATTCTTGTAGGCGAAAACAAGGTACTGAAGATATCTGATTTCGGTCTTTCGAGAACCGGTGAGATCTACGTGAAGTTGGGCCAAGGAAAAATTCCTTTGCGATGGATGTCCATTGAAGCAATCAAAGACAATATTTACACAAGCGAAAGTGATGTGTTAGTATTCCTTGTTTTCATTTGAAAATTGAAAGCAGATTTTATTGAAGTTTACTGTTAAAGAATCTGATTCTCAATCACATTAACAGCAATGCATTTCATAGGTTTCCAAACAACTGCGCCACCTTAAATATCAAATTGAATTAAAAAAGGCGTTAGCCAATTGTTTACATCCTTGGAGATGAAATACCGAGCTGCTGCATAGTTCATGGGACCCGAAATATTGTTTTTTCTTTATGTAAGCGTTATTTAAATAATTTTGTTATTAATTTCAACCACACTGTACGGAGCATTGAGCAAGAAATATTGAAGAATTTTTCATGTGTATTTTGTTAAAAGACAGAACTGCGGCATTATCAAAGGAATGTATCTAGATTTTTAACCATAGATATAATGGATGTGATAGGGATATTAACATGCTATAATATTCTTCATAGAATTTTTTTCACTTGGAATCCTTCTACAATACTTAATCTTCAAGGGCACTTTTAAAGGCAGTGTGTCTGAATATGTAGCATGTATTTAAGAGAATGCTGTTCGGTCTAAACCATTCAAGAAAGAAGTAGCTCGCTCTAAACCAATCAATGAGCAAGAAGCTTTGTTAACAGAATAACAGTTTTAAAAATTGTGCATGCAACTACAATATATGCGGACAATCTTGGTTATGAAACAGTTAATTCAGCTCCATTGATGTCGTATAAATAATCGGAAAAGTGTGCTCCATTGACTTTTGGGAACAATCTGTGAACCCCAGTCATTGTCTCCTCCAATGTGATCACCCGCCATTTAGACTCTCAACAACGGCACCCTAGACACGCGCTTGACCTCTCACACCCTAGATTCAATACGATATTAAGGGGGCCTAAAAATTTCGATTTTTCAGATGGGCATTTGGAATCGTTATCTGGGAAATCTGCACGCTAGGTAAGTAACTGTACCGTGAAATAGCAAAACTTATCTCAGATACTTAGATATTTCAACTAGGTTATAGCATCGGGTAATAGCATTGGGTAATAGCATTGGGTGATAGTATTGAGTAATAGCACTGGGTAATAGCATTGGGTAATAGCATTAGGTAATAGCACTGGGTAATAGCATTGGGTAATAGCATTGGGTAACAGTATTGGGTAATAGCATTGGGTAATAGCATTGGGTAATAGCATTGGGTAATAGCATTGGGTAATAGCATTGGGTAATAGCATTGGGTAATAGTATTGGGTAATAGCATTTGGTAATAGCACTGCGGGGAAATAAACAGTCTTGCCGCGGGAGTGGCACTTCAACTAGCATTCAGTCTTTCTATAACCTCGCCGCTGAATTTTGCTCTTTTTCTTTTTTCACAGGAGGATACCCATATCCGTCTACAGCCGATTCGGAAATAATGCGCTTCCTTTTAAGTGGAAAACGCCTCGAAAAACCAGAGAACTGCACAGATAAAATGTACGCAAAGTTTTAGCATATCTCGTGCAACGTCTTGATATTAAGGAAATATAATGTCTGGATGATTCAACTGATGCTTCTGAAAAACTATTGATGATAGTAATTATTCGTAGGGCGTGGAGGGGTTGGGTTGGGGCACTTTTCGCATTCTTATCTACAAAGCTATAAGCTATAAGCATGAGTACGCATATCTTTATTCAGAGGTACAATACTTCGCATCAGCAATACGGCTTTATCTATGGACTTTCTTATATAGCACTTCCCGTAATTCCCATGATTGGTTGTTTAAGCTCAACCAGGTAGATAATACAGGTCCTTCACAACATATTACACATCACACGGTTACTTTCAACTACAATGCCGGCCAAAAGTCTTGGAACACTTGCTATAATTTACGTTGTGCACGAGCTGCAACATCCCCTCCCCCCTTGTACAATGTTGTGCCACGGAAATATGAATAATCCTACATGTACAAGTGATACATTTTTACATAGCTATGGTTTTCAGCTAGCGAATCAACATTGTATGAGGGGGAAGGGGGGCAACACCCTCCTTGTTGACATGGAAATAGAAAGGAACGCGCGAAATCACAGAAATCTCAGGGTGTTCCAAGGACTTTTGGCAGGCATTGTACATAGGGTGTAGTTTCATATGTTGATAAATTGATGAAGATTGCGAATCCAGTAGCGCAACTGATTTATTTTGGTAAGGGGTAAAGGGTAGGGTAAGGATCAAAAAAGTATTTTGTCCCAACTTTCAATCAAGATGCCAGTTTTGCTTAATACATTCAAACAAGAAAAAAATTTATTACCAACTACATAGAAGATTATTTTCTTTACTTTTATGGCACCTTGTTTATCTTAGATTCTGTTTATTCTCTTACAATTGAATTTATACGAACTTGTCTGAACCGATAACACTTTGATTCAAAAAAGTAGTCTGCACGAACAAAAAGCTACACTCTCCCTGAAAAATAAAGATCCGTAAAAATAAACAAATAAACAAAAAGCATCCGTAGAAAATAAACTATTACAGTCAAATAAACGTATTAATTTGCCAAGCTCTTTTTAGATATCAAATCATGAGATCTTGTTGGATGCACTTCCCTGCAGATAGACCCACATTCAAAGAGTTACATGAATCACTCGATGATATGAACAAAGATGAGAGTTCATATGTAAACTTCAGCACAATCCAACAAGTCATACTGCCACCGACCAGTGAAGATATCATTGGTAAGTCTTTCAAGCGTCGCGGCGAAAGTGATTTCAATTCTGATACAGGGGTGTAGCGATACGTAGAGAACGAAGAAGGCTCTCGTGAACAATATTATAAAATCCTTAGTAGGTCTACGATACAAGGACCCCTAGCCCACTGAGTATTACACCTGTATAAATAGGGATTGTGAATTTAAAGCGTACCAGACTACATATTTGGGGTTTTTAAGATTTGAAGATCAGTCATCTCAGACAGGCAGAATTCCTTTCCTGGATACTATTTTAGAATTCCATTTATTTTGAAAATTGATCTTGGCTGAATGGGGGTCCAACAGAAAAGAATTATTCTGGGAACTCTAGGCTATAATACTGATAACTGTGATGAATACAGTAAAATGTTAATCTCAGTAAAGTCACAGAATATAACACTAATTATTAACAGGGCTTTAAATGGAGGGGGTGGGTTCTGCATGGCCCCTCCACTTGGGTTGAGCTTGTAAGCACTTACCCTGCCCTCCACTACAGCACTTATTCCATCGGAATTCCTGATCTTAAAATTGATCATGATAATAAAAATGACGAGCCTGATTCAAGTTAAGTACAATGTTTGATGGGATTGTTCTTTTTCGGTCTGAGAAGGGCGGCAGCCGATAGTTCAAGCTGTTGCATTTATCAAAGATTTGTTGTTGTTGTTTTGGTTCATACAGTGATTGAATTTAACTGCGTCAATCCTCATTTTGGTTCTTTTATTCAAGATACCCAAGGACATCTTCTCAACAAAAACGATTCTTTTCGCAAGTCACGTGCCCCCACAAACCTCATTCAATTCAGCGATGGATCCAACTCTTACTTTCTATCTGAAACAGAAATTGGCTCTAGAACCGAGGACACCAACAGTGAGGTATGTATTTTAATGCATTATCGGGGGAAAAAGGAAATTTGTGTTCACGTTTTTTAAATTTTGCTTCGTCATTATGTTCACTTTTTTCAATTTTGCTTCGTCTTTCAACAATATTACACTTTAAAAAGAATGGATGTTGAAATGAAATCAATTATGAAAATTCATCACATCAGATAAACGGTTATCCGAAAATTCAAGGGACGAGTGAAATATTTCAGAAACTCGAAAGATTTTCGAATTGCTCTTGGATCTCGTATTATCGCGAGGCTTAGAAGTGGAGGAAAAGAACGCTTTCTCGTGGAGGAAAGGAGGAAATAAACGGTTCTCGTGCTGCTTGAATACTGTACCACGGAAGAGAAGAATAATAATTCTGATGGAAGTAGCAAAATTACTAGCATATTATTTACTAGTTAAAATAAATTTTTTATTTATATCGGTATCGTGCCTTAGTTTTAGATCATGTAACCAGCTCTTTTATCATAATACAACCATTATCACAATGTTTGATAATGGCAAAATGTCACACATCCTTTCACTATTTGCAACATAATTCTATTTCCCTGCAAGGCCACTGATTTCAAAGAGAGTAAATTTGACGGCCCAGCGGCGGACAAGCAGCTAAGGACAATACAAGAACTGGAAGAGAAGCAAAGAGACCTCGACTCCAAGGAAGATCATAGTGATAACGAGGCTATGAGCAACTCAAATGGCATTAACTGCGAAAGGAATGGAATTAAGCCAGATTTGCCTGCAATAATGATACCTTAGAAAAACAAAGAATACAAACTTTGAAACTGCATAGATTAACAGTGTTGGTTGCTGGATTTCCTTCCAGGAAAAATCTACCAGCTGTAAATCTTTAGTTAAATCATTGTCTTTTAGACCAAGGAATCATTCTAGCTCATAGTAGTTAGACACATTTCAATAACAAGCGGGTCTGGCTCTTAGATTACAGCAAATTTCACTATTCGTTATAACGTGTTAAAAGAAACCTTTGTCAACCTGTTTTTATATACACATTTACCGTTGAAGGGTCCTGGAAACTTTCAAACATGTGGAGAGTTAAACCCTAAACATGGACCATCTATTCTAGAAAATGAGCGGATTGTTCAATTCTAACTATATATAATTATTTGGGTTTATACACAGTTTTAATGTTTGTAGAAGAAAGGACAAATATGAAGCCAGAAGGTGTGTTGGCAATAATTTGTCGCATTAGAGTATGTGGACTGCTTTATATGGCTCCAATGTAGGCATAGACCAAATGCGAAAACAGCTGGGAAACAAAGAGCACATCATGGGAGGGGGGTCAAAAGAGTTAAGTACGTTTGGGAATCAGGTACCCCCTCCACCACCCTGCTCCCAAGGTCCCTGATCATTCATCTATTACATTAAATCTTATCTGCTGGGGTTATCTGCTACAAAACCTAAGTCTTGAAATACAGTAAAGTCCTGATATCTCGAACCTCAAAAGGACCAATGAAATTGTTCGAGATAGCGAGAGAGTTATGGGGGGGGTATATTAATGTATTTGGCAAGGGGGCTGCAATATCAGTTCAACATATCAAATGTTCGTGTTATCGAGAGTTTTATGTATCTTTCTCTAATCTCTTTTCAATAGCTTCTGCTTAGAGAAACAATTGCGTTGATGTCAAAACAATAGTCAGGTATCTTTCGAAATTTGGCTCATTATATTCCAGTTGCAGGAAAGGTCTTGAAAAGGTCAAAAATAACTCCTTGTTATTACAAATGTATAAAATATAGATAATTTAGTTGTAAGTCTAATGTATTAATCCAAAATATACTGTACACATTAACTGACAAATAGTCAGAGCAAACTTTGCATTCTCTTGTCGTTTCTTCAAACCTGACTCAGCTTTTCAGCTTAGAAATTTCAATATGCAAAAGCCAACTTGCCTGAAATAAATCTTACTATCAAAACATGAAATCCAGAGATTGCTACATTAGGATTCCTGATATGAATGGGCAAGACGCTTCGAAAGAATAAAAATATACATTTACGCCTTTGGAGTATAGAACAGGATAGTTCTACGTTGCTTTCCGAGTTTCAAGCTCAATGCAACTGTAAGCAACTGTAAGCGTGAAAGTCGGAGTAGCAACTTGGAACCGTACTGTTCTATACACCAAAAGCATGTACAGCTCTGCCTATGCGGCATAGAAAAATTTATGACAGACCGGTAAACAGTAATTTTCAAGACATGGCTCAAGATATGATGGTTTCTACTATATTTCATTGCGATCTTCAAGGGTTAAGGCAACCACCAGCGATCATCTGTGTCATGTTCCTAATTCTTCAGTGGGTTGGGGGGTTGAGTTGAGTGAGACATTTGGATCAACGCAGAATCCCCTTTGTTTTTCTAAGATCATGCGGGTCTATTCAGGCAACTAGGCGACAAGCTTTTTGGAGTCGGCCCTCCGTTTGGAACTGAAAAGGTCTTCAATCTGGAATTCTGGATAAAGCTGGAATTCAAGATGGAAGGAGGGGTCTGCCATTTTCCTTAGCCATTATGAAAATTTCTTGAATAAAAATAGATTTCTTGGCGGATGCAAAAACACACATTCTTAGGCCCATAATTCGTTGGAATAGCATTGTACAGAAAACTGCAGCAAAAGAAAAGAACACGAACTCAATTCCTGACATTAGATCTGTTTGAGACTGCACAATTAAAGGATCCACAAATGACACGAGTAGCGTCGAAACTTTATCAAAAAAGTTACGAAATTTGAAGAGCAGCCGGTGGGCTTACCAAACTTCTTTGTCTCCACACGCAAAAAAATCAATGTATCGCAAAAGACATAGATTTAGTATAGTATAGTAGACGGTGTAGTTGATCTAGTAACTAATACACTCTAACAAAAATATCAGCCTTTCTAGAAAGTCTGATTAATGTGTCATAACTATCTGGTCGTTTTGATTAGTTTCCTCAAAGTTTTCTTAAGTAAATCTTTCAATGAACTTACATATGCATCCAGGGTTGCGTATTCAATCTGTTTTTGACTTAACGGAAACCTCTCCCAATTGCTACATCTAATTTTCGGGTCTTTTTCCAGTCTTTTCTTCACCTAGCAATAGGAAACATAAAATTAAAATGTTATCGAGAATTAAAATTATCTTGATGAAGCAGCTGAACAATTTGGAATTAAAAACTTAGATTACCACAGATGAAGAAACATTCGAAGAATTACCAAATACCAAAAACAATAAAAAAAAGTTTGAGGTGATTCAAATAAGGTTCTGAAATAATGGCAGTTTGCAACACTGAATTTTTACCAATAAAAAGGAAAAATTGAACTTTTCTAATCGCTTAGAATACGTTATGAAAACAAAATTTTTAAAAGTAAATGTTTTAAAACGTTAAAACGTCACAAACGTATATAAAATTTAATCATCCGGTTGGAACTCCTTGTAAGTTTAATCATTTTGAAAATCTGTCTTTTAGTTGATCTCAATCAAATTTGCAAATTTGAAATCTTTTACAAAATAGGACTTCTTTGCTTTAACACATCACTAACAGTTACTTAAGGAATTATTTCAAAGGTCAAATCATTCAGATGAATTAATCGTCCATTTTTGCCAAAATGGTTAGCTTCCAAATTCTAAAAGGATTGCTTTCTTGATTCAAGATTTGAAGAGATATTGAATTAATATAACTGGCTTCTAACAAACTAGTATAATACAAACAAGATCTTGAAACTACTTCAATAGGCAGTCTTGTGCATTTGTGAATGACTATAACATTAATTAAAGGAAACTTTGAGGGGAAACTTTTTAAAAAGAATATTCGCAGCTCGATCAGACTAAGCATTTATTTGTTTTAAAACATCCGAAAGTTATTCTCGTTATTCCAGTCGTTGAATCGTCAATGTTGTGTTCAAATTTTCAAAAAATGTTGTGTTCAAAGCAGGATAAGGAAGAAAATTTAGATTTTAAGATTATTATAAAGTTAGACAATATTTAACTTTTTCAACAGAGATTCAACAACTCACAAAAGTGGCGTAAAGGACATTTTGGAGGGTTTCCCAGGAGTTTTTGAGAACAAGGAAAAACGCAACAAATGGTACAGAAACACGGAAGCAACTTAAATCTTCCGCGGGAAACATGGGAACATTTTTACTAGTTTAATGGAAAAAGAAAACATTTTTTCATTTTTCAACGAGAACACAAAAGCACTGGCTATTTTTTCAAAGGGAACACCCCGAGTTTGCACTTATCTTGTGCTTAAAAAGTTTTTAAGGCAAATTCTGGTGAGCAACAACAACTTGAGAGACATTTTCACAACAATCACACGGCTTACCACGTGGACTAGCATTCCATTCAAGCTCCATTTTTCATTTATTTTCTTTATTTCGTTCAGCATCTGAGACAAGTCTACAACACCCACTGGATTCACCTTGTAGTCTGTACGAAGTTTTGACATATCTCTAAATACAACATACATCATCGAAATAAAACGAGCATTACTAAAACTCGATGAGAACAAAATTTCATTGCATATGTCTACCGATGTTGTGTTGCCATTGATTTGCAGTAAGGACTTTGAAAAAGAAATGCAAGTACTGTATATATTTATCAGAATAAAAGCCACAATCATACTTATATTTTGAATGATTTTGGCACGTTTTGCTGCTGTTTAAAATCACAGGTGGCTTATATTGCCTAATCAAGGGCTTTCATTGTTTTATCCAGATCATGTCAAGCTTTCCTGATACTTTGAAGCTGAGGGTGATAATGCAGAAAATGAGAAAGAAATACTCCTCTGGGCCATGTTGATTGCCCATGCTGGACGATTGGTTGAACTGCAATGTCTCTTATTTTCTGGTTTAAGTAAATGGTTTTGTATGGTTTTGTGAGTGCAGTTTCTAATTAAGGATTGCCTGCATTTTTTGATGAACCCCTATTTTCTGTGGCTTATAATCAATAGCGGCTTATACACAAGGGTGGCTCATAATCGAATAAAAACGGCAATTTTTTTCTATTGAACTATATGGACAAGAAAAATCTAGTTAAAGTTTAGGGCTCAAAATTGCCATTATTTTCAAAACATAGGTTAAGTAGGGCGCCATTAGAGATATGAGTAAAAGTTAAAAGACTCTATCATTCAAGTTAAATAAAATTGTGCTTTCAAGAATGTTATGTTCAGCAATGCTTTGGAATCTGAGAACAGAAAAGCTATTGGCTCCACCAAGATAACAAAAATTTGCACATCATTGCATCACAGTTAAGCAACAGATGAATATAAAGAAGACATACCCATCGATCCCCACTCCAGTCTTGATGATGTTTTTGTCTTCCAAAAGGCATTTTAAAGCAACAGGAAAACCTTAGAAGGGAGATGTAATCCTGCTCTTAGTACATTGTATGCAAACGATTACAGTAATATAGGCTGTTACTTTTCTTGATCTTCATTATATTTCTATTGAAAAAACTGCTGAATACTTTCAAGGTTTTGATACAGTATAAAACAACTAGATTTGCAGTCCATAGTCAGTGGAAAAATTGTGGCTACAGGTTGATACAAACATTTTTGCGGCCGGAAGCCTTTACATCCTTTACAATCAGAAGATCAACACCCAAAAATCTAGAAGCAGTATGAAGACTTGTGAACAAGTTATTGCTATCGCTAATGCTTGTGAACATCTAATCTATTGCTAAGAATCAAAACTTAATGTCAACTTCCTCACTGTCAAGCAAGGCTATGCCCAGGTCTAAGAAGGTTCGGAAGCTCTTCACTAAATTCAAGCAATCAAAAATCCAAAAGAAATCTTCATTACCTATTTGCCCGGCAGAACTTTTTCAGTATGCTTATAGATAATAGAAATATACTCTAGGACAAATGGTCAACAAACTGTGACCAGTATATTTCATGTATTCTCTATACAAATTTTAGAATAATCACAAAGGCCTCACCATTCATAGCTGCTAGATGAAACAAAAAGCATTCCTTCTCAGAGGTGCAAATCTGTAGAAGAGCTGTTTTGCATAGCCCCTCACCAGCCCTGTAGTTAACTTTCCATTCAATGTCAAATCCACAAACAATTGGTTTATGAGGGCTGAAAATAAGCATCACATGGAATAAAAAATCAAAATCTTAATTCTTTCCATATGTCAAATAAGAGTGGAAATATTTTAATCTTTTGTTTTAACCCAAAGCAATATATTCATAGACAAGAAAGCTAATAAAAAACTCAACTGGATTTTACATCAAGAGCATAAAGAGCAAGAGCCATAATTACAATGCCGTAAATGATAAACAAAAAGATCCTGTGTTGCTAAAAGAGCAAGTCTGTTGTCAAATTACCTGTCTAGCATATTTTGGCAAACAAAGTTTCCTTCATCCTTCTGATGAATATAATGTACTTTTCCATTGAAAGTGAGGCATGTTGCTAATTGTTCAGCAAAAGAAAGGTCTTTTTCTTTTACATCTGGCTTCTTTTGATTTGGTCTGTATGATTGAATCTAGAAGTTAAACTGTATTACAAAAAACACAATATTCAAGTATTTGGTTTTATAAGTTAACTATCAAAATAGCAACAAAGAAAATAATAATTTACAAGATTGCACTATTTCTGCAATATTTAGAATGGAGTAATGCAGAACAGCAAAAGCTAAGGGGGAAAGCAACAACTTTGACACCTTTCAATCAAGAAAAAATATTTTAATTTTAACTGTGTCTTTCTTTTTCATGTACATTTCATGGAAACGCTTCTAATTATCCACAAAAATTAATTATCAAGCAAGGTGAACATTTCCTATTGGGAAATGCTATTAAGAACTTTGTCCCTTTGATGTGCTTCTTTGATAAACTTTTTTAATGGTTAACTTGTAAATCAAACTTATAGCTTTGGTTAACCTGGATCTCTTTGCAGTTTTAGGTTTCAAATGCTTGAGCACCATTAAATAATGCAAATTATAAAGAAAACCAGCAGTGGCAATTTCCTAAGCTAGGTTTTCTTTGGTAGACTAAATAAAGAGTGTCCCATGCTTTACAACATCTAAATTATCAGATAACTTGGCATCAAATTGTTATATAAAATGAAGAACTTCATACATACATTCTGACAATCTGTGCTTTCACTTTCTAAAAAATAAATCACAAAAATTGGTGACCTGTGTCTTCAGACAAGAATGTGGGGGCGAATTCATCAACTATAAAACGTTTTTTAATGAAACTTAGGCAAAAGTTTTCAAAATCATTTAGTGACTCGAGTGGTTCAAAAAAGTTGGTTAAATTACCAGTGCACTGCAGTGTTTCCTAACTGGAACAGAATAAATACAGCCTTTTCCTTTTAACTTTTAGTGTAAATATATGCTGATTACATAAGGTTTTCATTAAACACAGATTCTATTAAGAACAATTGAATCTATTTTTTAACATGACTTTTGAGCATAAATTCGATTTGGCCTGAAAATAGATTTTCTTGCTAAAAATCATTGATTTCTTGCAACCGTTTCACTAGTTTTTGCAGGAATCAGAATACAAAGATGCTAGAGAAGTGCCTGCAGAACATATAGGGAAGAAATACCAGTTAAAATTATGGGAATAAGATGCTTCTATACCTTCACACATCATTAGAATCACATCTTACCGAATACAACACATGCACGTGCAAAAAGCCAACAACAAGAATCGAAAAGTTTCAACCAGCAGAAGGAAAATGCCCGAAAATCAACCTCGTATTACCTTTATTGTGTTTGGCTTTCATCCATGCTGGTAACTCGCGAACTTTAGACATGTTTTTTAAATCTAGTCTTCGAAAAGAAGTTGCAGACGAAAAGGAAAGAAAGTCATATCAAAGTTCCCGCGTTTTGAGAACGAGGTGAGATCAACATGGCTCGCTGAAGGAGAACCCAAATTGGATGACTCAAACTAGATAAATTATTTTCAGCGAAAGTCAAACATTTAACTTTGACATACATAAAGATATAGATTAACATTATCGCCTTTAGAAAATCATTGAAATTTCGCCATCTGATGATTCTACCATTCCTTAGAATAAATATCATTTCCTTTAAAAAATTGGATTCCAGTAAACCGAGCTTCAGAGTACAGAAGTATAAATAAAAACCACTAGGTTTGTAACACGTTCTACTGTCGTAACTGACCCTTCGATTCCATCAAAACAAAAATTTGATCATGAATGTTCTCTTTATCTAAACAACTTCGTTATTTTCCTGTGGCTGAATAACACAAAACAAACTATTGTTGTCTGAAGAGGACATTAAAGTTAGGATTAGGATGTATAAAAGTGCTTGAGAGTTGGAGACCTCAAGGTGTGGATCATCAGGGAGGTAGAATCTCGTCGTTCCGCACAATTTCTATTTGAAATCCGACGATCAGTGTCCCAAAATTGTTTATAGATGCTACTGAACAGAAAAACCAGGAAGTGACCAGGTCCTTTCTTACAAGAAAGCAAGGAAAGAACTTCGCAAATCCGTAAAAAATAATGAAGCTCCCGTATTCCTTGAACCGCTTTTTAAGAAAATCCGAGTTCAACAATGTGGGGAGTTCCAGCTTTAAATTGCCAGAATTCTGAAATCTACGACACACTTCCTTATAATTCCACTATTGTGCAAACCTCGATGACCCCGATCTCAAGGACAAAGTAAGGGACTTAGATGATATGAAAGGTTAATTTAGGTAGAGGAAGACTACTTAAGGGAAGAAGGTACAATGAATGAAGATCAAGAAAAGAACGAAAGGAAGATCACAAAGAAGATTAGATACCTAATTAATATCTAAATATTTAAGGAAACCGATGCATTTGAGAGAAGAGATATTGGAAGAGGAGAATCCGCATGAGCGATCAGACATGTCCGTGAAAGAAGAGGAAGATAATGACAGCTTAACAACATTGGATTCCACGAAACGATGAAGCCGGAAGAAGGAAGGGGTCAGGTAGAAGAGAAACAAAAAGCTGGGTTGACGGCATTAAGTTTCAGCTGCAGATTGGAGCACTACACTCTTTCTTTATCCAAGGACACACTTCCTAAGAACATCAAGGCTCAACTTGTTGAAAAAGCGAGAACAAATTAAGAACGTGGCCAGTCTCAGATGAAAAATTAGAAGAACCATCAGTTTCTCAAAATTTTCTCTCAATTAAAACAAAAAGAGAGATTTTATCAGGTAATCAGCCATATACCAAAAAAGTTTTTTAAAGAAAGAGTAAGACTTTTTGGCTGATACTGCAAATAATATGTGATAAATACTGTACTTCGATGATAATGCATACAAAAATCACCCAGCTCTCGGTATTTAACTTGTTTAATTCCACCCCCCCACCCCCCAAAAAAAATTATTAGCCTCCTCAATCTGTATGCTCCACTGTCCTTGCTTCGATGACGAATGGCACAGAAGGATGCTAAAAAATCAACATGTAATTGATGGACGAAATAACACTTTATCAAAATTATTAGTTTGAACAATTTGCGTTAAACGGAGTCTTGTATGCCTCTAAAGAGATAGAAGGAAATTTCAACAGGTTTTGGGATGGTTTTTATGTATTGCAGCAAAAAATAAATGTTTCTTCATATAGAAGAATGAAATCTAACGTCATGTCATAAGAACAGCTTAACAATGAAGAAATGTATAAAAACAGTCGATGGCAGAGCAATTTTTTGGCAGATTTTAGGCACCTCAATTTATGAAATTGTCTTGAGATAAAGGAGGGGAGGGGGGGTAGGGCAGGTTTGACTCGCCTAAAATTTTACAAATTTTACAGTTAAATCTGCAGGTGGGTACTACTTTTTGATAAGGTTTCGGTCTTCTAAATGGAAAGAAAAAATTATCAGGAACAGCTGCAAACCTTCCTATGATTTGCTTGATAGCAAAATTCAATCTTAAAATAGTTTCATACCCATTTTCAGTGCTTGATCAGAAGGAGATAATGCTTCTATCAGTAAACAGCAGCTGCTCATTACAAACAACAAGATTATCTTTACCGAAATATGATACGGAGAATAAAGTCTATGCATGGTTTCGAAAGTTTCCGTCTTTTCAAAACACAACCACCTTTACTTTTCGGTCTTTTCAAAACACTATCACCTTTAAAATGCTTACATGCAGTTTCGGCAGGGTCGGGTATAAGTTCATTAAGCTGCAATTTTCACAGTAGTCAAGCAGACAAAATAAATCGTCCAAAAATGAAAGATGACTATAGCGAACGCAGACGATTACATGCAAAGTTAAAAACACACATTTTCAACAATCTAATTTACAATTTAACGTGATTTCGCTTTTGTAACTACTGGAAGTCCATAAAGAACAGGCGAAGCACCAATAAGGTATGGAAGGAGGCAAGCCTCCCTTGCAGACGAAATGCAGTCTGTTAAATTGACATCTGTGTCCAGCCAATCCTTGAGTAGCTTTGAAAGGAAACGATCAATGTCTTTATCTGTCACATCCCAAAGATTTGCAACTATTGCTGGGCTACGAGGAAAAACGAACATGAAATGAGTTAAGCCCTGAGTTAATAAGCATTTGATGCTTTCCAGCACACCAATTCAACTTATGACGACAAAAAGTTAAAAATTTTACGAAACAATTTTTGCGGTAAAATCTCTTACAAATTTTTAAACTTCATTTTCCGTAAAATTTTTAAAACAAGCAGAAGCAATATGAAAAATGGTACCCGGCCTAAAACTATGGTGATAAAAACCAAATATGAGTTTAAAAAAGTCGTACAAAGAACACGAATTTGAGAAATTTCCAAAAACGAAGCCGAAAGTCGAATTAGTGTATTATCTCACGAGGTTAACGGCTCATGTGAACAGGTTTGTTGTCATTGAGCACATACAAATCAATTTGAATTATTTGCGAATGAGCAAAATGGTTAAACTTTACTTACTATAATGTTACTATACGTACAATTTTGCTTTGATTGATACTATTTTATATCTACGAATTGTCAACTGTGTGTTCATATATTTTAATTGCCTAAGTGTTGTCTAATTGATTTATATGACTCTGCTAACATAGTTCAACCAACATGGTTTTGGGGCGTATTGGTCGCGACGTCTCTTTGTTTCAACGGAAAATGTTTCTTTGATCACAAATTGAACTCTGTGGTTAGAGGCGTTCCTGAAACTATTAGCAAGGATTCAGAAAGTAGATGTTTGGAGCTTGGCAAAAGGTTCTATCAAAAACACAGTTGTGAAAGCTAGATTCATGTTTTGGGATCAAATTTAAATGGAGAAGAGGTCTATCAAGCCAAGATGGAAAATTTTGCATCACTTCAAAGAATTTTTTTCAGGGTTTATTACTCTGTTTTCTCTCATCGGCGTAACGACTGAATGTATAAAGGCTGATTGATTAATTAATATTGCACTTACCATCCGGCCATTAAATAATGCAACGCCATGCCCCTTGCATCAAGCTCGCCTTTAACCTGGCAGCAAAGCGAATCAACAATTAAATATGACTTATAAAACCCTGTCTCGACGTCTCAGTTTATTTCCTAACCCAAGGCCCTATAAAAAGGCATACAACTGCTAGCCTAAGAGCTTAAGCAACGTTGTATAAAATGACGACATAAGCAGATAACCCCCAAACTTTTTTAGAGTTGGCCTCGATATGCATTACAATATACTAAATCTGAATCTCTATATCTGCAAACGAGACTTTAGTGAAACGGAAGGTATAAAGACTATAGTGCAAAACTGGAATACAGTTCAAGTTGCTGTCACAACCAAGGTTGTTTGCAAAGACTCTTGGGAAGCATGATGATATCAATGGAGATTGTCGGTATCACAAACATTTAGCTGTAATATTTGAAGTTTCTAGGGGAGCGTTCACAATCGACTTCAACCATTTCGAGCCCTCCTACCCACTCTTGTCAACCTTTGGCAAGCAATACTCCTGCTCCCTCTAAATTGACAAAAGTTTTGCATTACCACGTGTAAGGCAAAAACAAAACAAACCAACATTTCAGTGGAATAGAATAAAATTCTTTCATAGTATAATATAAGGAACACAATAGATGTATAATACATTGAGTGCAAAAAGTGTCTGGTGAAACATTCTTGGACAATAATCTTCAACGAAGACATTTTTAGGTCCTTTTTATATTTCAGGGAATTTCGAAACATTTCATTGTATCATACAAAAAATCATGGTGAAAATCTTGTTACAAATTTGAATATGATTCTTAAATTATACACAGAAATCGATGTACCTTTGCCGATAAGCCCCTCTCCCAATCTTCTCAATTTTTGCCGATTTTCAGGTCCTCCCTTTTTTTCATTTAGCGTTGACGTAAATTTTTAAATGCTCACTTATTATGTTCATGTAAACTGCATTTGGAAATTCTTCTTAAATCTTTCCTCGATTGGAGAAACTTACTTAGGGATTTAAGCATTGAAATTTTCAAGAAGCAAGTTTCTCCAAACTTTAATAAATGTCTAAACGATGAAGATAATGTCTTTAAAAAAGCGGGAGTCCGTCTCTAACATGTTTTCATTTTTTTATATAATTGTTTCATCCTTTCATAAAAGATTTTAGAAGCCTCTCACCAACGATTACAAAAATAAACACTCTCTTTACATCCCATGTAATGACCTTAACTTGATGTCAGCTAAAATAAAGGGATTTTGTAATCTCTTGCTTTTTCAACAGGTAAGAAAAGTCAAAACTGTCAATAAATTTGAAAATAATTCTTTGTGTACCTGCAACTTCCCACTGCTACAGCCCATGAGGAAAGTTAATGCTCTACAGCTCAGGCGCTGAATGTCATCTCCGCGAAGAAATTCTCTTCCATTCCCATGGCCGCAATATCTGTGAAAGTGAACACCTTCATATTACCAAAACTAAAAAAGTTAAGTAATGGATACATCAGAGGGGAGGGGGTGAGAAGAACATCCCTTAATATGGATTCAGAATTCATTTACTAAAGCAGTGTAAAGATCTCACAATAAATTTGGACGTATGATTGTGAAGAGAATATTTGAATAGCCTTTATAGAGGATTTTAAGAAAGGTGTAAGGGAAACATATCATAGAAAAATCTTTAATCGCTCATATTGAAAATTTCTTTCAGCAAATTTAAGAGTGGCTTTAAGTGCTTGAAGATTGCTATCATATCAAAATGGTCAATCAAGTCTGATGCCGAAATTTGAATAAATCAAGCAGGTTTCTTGAAAAAATTCAAGCAGACACTGTTAGTGGTGGTCTCTTAAAGATTGTCCCTTCGCCTTCTGATACAAGAAAGCTCACTAATACGAAAACTATGTTTTCAGATCAAAAGAGATAAGTCACGGTTTACATACACAAACATTTGGTGATCTTGAAGTGCACGTTTGTATTCGTTTTCAGTTGGAGCCCTTCCACTGATTCCTTGCCAACCTTGGTCACTAATAAAGAATTTCAAACAAGATTATAATGAAGTTTGTAAAGGTCCATCTTGGGTATTTTCTTTCCGAATACTCTAACTACACTGGCTGAGACTTTGTAATTATACAAGAGGTTTCCCCTTTTCTACGAAAGGTCTTTTAAATGGCTACTATATCAATGCAACATTTCTACGGTTATTTGTCCCTTTTTGATAATGAGATGATCATGATTGGTCAAAAAAGTAACTAAAAACAAAAAGATATCGTCACCTACCTCTTGAACCATTTTTCGAACGTTTTTTGTGTATTTTGAAGATCGTTTCGTGGATTTAGTACATAAAATGTATCGCTAACGTCAACACCATTTGTTAAAAGAGTCTGAAAAATAACGTTTTTAGGGTAAATTGGCAACAAGTCGGTGAAATTCAGGTTTTATCTAAGAGGCCTGGAATATTTATACTGCAAAGTGGTGCCATTTTTTCTTTTTGGGACCACAGTTGACGATGCCACACATTTTTTACCACAAACTTGCAGGAAGAGTAAGGGAAGATTCTTATTTTGTTACCAAATGTCATTTGTTATCTAAAATAATAGAACTGAAGTGGGTATAATTTTTTGTAGAACAGAACAAGAAGAAATGGTATACAACATTATGATATTTTTGTGAACATTATTTATAACAGCTTTACAGGCCAAATCCTGATATGATAATCCGATTAACCTCTTGCCATACACTTCAAGAAGTTTGTTTACTGTATTAAGAAATCACAGGTCGCCTAGGGCAAGGGAACGCTCTCCCGCTAAGATGACATGCAACAAACATGTTGCCTGCCCGAAACCGCTATGTCCGCTGTTTTGCATTTACTTTCTGAATCGAGGCACAATTGACTGTTTCAATATTCAGAATATTCCCTTTATACTAAACATTTTAGGGTTTGAAAATCTACTTTAACCAGATGGTTCCATGGCCCAGTTCAATTTCCAGCCCTGAATTTCTATGGAGCTTTCTCTAAACTAACCCATACTAATAAAACACTTCATATTCAAGTAAGAAAGTTTTTCCTATTCCAAGGCCAGTACAATAAATAACATCCGTTATTTTGTCGTGAGAAAAGAGTAGTGTTTTTAAAACAAAATAAAGAATTCTGTTGCAATACAGTTTTTCAGTGCAATTCATATTTTGTATTCCTATTCAACACAACATTTCAAAATATTGAATCTAAAACATCATAAATGAAACTTTCACAAATTGTTGAAATAAATCTCTCTAGCAATAAAGACAAATTGGAAATTCAGAGCTTCGATGACAGCTAATTCAAATATATTCGAAATGCACGATAAATCAAAATGGTGATGGGAAGAAGCAAGTTAGATTTTAAAAGAAAAGGCCAATTTCTAAAAACAGCATTTAACAAGAATGACAATTGGCCTATATTCATTAAAATATCTTCAAATAAAACAGAAGTTTAATACATGTAAATTTCATTTGGTACCTCGGAAATCATGTGACTTAGTTTCGTCAGAATTAATGAAGGCATCCTTGAAACTGTTTGATGACGCAAAATTGAGGTGCTCTCCCATGGGATCTTCTGAAGGTGCTGAAAAATCAAGCAAGAGACTGCGATTTAGATTACTACAATAAATCTTTTTCATTTCAGTGCTACACATTCACACATTTGCATTCCATATATTGTCATAAAGCATCCCGTATCGAAGCCCCTTTTCAATAGGCTGATGATCGCATTAAGTATGAGATAAGGGGTTGCCCTGGAGGGGGGTTAGCTTCAATAGGCAGAGGACAGGAGTGTGCCATTTTGAAATATAAAATGCATACCCTTGAATTTAATTCAAATTTGCAAAAATCCAACAACTCAATCAAGTAAATGAAAACATATTACCTTTCTTTTAAAAATTATACCCCAGAAATTAAGGTCCTGTTAAAAATCAATCCCAGAATTTATGACCAAGTTTGATTTTACCAAAATCGATTCCCCAAAAATTATTTTCTACTTGACACACACAAACAATGCTAAACACACACAAACACGCCCTTCAAATATTATCCTCATTCTCATATAGCTTTCCCCTGTTCTTATACCATCATTTGACAGCTGGCTGATGATTGGATTAGGCGTGAAACTTGTAGTTGCAACTAAGAACCGTTCTGTTCAATAAACCAAAATGTGTATACCTCTGCTTATACGGCAACAGGAACTGTTTGACAGACTGACAAAACATCAGTTTTCATTACCATCCTATTCAGCAATTTTTATGTAGTACCCATTTTAACGGCGGTTCCCTTATGAAGCCCAAATGGTCACTCTTGTCATTTTATGACAGACTGGCTGAAATCAAATTCTTATAAGTCCGTCGTATAACTTTTTGAACAGAAAGATATTAGGACAAGCAAACGAACCTTATCCAGAACAAGTATCACAGGAGCTCGTTTCGTTGCATCATTATTCTTCGACCTTTTTCTAAAATGAAGAAACGATTTCTTGAAGCCGTAGAAAAAAGGACCCAAAAAGGGAATGATCTAGACGTTTTTTTCGAATCAATGTGGTACTTGATAAATGGCAAGAACAAATCATTTAAAAAATAATTGATACTACCGCCATTTAAAACTAATATAAAAAAATGTGATAAATATGATTGTCGACTAAAGCACACGTTTATGATTGTTAAAGAGCAAGCAATAGAGTTGCAAAGTGATATTTCCATATAAAAAAATGTTCAGAGTTCTCAGTTTTGACCACACACCCGAACAAAACCAGGAAGAAAAGTGCAAAGCAAGTTAAATGGGTTACAAATTGGCTAAGATATACCCAGTCAATGTCTTCCGATGGATATCTGTTGTTTTTGCCTGGTCAACTTTCTTACCAAAGACCCAACTACAATAATTTGAGGGAAAAACAGGATGTACTCGTGTGGTCATATCTCAGGAAGTCGGTTAAGGATTTGACTGGCTTTTCAAATTTGTGGGTATATCATGGTCCTCTTTCAGATCCTACGGTTTAAATCCTGTTTTATTAAAAATAGACTCATTTTGCCACTCTATAGACTTCATACCAAACCTTGCTATCTTTTAGAAAATCAAAGTATACAGAGGAGTTATAGCCTCTGGTCTATTCAATACGAACCCAAGTGAACAGCTACAAGGATCGGCGGTACTATGATTTAGCCAGAATCCCCCCCCCCCCTGATAGCTCAACATGTCTTCTTTTAAAATACAAAAGTCCAAAATTAAAATCGGGAAAGTGGTTAGATGTTGGATCATGCAAATATGCCACTCGTATGAGCTAGAGAGCTCGTTTTAACTGTTTTATTCAGGATTGTAGACGTAACTGAATCAAGAACAGAAATCAACAACAACAGAAAATTGATGCCTTGGTCCAGGGGTGGACAATTGCAGCAAAAAGCTGGACTCGCGCTGGGAGACCAGTAGCTTTTTCTGTTGTCTCCCGCATAGACATGTGGTCTCCCAAAGCGGAACTCTGGTGACCGGAGGCATTTCAAGAAAAATTTGGTCGCCCAGCGGATACCCTGTGTACTCCCGCAGATGAAAACCGGTCGCCCAGGGTGCGCGGGAGACCGAATTATTCACCCCTGTGGTCCAGAAGAGTTTCTTACTTCTCTTTCCTCCCTCTACATGGTGTACTCTTAACATCCGGTTTTGTATCCTCATTGGTCAGCCTTTCTGCTTTCTCAAAAAACATCTACAAAGAACAAACAACGCAGGATAAGCAAGATGTCAGGCAACGACATCAATACCGAAGGAAAAACAAGTAAAATTGCTATTTAACCGGGTACCAAGAGCAATGAACAGTGAGAAAAATGATAAGCAGAGCAAATAATGCGTTTGTTTTAAAGATCTTCCTAGCACAATATTTATATGTTTGCTTGATACATAAACAGCAAATTGAAGTAGTGGTGGTAGCTATTTGAACAGCCAGAGAAAGGGAACAATTTTCAAAAGAAACATAATTCTCGATTCTATACCTCATATATTTGCTCTGTGAATTGAGAATCCAACAGCTCCTCCAGACCTTTCATTACTTGAACTTTCTTTAACTGTTGGTAGCTGTCAAAAAGGATCTGCAGGAAAATATAATACATATTTTACATACTTATTCTCCAATACGTACGTTAATATGTACTTATTCTCCAATACGTGATTTGTAAATAATGCTAACATTTTTATCGTTATGGTGTTATTAGTAATCATGTTGCTGATGTGATTCTGATGTTCTGATTTAAAGCGATCCTATGATTTTGATGATGATTATAAAGGTGATTGTGGCAGTTACGGTGAACTATGAAATGCTGGTTAAGAAACATCCCACCTTGTTGAAAAATCACTATTTTCATCCTTAATATTTTTTAACTTATAAACATTGGATTGCATCAAGAAATTTCTCGATTTTGATGTAAAGAAGCTTGAGGGATGATAGCAGGCCGAGTCTAAGTAATTCTATATCTCTAAATGATGAATGAGTAAAGTGCAATAACTTTGAGACGAATTTGCATTTCATAGTACATTGTAATCAGAGCAAAATTTATCTAAAAGTTATGCGTTGGGGCTCGTAACGAATTGAGCATATATCTTTACCTCGACAAAGTCCCTTGGTAATTTCACTGAATAATGGGCCTCAACATCATCGCAAAATTCTTTCGCAAGCTCACTGATAAGCGAATTTTCAATCGAATCGATTCTCTCTCCATGAAGCAAGCCCTTCCAGCTTCCTAACCACTTTTCTTCAATTTTGCTCAACATTTTCTGAAATTCAAATAAATAACATCGAACATTAATACGGAAATGATCATTTCTAAATACAATATCTGTCATGAGGCCAGTCTCCTACCCCTCTAAAGACAGAGTCTTCGATAAAGTGAAGTTATTAACACTTTAATCGAGAAATCTTCTATCGAAATTTGCTTCCTTGTTAGCACAATAATGATGGAATATTTCGAGCTTGAGATTTGAGCTTGAGATTTGAATACTTTAACAAAAAAATCCTGTACAACCTTACCGTCAGCTGGTTTCGAGATTTAAATATTAAGTGTTTGAGATAAATTCACGGCACCAATTTAATTAAATTTCAAAAGTGACAAATCAAAACTGACATAAATCTTCATTAACATTAAATGCCGATAGTCACAGGAAAACATTCTGGAAATACCGTGACTCGTCTTTCTTCAAAAATTTCCAAAACTTCTTTTGCATAAACTTTAGTCCCTGAATTTCACGCAATCAACGATGTTGCTACTACATGTTTGAGATGCTTTTTTGGAAAAAGAAAAACTTGGCAATACACCACACTTATTTGACGTAATGAAGTTAGGTCGTAAAAACATGGGAGTTACTTTTAATCGGGCATCTAGCTTCTTTCTGTCATTCCACCATGTTTTGACGTCATCAGTCTGCAAACTCTGGAGACTTTGTTCGAGAATATCTTGGAACTCTTCGAATGGATCGGTGACAAATACGGACGCAAGATCACGCACAAGAGAACCAACTTCAGAATCCTGCAACAGATGCAGTACTCACTTTCTTACAATTACACCTGTGCTATAAATGTGACATACAAGGAAGGGGCACTGAATTGCTTGCGATCAGTATTCTCATACCGATTGTCAGTGCTACTGATAAATAATTTTACTGTTGAACAGAGTCTTTGAAAGGCTGACTGACTTTGTCAGGTCATTATTAAGATACTCATTGTCAGGTAGTAAGATACTTATAAACTCAATAATGCACAATTCCTATAGGATTCTCAAGAATATAGGTCAATAGAAAATCTTGGACAGACAATCAAATGCTTGACAAAAATTTAATCAACAAAACAAGCTGAAACTTTTAAATAACCTTAAAGACATCGAAAGAGGGACAACAAAAGGACTAGGACGGAAGAGTGGATACTACGCATCAAGTCCCTGAAGACAATACAGTGAAACTGACCTCTTTTTCGGTTTCGTCCTGATCGTTGATTGGTAGACGGGCAACCAATGGTTGCTTGCCAGCCTGAAGTCTCGTTATCAGTATAGCTTTTGCGCCAATGTTTGACAATCGCAAGGAGCAGATTCTCCAGTCTTCAACAAAAAATTATCAGAATATTGTCACTCAGTGCTTGAAAGAAATAGGGACTAAAGAAGCGCAAAGTAATGGCAATGCGCTATTTTCGACTTTGTTTACTTTCTATCTATCCTTGATTTAGCAACGCCAGAATTAGGACATTCGTTGCCCTTATCATTCAACTCCAACTACGAAAAGTCCAATCGATTGAAAAAGATGAGGATTTTATTCAAAAAACACAGATTTCACTTAGAATCAAATTTGACTTTAGGGCACATGATTATGAGAATTTTTTAAAGTGTAAAAAACAATTAAGGGATTCTTGCAAGGAATTTAAAAAGCAAGGCCTTATGTTTCAAGAAGTTTAATTGTTTGAAAAAGGCAAATTGATTTTAAGGTCTGGTCATAAGTATGTAAGCAGACGCCAATCACATGCGCATAGCATAACGAGGCAGGTAGTAGGACATTAGTTAACGAAGTTTACCAGAAATCAAGAATAAAATATCCTTGAAATATAAAGATTTCTACCATGAACAACTATATATATCGTAGGGATTCAATTTAGGGTACAAGGGAAGAAAGTTTCTTGGGCGAGCTGAACTGTCTTGATCTATGCAAGAAAGAAAGAAAATTCAAAATTTAACATTGATTATTAAGACTTCTCCTGTTTTTAATTCAATTGCCAATTCAACCAAATTTCCGTTCGATATATTTTTTCATACTTGGGTAGACTTATTGGAAAGGTTAACTACCGCGTTAATATAAGAGGGATGATCAGGACGCGTGATAAATCGCTCTCATGGTAGCAGTAGGCACGTGTAGAGGTGCACGCATATCTTTGCGCGCCATTCATAGAAGTCTTTATTTTTAGGCAACCTGTCACACTGGAGCTTGCTCTCTTAATTTATTTTTGCCTGCTGAATTTCGCTGAATACACATTGAAGCTGAAAAGAAAATGCATTTCAAGGTAATAAGAACCAAAAGGAATAAACGAAGTATCAAATTTACCAGAAGGCAACCCATCCAACAACAGCTTGGAAATGTTTTCTTCGTTCTGGAACGCGAATGTTTCGTTCATTCCAGTAACTGTTGAAATTGTTTCCTCTAGAAACAAAGCCTCGTTATCGTTGCAGGAAGCCTGAAAGGAAAATTATGCGAGTCAGCTCAAAGCGAGGCAAAAAGGCCGGGCTTAATGTAAAAGAAGGTTGGCAAAATTTTCAAATGCCCTTAAGGACAGAGGTGGCAAAGGCACTCATGAGATCTTCTGAAAATTTGTTTAGAAAATATAAAAATTGTTGTTTCTGTTAGCAAAAATACGTACAAAGAGCTTGAAGTTTTTAAAATGAGCTGAATGTCTCCAAGAATTATTGTTTTTCTCATTGTCTGATCTAGCCCAATTTTTCAACAAATGGCATTTCTAAGCTGATTCAAGGCATTCAACCCTACCTTAGCGACTTCTTCGGAAATTTGGACTAACTTTTGGGCGAAAGCGTGATATATCTTTCACTACAAATCTGTGCCTGCTATGTGATGTCTTTGGGGAAAGGGGGGGGGCTATTTCTGTATCGTACGGTCAGTAACCTTTTAATTTTACAAAACTTTCTTTTACTGCACAGGATGTTCTAAGGACTTCTGGCAGGGATTGCAGTAAGATACAGAGTGATGCCAAACATTTCAACTCTTCTAACTGTTAATTTAAAGTTATGTCGAGTTTCGCAGAAATAGCGTAAAGAAATCACGAGTGTATATCTGACAACATAACAAAACTCAATAATAATAGCGAACACAACTTCAGCAAGCGAGACACACTAAACTCATTACAGTCACATGATGTATAACCGCTTTTGCGGAACAGGAAGCGGATGTAGATACGAATCAATATAACAAAAGATAATTATTGTTCAACAGTCCCCCTTGATGAGTATCTTCTCTTAGTCCTTTAATCTAAGACCCATCAAGTTTCGCAATTTTTCAAACTTTTCTTTAGGCAGCGCTTTAGTAAGGATATCTGCAATCATTTCCTCTGATGGACAATACTTTAGATTTACTTGTTTCTTTTCCACAGCATCTCGAACAAAGTGGTACTTTATATCTATATGCTTTGTTCGTGAGTGGCTGGTTTGGTTCTTTGATAGAGCGATTGCTCCTTGGTTGTCTTCGAATATTGTTGTGGGTCCCGATGTTTCAATTCCTGAACTCTCTATCAATCTTCGAAGCCAGATAGCTTATTGCGTAGCTGTACTGAGACTGATGTACTCAGCTTCTGTCGTTGACAGCGCAACAACACTCTGCCGTTGACTTCTCCATGAAACTGTAGAACCTGCTAGTTGAAACATGTATCCTGAAGTAGATCGTCTTGAATCAACGTCACCAGCCCAATTTGCATCAGAATACCCTTGTAACTTTAAACTTGCGTTGTTTGCGTCAAACGTAAGGCAGTAGTCAAGTGTTCCTTTCAGGTAACGGAATATTCTCTTAACTCCTTGCCAATGATCTAAAGAAGGGTTTGACATGAACTGACTCAGAGCTCCTACAGCAAAACATATGTCTGGTCTTGATGCAATCATGGCATAGTTTAATGATCCGATTGCTGCTTGATATTCTTTCTTGTCAAACGCTTTTTCACCATCAGATAGCTTCGTGTATACCTTTCCAGGTTCCATTGGTGTAGAGACTGGCTTACAGTCAGTCATACCAAATCTTTTAAGGACGTTCTCTAGATATGCCTTCTGATTTACAAAGAGAGTTCTATTTTCTCGACTGCGCTCAATAAGCATTCCTAAACATTGCATCGCAGGTCCCATATCTTGCATTTCAAATCTTTGTGATAACATCTGCTTCTCCTTCACAAGCAATTGGCTATCATTGGAAGCAATCAGGATATCATCAACGTATAATGAAAGAATCACAAATGATACCTGATTTCCATTGCTGGACACCACTTTTGTGTATATGCATGAATCTGCATTGCTCTGCTTGTACTCAGAATCCTTTAGAAATCTATCGATTTCCATATTCCAGCATCTAGCCGACTGTTTCAGGCCATACAGACTTTTCTTTAACTTGCAAAACTTTCCTTCTGCGCCCTCTTTAACGCATCCAGCGGGCTGTGCCATGTAAATATCTTCCTCGAGTATGCCGTTTAAGAAAGCAGTCTTAACATCCATTTGGTGAAGCTCGAGATCTAATGTGTTGGCAACAGCTAGAACTACTCGAATTGAGTTATACCTCGCAACAGGTGCAAACACTTCATTGTAGTCAGTTCCTTCTTCTTGGGAGAAACCCTGAGCCACTAGGCGTGCTTTGAATCGATTGAAGCTACCATCTGCATTCCTCTTGATCTTAAAAATCCATTTGCAGCCAACAACATTCTTGTCAGGTGGTAAATCAACTAGCTCCCAAGTGTTGTTCTTGGTTAATGATTCATATTCACTGTCAATGGCGTCCTTCCACTGTGTTGCGAATTTACTGTTCAATGCTTCTTGTAGACTTTTAGGCTCTTCACTGTCCTGCACTGCAATACTTGCACAGTCCAAATCTTCATGTTGCCACCATTCACCCGTTATACTTCCTAATCTTTCAGGAGCAACTCTGTTTCTTTGAGGTCTTTGATGCAGTTCTTCTGGTACAGCATTTTCTTCTTCTTGATTCTCTGCAAGTTCTTCATTATCTTTACTCTTGTTGGCATCTTGTACGGCCTTGAAATGCAAAGCATCAGACGATAAATCTTTCTTGTCAGTAGTTAACAGTTCTGTTAATCCCTTTTCATTGTCAAACAGTTTGTGTTCGAAAGAATTCTCCAGAAATATGACATCACGACTTCTTATCATCTGCTTTGTTTCAGGATTGTACAACTTGTATCCTTTACAGCCAAAAGGGTAACCAACAAAGATACAATGCATAGACTTTTTGTCCAGTTTGCTTCTTTTTTGGTCTGGCACATGGACAAAAGCATTACAGCCAAATACTTTGAAATGGCTTACATCAGGTTTCTCATCATACCAGCACTTATGTGGTGTTTTCTCTTTCAAACATGATGTTGGGCTTCTGTTTCTGATGTAATTTGCTGTAGACACAGCCTCTGCCCAAAAACTCAATGGAAGATTACCATGATGTAGCATTGACCTTACAGTTTCTATGATTGTTCGGTTCATGCGTTCAGCAACGCCATTCTGCTGTGGTGTGTAGGGAACCGTGACTTCGTGCAGTATTCCACGACTTTTGCAATATTCAGCAAATTCTTCTGAAATGTATTCGCCTCCATTATCTGATCTAAGCTTCTTTACTTGTTTTCCAATCAGTCTTTCAGATGACTCAACAAATTCTTTAAATTTATCCAGTACTTCACTCTTCTTCTTTAGCATGTACACAGTAGTGTAGTGAGTACAGTCATCTATGAAGGTGACAAAATACCTTGAACCTCCCACTGAAGTGACATTCATGGGACCACACACATCACTGTGTATGAGTTCTAAAGGCTGAGTATTCTTCTGTGAACAGTTCTTTGAAAATGGTTGGCGACTTTGTTTCCCATAGGCACAGCCTTCACATTTTCTATCAGTTTGCTCATTTGGTTTCCAGCTCAGCCCATCTACCATAGATTTGTTGTGCAGCAGCTTCAGGTTGTCATAACCAAGGTGTCCATAGCGATAATGCCAAAGTGCATTGTCATCATTTGCAACAGTTGATCCAAAACAGCATGATTGCTCGGGATCTACATTCAATTTATACAGTTTTCCATGCTTGTGGCCTATACTGTATACATTGCCATTGATGATTATCTTGCAATGTTGACCTTTGAACTGCACTTCTGCATCTTTGTCAGTGATAGAAGGCAAAGATAGCAAGTTTTTCTGTATTTTTGGTACGTAAAGTACATCTTTCAGGGTTGCATTCACCTTGTCTTTGCCATCATACAAAACAAGCTGCAATTCCCCTTTTCCATAAGCAAAAATTACAGTATCATCAGCAAGCTTCACTTCTATTGGTTTCTTGAATGGTGTATATCCATACATCCCCTTTTTAACAGGGGTCATGTGCTGTGATGCCCCCGAGTCTATCCACCAGTCATCTTTATCTGATGGAGTATTACCCACAGCTAACGCAATCTCAGTTGCTGTTTCTTCATTTACCTTGCCATTTTCTTGTTTTGTTTCTGCCATACTTGCTGTTACGTTCTTGGGGTTATTTTTTGCATCAGCTTTCTTTTTAAAGCAATCCCTGGCAAAGTGTCCGGGCTTTTTGCAATAATGGCATTGAAATTTCTTGCAATTATTTATTTTCTTGCGTTCTGTTAATTTCTTTGTAAATAATGCATCTTGGCACGCCTCAGCTTTTGGAGTACTCACTGTCCCTTCACTTCCGCCCTGCATTTTATCATATTCGTGAATTAATCTGTCACGAACATAGTTCCAACTCAATTTCTCTTCAGCAATTGTTTCTAGAGCAGTGATCAAATAATTGTATTCCTCAGGTAGACTGCTTATTAAAATGATAACCAAATCTTTTTCAGCTATTTCGTCATCCACTGCTTCCAAATGCTCGGCAAGTGTTTTAATATAATTTATATGGTCGATCATTTTCGCTCCTTTTCCCATTCGTGCAGAATATAGCTTCCTGCGGTAGAATATTTTTTGTGATAGCGATTTTCGTTCAAAATGTTGTTCAAGATTGTCCCAAGCTTCTTTAGCATTCTTAGCAGATCGAACATAAATTTGTAAACTTGTCTCAACAGACAGGCACACTGTCGCGAGGGCCACATTTTCCCTCTTTCGAAATCTCCTTTGCTGTTCAGGATTTGCTGCGGCATTCAGGGTTTCTTCTCCCGTAACTAATTCCCATAAATCTTTTCCGATAAGGTACATTTTCATCTGGAACTTCCAGCTATGATAGTTCTCTCCATTCAGTTTTTCAACTTTAAAACCAGTGTCTTCGGCTGCCATGATTACAGCGAAATATTCCAACAGACTTCCTCTGATTTATTTGTGTACGGAGCAAATATCTAAGCCATGTACAGACGAAAAAACTTATGAAAAGTGTCTGGGCCCATAACCTGTTAATTTAAAGTTATGTCGAGTTTCGCAGAAATAGCGTAAAGAAATCACGAGTGTATATCTGACAAAATAACAAAACTCAATAATAATAGCGAACACAACTTCAGCAAGCGAGACACACTAAACTCATTACAGTCACATGATGTATAACCGCTTTTGCGGAACAGGAAGCGGATGTAGATACGAATCAATATAACAAAAGATAATTATTGTTCAACACTAACAACTCCTAAACTCTTCAAATGATTCACCTCTTTTAAAGGAGACAATTATCAGGGGGCCAGAAACAAAGAAGTACTAGAAATTTTGACCAGGAAACTTTTCACCTCTGCTGAAAGGCGGCATTATTAAAGACATAAAATTGCCTAAGAATATATATTAGAATGACTAGCAACTCATTCCTGTAAGATTTCAACAAAAAGTAGATTGCTTAGAAAAAGAATTGAGGAAGCTACCTTGTACTCCGAAACACTTTTCCTAGAAAAGAAAAACTCGTTTTATAGCCTTGGTTTATACAAAAACTTAACAATAAAATGTTTGGGTCTGATAAGGGAGGCACCATCCAAAATTTTAAAAGTCCCATTCAAAACCTTTGCTATATGTGCAATGTTGAGGTAATCTTAGACAATTCTACAATTTTGGCCAGCTTTAACACGTACGATCTCAGGAAGGAAAGCATTTTATATAGGTTTTGTCTAAATCCACAAAGACTTCAAATAAAACTTTAGGCCGCAGTGAAATCTTTGCTTACAAACAATGAATATATCTAGATTTCTTGTCATTTGACTTGTTAGCTATCTCTACTTAACTTTATAGCCAAAGACTTGTTAGCTATCTCTTCTTAACAGACAAGTAGGCTAACTAAGGTCGTAATGGCATCTTTTATATGGAGGTTGAGAGAACTTTGTTTCAAGCCGGGCAAAATAAAGACGTAGAAATATTACTCTGTTTATGGTCTTCTCTTTTTACCCGGCTCGCGACCATCGTGGGTGTGAAAGTTTGGTATTACGACTCGTTCTTATTGACTTTCGATGGAGCCATAACCCTTCCCATATCTCCTTAAAGCCAGATTTTGCTCTTACCTCATATTTTTGATTGACCTTGATAGCAATTGCTGATGAAGAGTTCTTGAAAACGAAAGTTGCTCCAAATAAGCAGCCTGCTTGGGTGACTGCTGTCCCGATACGAGAGACAAAAGCTCATAAAACGACTTTATTTGCAGGCAGTCCAGTTGGGGGATGAGAAGAGACAGGCCTTCTGAACACATCTTGCTTAGGTCTTCTAGCAGCTGGTCTAATAAAATAGAAAAGCATCAGAGATATGTGGCATCCGGATATCAAATCGGCTTAAAAATACAAGAAAATTGACTTAACGGAGGAATTCAAACAAATAGGAGGGTTAAAGCTGAAAACATGCCAGGTCATGAAAAGACTGGCACAAGGAACGGTATAAATTGACAAATACAGTACGTAAACATTTGTAAGAGTTCCTTTAATTTATTTCATTGTCAAAAACTCTGTCAATCGACAATAAATAAGAATATCTTACTAATATATTCAATTAACCTGGGACTGAGGTAATCCGCATTTCGCCATAGATTTCGAAGATTTTTGCGATGCTAATTCGCCTTCGTCCACATGTTTTTCTCGGGCAGTCCAAGACCTATTGCCAGAGTTCTTGCAACAAACACGCAACGAACAGTAAGGAAGGTGTGCTCAATGACATCTCTCTCTTACCGTTTTCGACTAAAGGTTGATTCAATAAAAATTTTAATGATGTTACTCCAAGGTTTGCGTAGATTTCCAGTGTAAGAATCTCTCGAAGCAACAACAGTAGAAATAAATAACCAAAAGTTCGGTTGGTCAAAGATTCTTTTACGAAATGTGAATGATACTCAAACACTAACCTAATTGCATACCTTCATCGTGTTTTCCTTTTACATCACCCTTTACATTAGGCATCGGTGCCTCATTATTCGCCGTGGGTTTCGCAGACTTTCGTGATGCCGCTTTCGGTTTCCGTCCTCGTCTTCGGCGTCCGTCCCTTACCTCAGGTGATACCTTTTTCGCCTCTGGAACATCTAACCCAGCTCCAGTGTGCGTAGCTCTTTGAATTTTTCTGCACAATTTCCATGAATGTTCAACAGCTTTTTGTCCGTGATCACTTGCCAAAAGCATCTCTACCTTGATCTGCAGAAGTTTGGCTATAGCTGTCCTATAGACTAAACTGATGACTCGGTATACAAGCGAAGTTCTTATATCGCTTAACGTCATGTCAATATCATTCTGCAGTCCGCAATTTTGACTGTAAAGCGCGAGGCGGTAGTCAATACAGGCAAATTCTATTCGCTGTCCGCAGTAAACTAATCGAGAAACATCGTCTGGTTCTAGACTACAGACTGTTTTGTCATCAAACATGTCTTTAGAGAAAAGTGATTTGTCAGAATGAAATTTCACCTTTTTCTTCCTCTTCATGGTATATGAACGTAAAACATTTCTTAAATTAATAACCGCATTTTTCCCTCTTTGCACAGCCCCTTCCAAAGCCGCGCTCAGTGAAACCGCTTTACATCGAGTATCCACTATATCCTTTGATGCAATCAAGCTATAATGGCGCCTTAACATCAAGCATTTTAAACAAAGATCAACTAGGAAGACATCAGAACAAAACTCGCAAGCACAATTCTCTTCATGACGATAAAAAGCTGGTACTTCGTGAGGCCTTTTCCCCTCTTCAGTTTTAGCTCGTAAAGTTTTGACAATTTCTGAGATGGACATCTCCGCCTTCTCTTCATCGTGTGATAGTAGGCTGGCTTTTGCATCTTCGACGAGGAATTCCAGCTTTCTACAAAAGGAAGCAGCATTTGTAGAATGCTTGAAGTGAAGCACACAGAATGCAACGTTTGGCTAAACATATGCCTTTATGTAGCGTAGTTGCGTATAGGATGTCTTTGCTGTCATGTGAGAATGTGAAGGAATGAATGAGAAAGGAAAAACAATGTACACAGACCTAAACAGAGTCATTGCAATATAACATTGTGCAAGAAGCAGCAGAAAGTATGACGTCAAATAGCAAAGAAAGAAAGAAACATGTCCTATGTAAAACAACTATTATCTATAATTTATAAATTAATACGGAACCAAATCAAGGAAGTAGAAAAAAGTATCATAAACAATATTATCATGCACCTTTCGGTTAGGGAGAATTGTTCGCATAAAACCAAAGCCTCCTTGATATGGCATCGCGCTTCAGGAATGCAACCTTGCAACTGGTATCGCTGAGCTATGTACAGCAAACAGTCCAACAATTTGCAAGCAACAATCCAAGGAGAGACGTCGCTAGCCTCTGTAAAGGAAAGAGAGCAAAGGCACTGCTTTTTGAGAAATACGGACGAAAGATATAAGAAGAGAGTTTATATCTATGATTATCAAATTTATTTTCTCTGATTAATTCCTTCCCGATTCGCCTTTCATTTCCACAGCCCCGATTCTTTCTCCTTTTGTATCTCTTATCGTTCCCCCTTTCCTTCGATCCTCTTTACCGTGTCCCTTTACTTTCCTCCCTTTCCATTTCATTTCTTTTCCATTTCTGTTCTCCTCGTGGATCTTCCCCTCCAGTGGATCTTCCTTCCTCCTTCCTTCCCCTCCTCATTTCTACAACCTGGATCCTATTTCTTATACCTCTACTTCCCTTCCTTCCTATTTCATTTCTTCCCCATTTCTGTTCCTCGCATCGATGTTCCCCTCCTATTGATCTTCCTTCCCCATTCGTTCCTTTCCTCATTTCCACAACCTCAACCCTCTTTCTTGTCCTTCTTATTTCCTCCCTTTCAGTTTCATTTCTTTCACATTTCTGTTCCTCTCATCGATCTTCCCCTCCAGTGGATCTTCCTTCCTCATTCGTTCCTCTCCTCATTTCTACAACCTGGATTCTATTTCTTATACCTCTACTTCCCTCCCATCCTATTTCACTTTTTTCTCCATTTCGGTTCCCCTTTCTCTCTATCCTCTCTAAAACCAGATTTTGTGTTACCTTGTAATTTTTGATTGTCTTTTTTCGACGAGTTTTCTTTACATCCCAAGTGTAGCTGCATAAGATTTCGGAATATTTTCAAAGCTTCCTGAGCCAAGGACAACGGGTGGTAATCTACGATAAAATAATAGGCAGACGGTGAAAAAAATTATATCTAATGGTTTAGAACAACTTTGTTACTGTGGTCTTTTTGTCCAGTGACAAAGCCGCACTAAAAAAATTGTCTAGATTCTTATACCAAGATTCTTATACACAAAACACTTGGATACATGTACCAGACTATTTAACCTGGTGTTGTACGGTCAAACAAATTAAGTGGAGATCAAAAAGAAAGACTGTGAACTGTAAAGGGTTAAAGACATTAGAAATGCTGTTAAGAATTTAAAATCGCTGTGATTAAATTTCAAATTCAAATTACATGTCAACAATGAAATATGAAATTCTTCAGTAATAAGTTTTTGACCGAAAAAAGTTACGGTATGAACGTGGAAATAGTAAATATTTTCTTTTTGAAGGATTTCAGAAAATCTTCATTCATTTATTTTTGCTAGGATTTTTGTCTGCCTAGCACTCAAATTTAGGCTTTTAGGTGAAATCACACTAAATTTATTGAGCAAAACATTTGTGTTTCTATTGATGCAATTATGTTCTTCCGAGGAATAGCTTCAGCCACAAAGAGCCAGAGACTAGTGAAAATTCTTGACTGCAGAGAGCATCTTAAAATTTTTTTTCCTGCTTGCTTTTATGCAAGGAGTTGCTGTTGTGTTCCGGTCGCTAACAGTGATTAAAATGAACTTCATGTCGGAATTTCTACGGTACTATTACAATCAAGGCTAAAGGAGTACCATACTAAAAAATCATTTCATGTAAATAAGATATCCTCGCAGAAAGGATTTATTGTAAACATTTGTGTAATTACCTTGTCTGGTTTTATTTTTTACAGGACTTCTTTAACTATAATTTTTTACATTTTCATTTCAACAGAGCCCTTTTGCTCTGATAAAATTTGACCCTGTAGAAACATGTATATTATCATCATCATGAAACAATTCGTAAGCCAGCAGCTTTCATACAACGTACCTACTGACTGCAAAGCACATTGGGGGTGCTCACTTGCCAAAGCCAAGGTGAGAAGACAATCTGCCTTTGTGAAGAAGGCCTTCGGTGTTTTTTGCAGCACTCTAGCATCCAACAGGGCAGACTTTAATATACTGATTGCTTTTTGGTTCTGTTGAAAGACATAGTAGGATGATAAATTCTTTAGTTTGCAAATGGTGACATTAAAAAAATTTGATTTCTTTAAAAGGCAGGTATAACTGTCTTAATTTAAATCAAAATACATAGACACCACTGCCAAAGCAGAAGTATTTTTACTGGTTTTTTTAAGGATCTTAAGAAACATACATACACTTAATACACATTCATTCTGTTGAAGATTGAACGGTTGATCAAGTATTTATTGGTACTACAAGAAACTTACTAATGCAAGAATAAATTTTAGCAGTAATTCCAATATTTGCTTATTTGGTTCTGCTCAAATCTGTTGTCAAAATGCTTTAAAAGGAGACATACCTCACCAGCTCTTTGCAGCAAGAATGCTTTTGTAATTTGGAAATTCAGGCAAACTAGATTTTCAGTTTCGTCAACTTCACCAACATTGTTCAAAACTGATAACGCACTTGGAAAGTCGAAAATTTCAGTCAGCAGTCTAGTGATCTGGCAAGTCGCAGCTACTTTCATCTCAGCCTGATGCTTCAAAACATTTGGTGAAATCGTTTCCAAAAGCAAAGACGAAAGGGTGAATGCTTGTACAGCTGAGAATCGCTATAAAGCAAACACAATATCAAAAATGTTCCTTGCAAATCAAATATTGAAATTCGTATTACTAACTTAACAAGACTTGATACAATTATTGATCATACAAATTATGACAGTATTAGAAATTAAAAAACACATCAGAAAAAAGGTTTGAATTATAATAAACAGACTTCTTATATCTTTCTCTAACAACAGCTATGGTTTCAAGAAATAGCAACATTTCCAGAAACAAAGAAAGGGCCCTGAGGCATTAGCTGATATACGAGCAACATAACATAGGCAACTATCAAAAAACGCTGAAAGGAATAACTATCAAAACAACGCATAAAACAAATTTAGATAAGGAGATTCTTAGGAAAATAGCCCTTTTGGGATGGTTTTGCTGGTAAGACGCTGCAAACTCGTACCTGGCGATTCAAGGCGTAGATATGTCCAATATAGTATAGGCTCGAGGCAGATTTCTCGACACGTCGGAATAACCTTTGAAACTGAAAAATAATGGTTGTCAGAGACAGTAGAGTGGACAAATGCTACAAGATTTGTACTCACCTTACTGCTTTTAAATTCACATTACTCTTGTATTAAAATCTTTACCATTGAAAAAGATATATACTAAAATGTGGCCATGTCAAAGCATACTTTCTCCGGTTTAACTTTCCCCTGGACATCTAGTTTTCCCTTGGATACTTGTTGGGCGCCATTAAATCCCACCATGTTTATGATGATCATTGTAAGTGAAAATATCAAAAAATATACAACAATGGTGATACACCAACATTTTCAATCCAATATCATGTTTGGAGCCCAAAAACTAAAAGAATTCCACTCAGATCTTTGAATAATAAAACCACTCACAGAAGAACAGTCATTTCCTTTCACTGCTGATTGAGCAAGAGCAGACCAGATGTCCAAGGCTGTGTTAAATGACGTAATGTAATCCATGTCTCCCAGGGTAGGCTGTGGGAAATAATCAACAAGGAATACATCAGCATAGAGCTACATTTATGGCAGCAACCTGAAAAGTCTATTCAGATTGAAATACCATCAGACTGAAATACTATCTACAAAAATCTTAAGTTCTTATTATGAGAAGCATCTTAACAGGCAGATCTGAGATAGCACCCTTGGGATATTTGTAGTGAAAATATGGGTGATCAATTTTAAAAGGGGGAAGAACTTTTACAAAAACCTAAAAGTTTTATAGCTTTAGATTTCAGGAGCAACGTGTCCGTCTTAGACCATCTTGCGCAACCGGTATGCTTTACAACAATTTTTCCAAAACTGGCCTTATATCGTACTGTATGAAAAAACAAAACAAAGCCAATTTCTCTTCACGAAAAACGACAGCCACGGCAAAGAATGCAGGTTGTGTAAAAGCTTTTAAGTGCGATGATGCAGATGCATTTATTCAGAAGTAAGAAATACATTCAGATCAAGGCAACAAGCTTTGACAGCATGTAATATTTGAGATAAAGAAATAAAATTGAGACACGTACCTGATTGTGAAAGCATTCTTCGTCGTATATGACGGGCTTCGTATCGCAGTCCAGGCCGACGTAGGTGTCCATTGCCCCATTAATCACATTTGCGATACTCAATTTACGCTGGCAGCATCCGAGTTGAAAAAAGCCAGTTGCAAGCATATCATTGGCAGAGCTTGGATCATTTTCGCCGTCAGTGCATTCCTCAAGTCTACTGATCGCTTCGCTGCAAACCTGCACCCTATGTAGATAGCAGAATATGAATTCGTATGACTTCTAATAACCATTCTTGTCTTGATTCATATATTTGGTATTAAATAACAACGACTTTGTGGAGAAATGTTTACTAGTGCCTGAAGACTTCAAGCTTGGAAACCCACACGCTATCCTTACAAGGGTTCACGGACCCACAGATGAAACACTAGAAAGTTTGACAGCAAATTCGATCAAGCTTTGAACCTCGCAACTTCCTGCGCAGAAGGTTATAATCTGATAATTACACAAGCCCGCCTCCAACAGTTTAAATCACCCCCTCGAGCAAGGCCAACCTCAAACTTCGAGCGTGCATCCTTTGACTGACGTGAAAATCCGTAAATGTTTGGAATGCACCCAGAACCAAACTCTACACATCATATTTCGATAGTCTAATAAGAAGAGCTGTAAATAGTCAACAATCCCTATATCAAATTACATTGTTAAACAATACTGGGAGAAAAGGGCAACATTATTGATACTTATGTAAAGAAAACACTAGCGACCGTATAAAATGATACCGTTCATAGATAAAATGACACTCTCTTGTTCATAGAAAACTGAAATAACAACTCCTCGTCCGGTCAAATGTGCTAAATTACAAGTCTTTTCAACACGACATTATATGTAGCAGGCGGTAACAAATTAGTTTCTTATATAACATTAGCACTGAAAATTAAAGTGAATAATGTTTGTAGGAGTGAAGATTCAACAACATTATTCTGAAATCAAGGACGAGCAAAGATACAGCGTTACATTTAAATTGAGGAGAGGGCTGACGGGTAATGCCTCTCAAAGGCCTTAGTACACTGTGCAGTGTTTTTAGAAATTTTGTGTTATATAGCAGGATACTGCGGTATGCATCGAACATTTGAACAACGGATCAGGAAACAGAAATGAAACTACTACACACTTCCAAATTTAGAGGAAATGTTTATATATATACTGCGGTATGCATAGGTATATATAATACGTGAGAGGAGATGATATGGGAAAAAATAATGATAGGAGTAAGAAGACACGTGAAAGAGAGAAACCAATATGTACCTTTCTTCTGTCTCTATTTCATCATATGGTAGCCAAGCATACTCCAACATCGCCCATGCAACGAAATCTTTGTTTTTTTCATCATACGTCTTGGTTATAAAACTCAAAAGATCCTTCACAGCTTCTATGCAAATCTTGGACCTAAACATGAAATTTGTAAAATTGTTCTTATTTTGAATGAAAATGAAGTTGATAACCAACAGTTTGACTTGTAATGGAAATAGATGGAAAATCCATAAGAGCTTAATCAGAGTCTAGAACATATTACGGTTCCACGAAGGTTATCCAACGATGCAGTAGGTTTGTGGAAGGCCTATGCATAACTTGGGTATTCAAAGTAAGAAGAATTAACCGTTGTGCTTGAACTTTTCTTTTTTCCTGACAAAGCATAAAGACCAAACCATAGATGACTTTACATAAATCCATTTCTTTCCATTCCAAGAATGTTTTGTACAATAGATACTAAGAGAAATTTGAGTGAAGAAAATCGGCCAAAATTTCATCCAAAGGAAGGCTGATTTGAGTCTAACTATGATACTAGGTATTATCCGATTTTAGACTCGTTTTTACCTCAGTCTCGCTCTTTAGCACTGTCTTTTGAAAACACTTTCTTATGCTTCTTTAAACACATCATAGTTAGTTCTTTAAAGAAACATTTGAAAATGCTTCTTTAAAGCAACTTGCCCTTTCTAACATAAGAAACAAAACTAGATCCCTAAAAGAACAGCCTCCTCGGCCTTGCAGATCTAAAACATCAACCAAAAACTGTAATTTTGCAATTTGCAGCATTTACTACCAAATCTAGATTGTGTCAAAAAGTGACTACCAAATCTAGATAGTGGCGACATGATTTGAATATTTGGTAGAGCCCTGTCGTTGTTTTTCTAGCAGTTTTAGAATCTATCTGCATAAAAATGAAAAAATGTTATTGTGTAGACAGAAAGAGTTCGTTTTTTCCCTTGGACTCCATTAGGGATATTTTCAGTAGGCAAGCGGCACTTGTTGAGCAATCTTCCAGTCGCATTCCTGATGGACCATTTTTTATCCACAACTTGGTGCATATATTTCCTAGTTTAGAGCTTTTGATCAACGTTCAGAGGTTTTATACTCTTAACATTGTCAGATTAAAAGCTTTAGCATGTCTTGACAATGCTTGCTTTTTTCAAAGCCGTCTTTAAATTTTCAGATACTTGACAATCATTTCCATTGCAAAAAAGGAATTTCATTGCCTTAAGACTCGCTGAACGTGCGTGCTTACCTTCCTGTGGTGAGCTCCGTCATTTCGCATTCAGCTACAAACTTCAAGTCACCTTTGCTTAATCCTATGAGCTTGCTAGTCATCGAGCTGAAAATAAAACCGTAAAAGTGAGCACCTCAAGATTGTACCTCATTTCATAGGCACTATAGACTGGTACAAACAATCTGGTGCAGTTTCAGCCTGGCATTGATCATGTATGGCGACCTAATAGGATCACTCACTAATAAATACGTTTTTTCTCAGACTGCGTGATACTGTGACGGCGAACTAATGGAGCGTTTTTGTAATGTGCATGCAATGACCTAGTTTTGTAGGATCTCATGGTATTTTACACGTTTTAAGGGACCTTGGAGGGCGTGGCAACAAAAGGTTTTCCAGGAGAATTCGTTGCCAGAGCTGTCTCTACCTCCTGAATAGGGCTTAAGCAAAAATACTTGCAATATAAAGCGTCTAAGATCTATGTTCTGAAGTTTTATACTCTGAAGAGTGTCAGACGAAAAGCTTTAGTATGTTCTGAAATGTTTGCTGTTTTCAAAATCATCTTTAAATTTTGTACCACAAAAAGATTGCTTGAGCATAAAACGACAATCTAAGTGAGCCTAGGCACGAATAAAAGAAAGGACAGCCTCTACTCAAACCATTAATTCTGAGTCATCAGAAATTGTACTGTGTTGGCATACCGAATCGACCGTTTGTTGGCAGCAATGAAACGATTATTGGCATTACTTTCGACCTGCAGCTGGATAAAAATTTCTGATAAATTAATCCAACGCTTTTACTCTGAAGACTGCCGATCAAGAAGTGCCTTAAGGCCGGATCATACTACAATTTTTCCATCAAATTTTGATCATATTCCTCGGGTCATCATATTTTCATCATGGAAATCCGTAATGTAAACACTCTAAAATTTTTTTGATTGGTGATTAAAATAGGTTGATCACAATTCCATCGTGTAAATTTTTTCTGACTGTGGATCAGAAAAATTGCGTTTTCATTCAAGATCTTTAAAGATGCCAACATTCCTGACTTCCTCTTCACGACAAAATTGAAGCTCTTTGTCAGCAAACAAGAAGACATACTGCTAGTTCGACTCACTTAACATACGCAAAGTTATTTGGCATCTGTCATCTGGCGACAGGTTATCATAAAATAGAGAAGAAACATGCCAACCTTCCTTCAAATTCACTTCCTCCACGCGAAGCCTTTCCCTGTGTTTTGAACCAAAGATGAATTTGGTCTCGTATCAGCTCTCCCTTGGTCTGGCAATCATTATTGGCAATTTCACCAGACAACAAAAAACATAGGAAATCGGCAATTTTTGATAATGCTGCATCGCTAGATCCAGATTTGACCAAAGCATCGATCAGAATGTGATGCTTGAACACCAGATTTGTCTAGAAATCAGCAGGTAAAAAATATTAAGATCAAGAGGACTTTAAAAGATATTATGATATATACCATAACGAAGACGAAATATTCAGCATTTTGTTGAGCTTCAGTATATACTAAATCAAAATTAACGGTGCTATACTACCAAGGCGCTGAATGGTATACAAAACCTATCCAAATGCTGTTCTCTTTCCAATGTCTATTGAGTACATTCTTTTGAAATAAATTTCATACATTAACTCGACCTGATGGAAATAATTTTTGCTACCGACCATTTATCCAAACCAAATTTTCCAAAATTCCTAGCAACTGAGCATTTAGATAAAAAATATAAATTCAAATAGAAGAATTTCTATATGGCATCAAGAATTATAAACAATCAATTAACAGTAACATCCATTGAAGGTAAATTAAGGTGAAATCGCCTGTCTTTCGCTCAAGCAGTGATTTCCTAGCCTGAGTGCAGTCTCTGCTGTTTCCATCAAATCACTAAATGTATTTGTTAAACATTGTGGCTACTCCCCGACTTTCTTCAATTAATAACTCGAAAATAAAAGTATCTGAGAAACACATCGTAAAAATCTTTGTTGCAAACCTGTTGCAGCCTTGTCAATGCAGCATCTTTATTTTGTGATTTTTGCACCCAATCTTTTAGGTTTTCAATGGACTGATCAAATAGAGAGATGCTTGCTTTAAGGGATCCGTCCCTTTGAGCAACAACACCTAAATTATACGAGGTTACACCAATCCAATTGTAGTCTGTTTCCAAAACGTTAACTTTCCATTCTTCCATGGTTTTCAAAGCACTTGTGCCACTGGCGACAAGTGTACAACAAGTTTCGAATAGTTTGTCTCTTTAAAAAAATAAAATTTGAGGTAAATAAATTGTCTTGTAGCATCAACAAAACTATCAATTTAGATAATATCAAAAAACTGTCAGGCAAAGAAAAAAATGAATGGCAGAATAGCTGAAAAATAGCATCTAAAAAGCATGTAGAAATATTTCAATGGGTCCAATTTTGCAATTCAAAGTAATAAGTAATACATTTTTAAATCCTTTTGCTGCAAAAGCATCCTTACTTTTTGAATGATGATTTTGTGATACAAGTGCATTTCCCATCAACTTGCATTTTTCCAGTTTTGCTGAGCCAAGTTTGAAACAATTGTAAACACCAGGAAACAAAAGAGTACCACTGTGTACAAAGAGCTTTGAAAACAGTCAGCAGATCATCAACAACTTTTGAGTTGCTCCCATTTTTCAAGCCACAACTTATGCTCTTGAAAGCTACTTCGACATGATTCTTAAATGAGATGACCATATCACAAAGACCATCAATGATTTCCCAACAAAGCTTTTCTTGGAATTTAAGAAATTCCTTTATAATATCATAGATAACAGCAATCTTTGGATTAACCATAAAAACTTTGGTTCTGAACAATTCTTGGTGCGTTGCTTCAAGGCCTTGTAGGCATAGCTTCATTGTTCCTGCTTGCTTGCATAATGTTTTTGTGATTTTACAACTTGAAGTTGCTTTCAAAACAGAATGGCTTCTGTGGGTGTTAATCAGTGTACTGATCAAGGGTTTCAAATTTGAAGTAGAGTCTATTCCAATTAGGCCTTTGCTTAGGGTCTCGGCACATTCTATAGAGCCTCCGTGGATAAGTAGCAATTTAAAAGACAGTAATACAATGTACATGGATGTTCCTTGATTTCTGGCTGTCTCTTTACTATTTGATGGCAGGTTAACCGACAAACTTGCAATTATGTCTTTTAAAACAAAACTTGCTTCTGTATTAATAACTATAGACTGACTTCTGTTCTCATGTAAAAAGTTAAGGACCATATTTTCAAAGTACTTCTCAAATTTGTTCAGATCCTTTTTGAAATCAAGAAGGTATCTTAAACCAAGCATTCTGATAATAAATACGTCCTGAAACAATTCCATGTTCTTTGATGCTTTCCCTGCAAGCTTCCAATGTATCTCAAATATCTTTTCATTAATTTTCACTGTCTCTGAATCGATTCTCACAGAATTTGACTTGCTTTGCTTTTGTGCCTCCAGCTTCAGGAAGCACAGCATTTTTGTTGAAAACCAGGCGAATCTGGTAAGATCTTCAATCTTACTTAGATGAGCCAGAAAATGATAAAGCAGCTTTGTAAGTCGTTCGAGCTCACAGGCTTGTATATTGTTTGCAGATGTCCAATGATGGTATGCAGACGCAACATAATTAACAGCTAAAAAATGAATTTCTTGCATTACAATTGGATGTATTTTACTAAGAAATAAAAAATTACTACAGGGAAACATCAGGGCCATCAGTACAAGATGACATGTGATAAGAAAAAAGGGAAGAGTGCGGGAACTGAATGAAGATATCAAGAATGAAGATAGATGACCATTGTTTCGAAAATATTTTAAGGTAGAATGCAGCTCAAAGCCCCCTGCTTCTGGAAAAAAGTTTGGGGGTATCAGGCCTCTCCGTTTAAGGCGCGCGATCACGCGCGCGCGCCTTGGCACGCTCCCGTCGTTGCCGAGACGCGCAATAAATCACGCGCCTGGTTTATAAGAACCCTTTAAATCGCGCTCCTTGTGTTTTGATTTTGAATAGTTATTATACAAAGATCCTCTTTCGAGGAAATTGTTATTGCCAAGTTAAAGCAAAAACCTCTTGAATATATTTCCGGTCAATAACCAATAAACTGTCATTGTGATTCCTGATTGTTATAATTGGATTTAAACACAGTCACGCAACTTTACTAATTCATTCTTTCATACATGTGCATGGTGACAGACTTGTACTTCTGTTCGCTCCTTTTTCACGACAGAAGTTTTTAAATGACCAGTAATTCAAAGGGTCAAGCCATAGAGCTATCTACTTTTCGCAAGTATCGCAAGGACGAAGTTATCGGATCAAAGACCGAAAAATGGAATGGGAAGACAATGATAATTTCGATTTGGTGTAAAGTTTGCTCAAAACACAAAAGCGTTATTTTATCAAATCCTCTTTGTAAAGGAAGTGCCAGGAAAGCAATTGAATCATACGTCAATGGAACGAATTTTGATTCTTCCACTTCTTCTGACTCCGATTTTTCATCGGAATTTGAGCTGGACATTGTCGAACTGCAACAATAATGTGTTTTTTTGCTTTTAGTGCTCTATTAAGTAGTTTGTTTAGATATTTCTAGATACAAAGCATTTACATGCGAAAACGTGCCGTTTTTGCCTACTTTAACGTAAATATATTTTTTTGATAAAGCGCGTGCCTTAGCAAGGCGAAGCGCGCGTTTGAGCACGCGCCCGCTAAAATGCTCACGGAGAGGCCTGGGGTATATTACATAAATCTCTTGGAGCTTATCAATTTTAGCTGCAATTTGATAAGTGCCTATTCAAGAGAGGCTTAAACCAGGTGAGACTCTAATTTATATATTTTCTGAAAGTTGTCATTAAAATAGTTTTTCTTCTATGCCTTCTCACCTTTTTAATTTTGCTTTTAGAAATGAAACAGCCTGTTCACTTAAAATCATTTTCAAAAAAGGTTTCTGGTCATTTTAGTGTTTTGTAAAAATTGCCATGTTAGGGTTGGGGTGTATTTGAGCATGGCAGTCTATTAAAGAATGTGAGCTTTTTCTGGGGATGGGATCAATGGGGCTTTAACAAGTGGGCTAATGAAAATTTGCAGTATTGAATATGTTGATAACATATTTAACTGAATATCAAATATATAACATATTTCATATCATATATTATGAAAATCATAAATTTTGACTCATTTTCCATGTCAATAAATCAAGAAGAGTTGAAAAGGTAAGACATCAAAAATTAAATTTGATGATCTGACCAAGGCATCAGTGCCATTCCATATGAAGTCAAAACATTCAAATGATATTTTTCACTCAGAGTTCCCAGAGAGCAGTAGATTGGTTCTGCTGAGAAATGTCTACCTAAAGATTGTGAAACCATGAGCACTGAAGTTCCAGTTTTTTGTAGACTCTACTTTTCTCATTTGCAAACTTTGTTAACCTGAATATTCAAAATAGGTTTGAAATTTTTCAGTGTACCTAGCTGAGAATAGAAGTCTTGCTCTAAAACATGATAATTGGGTCATACTTTCCTTAATTGTGATTCACAAAACACTTGTTCTTAACAAACTTTTAGAGATCATAATATTAAATATTGTTTAATCAATATTCACTCACCAACTTTGCAAGCTTCAAGTAGGTGAAAAATGTCACCTTTAGCTTTCTCAAAGGCTTGTATGCTACATCGCAAAAGTTTTAATGAAAAAGTCTGGTACTTTGTCATTTCAGATCCATTTCCTTTGGCATTTCTTTCAGCAGGCTTCAGATAATTCTAAAATAATACATAATAATAATACATTGTGATAACAAAGCAATAATTCTTTATTTTTTGAGCAATTACCCAAATAACTCACAAACATTTAAATTACACATTATCATAAAAAATTGAGAAAGATCAGCACCAGAGTGCAACTAATTTTTATGTGTGGCGGACTATTTTCTGCTGTGAGTGATTTTATTGTAAAATAGCAAGTACAAGCCTTGTGGTGAGGCTGTGTGCAGGCTAATCTAAATTGTGCAGGCAAAAACTGTGCAGGCGGAATTTGAGGGAAAAATTATTGCAGTCTGGGATCAGCAAAAAATTTTAAGCCATAACCTATCATTAATTATAACAATTGGAAATTTTCCAAAGCAGAAACAAAACACATACATAAGCTGAAGTGGCTTGAGAACTTAATAAATAAGCTAAAAAGTGCATGTGATAATTAAATACAATTGTTATTACAAGATGACTGAATTGTTTGAAATAACAAACAACTTAAAAAACAATTAAAGAATAAGTAGTTGCGAAATTTATTTTTTTTAGAATAGAACGAAAACAAATAAAGACAAAATTGAGTTATTAGGCAAGGAAGTTTCAAGATAGTTTGTTCTGAAGGATCTATATTCCAGGGTGGAATTCATGTGTAAAAACTTCAATCACAAAAATGACCAAATGTGTAAACAAGGCCAAAAAATATGAACAATATAAAAAATTACTTGCTTTAAACTGGAATTTAGATTGACAGGCTTTTAACACTAAATCAAATAGGATCATGTTTTTAATCAAATAAATTTCATCGTATTGATTTAATCTCAATTTTAATCAACAACAGTTTTAATCTCATGTTAGCTTTTTTTGCATGGCAAGCAAAATATTATTTCAGCCTTTGCAACCTTGATGGTAACGCGAACAGCCTACCAAAGTAATATAAGTGTTTTGTACCTCGACATCTTTGACCAGTAAATGACTGGGTGATTCGTTTAAAACGCATCGCAAGATACGATCTCCTTCCATGTCGTTAGGCCTTATAATTTTTGAATTTCTTTGTCTTTGAAATCAATTTCTGGTTGTCATTCTAATAAACTTTTAAATCCATTTCACCTTGAAAAACGCACAATGGCATCTCTCTGGCATGTCATTTTAAGTAAAGCCAATAAATATAGGCCTAACCCGTCTTCTTCTCACTACAAAAAGCGCGCTCAACATTCGCCTAGGTAGTGCCCAGGCTCTTTCAAAATTTTTAGCAGCAAAGGAACTGAATGGAAAGCCCCGTCGTCACCAACAAACCTCCAATATTCGAATGTCATTGCAAAAACCTTTTAAATTTCAACTAAACTGGGGGGGGGCGTTTTTTATATTACATTAAACAATTTTTTGGCGATACAAAATGATGTCAGAATAAGGGGCCAAAAAAACAAGATGGAAAATATAAATCAGTCGAAAAAGCATTCAGTATGTTGTAAAATGTTTGCGTTTTTCAAAGACATTTTAAATTATTTTGCTTTCTTCAAGCTAATGTTAATTCACCATTAAGCCATTCAGATGTTGATTTGGTAGAAAATTAGAAATCGACTTGCCCCTTTTGTCTTTCGTAACACCCCCTATTGGATAAAATGTCTTTCACTGTCATAAAAAGTTTTCGATCTATGTTCTTACTTTTTAGATTTTGCAGTGCAATCGGAGCGAAATTCATAAGGGGCCCATTGTATTGCTTTCCATCATTAGAATGCAGTATATGAGGCAATACAGTACAGTTTGACAATAACCCCCAACCCCCTGAACTTCCGACGGTCCTGCTTTGAAAGGGGTCAGACGAAAGGCTCAAGCATGTTGTAAATTTTTTGCTTTTTCCAAAGCCATTTATGAAAAAATTTGAGAGAACTTAAGATCAAGGGTCTCTAAGCCCATGTTGCATTAAAGACAAATTAAAAAAGCAGTACGGTGGTGGTGTGCTGCATCTTAAGTTGATAAAAATTCAAGTGGAAGTTTTTTCATGTTTCGAATTACAACCACAGTTTGCTCTTTGCAGCCTTTTTTAAGTCTCTTGGAACTAAGGCTCTATGGTGCTAGATTTAAGTCCGGTTAAACTTAAAGTATTAAGAAATAAAAAGCTGAGTGTTGTAGTCTATAATGGCGTTTGTTTTCTCTTCTTTATACCTATGTTTGTTGCTTTCAGTTGCGTAGCTTCACCTTAAAGATAGAGGAGGGATGGGGTAGAGGGTCACACAGTACAATTTGCCGACTAAGACATAGATAAGTTTGAGGGTGTTAAGATTCCATTGAAACTTGAAAAAGTCTACTGAATTGTACTCTAAGTTTTATCAAGAAAAGTCAAAAGTAGAATGAGCCTCTTTGAGGATCGTTTTCCCAATTGATTTTATAACAAGATCGTAAAAATGATATTTGGAATTTCTATAAATGCTTCAAGTCATAGAAAAGAAACATTTCAACATATTGAAAATTAGAATGTGAGCATTCCTTTAATGTCAAATGCATCCAACATACCAAAATATGATGCTTTATGATTATTATCATATGTTCATTTATTTGGAGTTTATGAATCATTTCCTCTTCAATTTATGATTCGTATCTATACTCAACACACATTTTAATTCTATAAGGTATTTTAACTAGGGCTTAGTTAATTTGATATAAATAATTGGAAAAACTTTATGTGTTTTGAACATTTTTAAATTGCAAAAGATTTTAGAGAAAACTATGGCTTTGTCTTCCCATATTTCTATATTATTCTGGGACAAGATCGTCTCGCGATGTTGCTTATTCCTAGGTAACAACACAATGTGAGCAACACGCCATATTTTTCCCTTACTACAACTATCAGGATGCATTGCCCTCTTGACCTTCCTAGGATCGGTTAATCAAAACATACTGTCAAGTTATTTCGTTAACATTGGCTGATTTCCCGTTAAAATATGCAGGCCTTGTCATAGGGCGAAATAGGAAAATATAAACACTTATAAAGCAGCCTTGTATCATCATTTCCCAATAATAGAGGAACTTTTTCATAGGATCTGTTTACCTTTTCTCTCTAAATCTAGTTAGTCTATTTTCTAATTCATTTCATTCAACCGAATATAATATAGTATTAGTCGGCTTAGCAGTTTGCGAATAAACGTATGTATGACAAACAGGTAAAAAATCAATTAAGATAAAACGGACACGGTACAAGGAGTACGAAAAAGACAAGATTGCTTGCTAATGTTTTCAATTCTAGCTAAGCATGGCATCAAGTAGAATGAGAAATCACTACTACAGTACAGCTACTCAAAATCCTCAAGGGAGGGATGGAAGAGAGTTCTTATCCGCAAACAAGCTATCGACGTGTGACCTCAAAATGTCACTACAGACTATTTATTGGGACACAACTTCCAGTGCATACGCAACTCTGTTGGAACCTTCTTAAAAACTCTTTGTTTCTGCTGGGACTAAAAAAATTCAGTTATTCATATCTAAACTCAAGTCCAATTGGCTGGAGATATTTCTCAATCGCTGCATCCATTCGCTTATTCATCTCCTTGGTGAAATAATTCTTCCAATCCCCCACTTCCCCTTTTCGAATAAAGCTTCCAACTTTGTTTAGAGTTTTCCCATCTTGGATACCTTCAAGATTTACCGATTTATTTTCCTTCATTTTCTTGAAGCTCAAATGGTCAACGAGAAGCTTTAATTGGTCATCTGTGATATCCTTTTCCAGAAACTTCGCCACCTTCTTCACATTACTTTCCAAGTCAGCTTTCATTTCTTCGAAAAACAAGATACACACATTCGGGTGGTTTCTTCTTTTCCATGCTTCAGCCACATAATCGAAATATGGGGTGTAAAGCAACAGATTATCCATGAACAAATCAAAATATGTATCAAAATCACCCTCATAGCCATGGATTTTTATCAATTTTTCATGATGGTAAAACGAAACAACAGTGTCCTTTGGGTTCCGCAAACATGTGACGACTTTGCATTTTTCCAATATGTCATCAGGAAGAAGGCAGTAGGGAAGATGAGATTTCAAAACTCTTGGCGAATCCATTCCTCCGATTCGTTTCAAAGCACCTTCCAAAGGAATAGGTGCTATGTGTTTCATGCAATCAGCAAGTACAGGGAAGTCCAAAAATGGCACACGTTCACCGGCTTGGCGACTCTTTGCCTGACCGATGTCACAGTTGTTCTGGAGGCACCAGACGAGCTCCTGTGTCCAAGTTGTGCCATTTTTTGCAAATGTTAGCACGTACACATCGTCTTCCCGTACATCCCATTTTTGTAACTGGCTTTTGAACTTCTCGTAAGCAGCTGGAAGCACACAATGGCCAGGCATTGTTCTGATAAACCTCTGTCCATAATTTAGGAATGGATTTGGATAAACCTGCTTTAACCTCTCTGTTTCACCATCAGATAATGATAGTAGTTCAACATCTGTCATAATTCTCTCTCGTTTTTCTGATTCAAACAGAACAAAACTATACAGACAAGTCTTTTTGACGACCTAGCCAACCGTCTTGCTAACAGTCCACGCTCTCCAATGGTCTTAGGGCTACTGTAGTCATTCTGTGTTGTTGCCAAGAAACATTGTTGTGGTTTCTTCCGATATCCGATATCCGATATCATTATGTCTTTTATTCATAAATTCAATATGTTATTTGAGCCTTTACTTTAATACCAGGGGTAAAGTTGTTAGTTCAGCGCCTTTCTCTTTTATCAAATTATTTTGGCACAAAAAGAAAAGTTCTTAAAATTGTGTTCCGCTGAAATCAAGTTCTGAAAATTTTACCCCACAAAGCAGCTGAAGTTCGGAAGCACCCTCGATTAATACCATGGATGATGTTGATGTTTAAGGAAGTTAAAAGTGGTGCAAATACCTTGCTAAAGTTTCATTTAAACGCTTTTTTATACAGGCACCGCGGAGCGTTTAGAAAAGTGGGGGGTCTAATAAAAGTGGGGGGGCTAAAACCTTATAAAAAGAGGCTTTACTGGTAGTTTAGTACTAAATATTGGGCATTTTTGCAAAAAGTGGGGGGGGGGGCTAAAGCCTGTTATAAAGCACCTACCTCAAGGCCTAGTTCCAAAAGTCCCTTATTCGTAGACCTCAAATCTTCAAATTGTAGTACCAAAATTTCCTTAATTGTTCCTTAATTTGTTTTGACTAAATAAGCCCTTACACTTAATAGAGAAAGGGGCGAGACAGCATATGTAGAAACTACTCAATGAAGCACTTGAAACACGAATAGCAAACAATCTATGCGAGTATTGGCTGCAAATGAATAGAACCAGCTTTTTAGTTCTTGATGCTTGCAGTTATAATTTTTCAAATCGAAAAGTTCCTTAGGATTTCGTTTTTAGTAGCATAAGTTCTTTAAATATTTTGGCCTTCTACATGTAGGTTCCTTCTAAAGTGGTACCTTGTACCTCGAGTCTGTCTTCTCTCTTCTATAGCAATATTTGCCAATAGTGACTTAACAACCGAGAATGAGAAGCTGGTGTGTGTCTGTGTGTATATGTAAATATCTTTATGAACGATGGTTTGTAAAATAGTTTCTTTCGATGTTTCATGCACAAGAAGGTTTGATCGCATTTTTATGGTTATTTTAAAATTTCCACTTCAATATCTGGAAAGCGAGTAAAGATATTGCAAAAAAATTCAAGATAGCTTCAAACTCATGACCAACTACAAAATGAAGAAATCTAAGAAAAGCAATTTTGAGGTGGAGTTCTAAATCTAAGAAAAGCAATAATGACAGAGATATGATGCAAATTTTATTGGTTTTCTTCATATTCGCACTTTACGAACTTAGGTAGAATATACAGCCCTAGTGTTTTTCTTTTTGTATAATGTGTTAGATTATGGTTACATTTTTATTATGCCCATTTTTCAAGCAAAACAATTTATACTGTAATACATTGAATTAATTTCGCTCTGTTTTTTTAAGAAATCGAACTTCTGTAAAGCAGGAACTACTTCTTGGAATAACTAAATTTGAATTTTTCAAAATAATAAAGAATATTATATAAACAAAGAATTACTATATAACAATGATAAAGATGATATGATAAGAACTTTATAAAGATGATGAAGTTTAATTTTGCAAAGACGTAGTTAGGCAACTAGTTGTTATCTAAAGAGTGCAAAATAGCCATTTTTTCGGCACACGAGGACCAATGAAAACACAGTTGTTGAGTAGTTTGCATTGTGGATCAGAAGTGCAAAAGGAAAACGTCTGATTTGCAGCTTTAGCGTATATATTTAAGAATAATGATTTTCTACTGGATTACATGTTGGTTACCGCTGAGTCACAACTACACTCTGATTCTGTCAACATAGCGTGCTAATAAATGACGAATATAATGTCACGTGACTACCCCAGAATATGACGTAATCTCTTCAACAACAGTCAACTCTGTCTAAATCGAACTTCAAGCTTTTACTAATTCGAACAAAATTCTCAAACCCCTTACAAAATACCTCTATAATTCGAATCTCGTTAAATCGAACATTTTGACTCTTTATGCGGCTCGGGGCCTTATCTTCATAACAGTCTTTTTTAGCGAATCATAGTAGCCTTTAAAGGATCTCCAGTTTACTCCGTCAGCATACGAAGCATGTTTACCATTTAGATATCTGCCATTCAAATTTGAAGCATGACATGCTTGATACCACCAGGCTCCATGATACAAAACAGCACAGCTGCCTTTGTCGGTGTCATTATCTTGATCTTTAGTTGAAAATTTGACCCCATCTGCAAACGAAAACGAATCACCAGCGGTTCCTGAATAAGCACCTACGTGCAGTGAATATTGATCTTCTTGGCCGTCAATGTAGAATGTACTGTATTCAGCAAACGCTTTGTTTCCTTCGACATCTTCAAGATCAAATCGAATCATCATGTCTTTATTCTTCGTTAATCGATGAATATTTTCATTGCCAAGCCAAAACTCATTTCTTAAGTCTTCGAAACCTTCCTTAAATTCTTCCCAGTTTTTAAAGAAATCAACAGACCCATCAGTACGTCTCTGTATTACCGTCCAACCGCCCCCTTCATTTTCCATATCACAATAAACGGAGAAGGGCATGTTGTTATCTGGGTGAACTGTATAGATTCCGCTTTTTGTCTGCCCGCTTTTCCTCCACGAAGAACAGTCTCTTTCTTTGACGTCAAGAAAAACTACGAAAACGGATTGGTTTGCTAAGCCATTGTCATTTGCTGCTTTACAGGTATAGTAACCACCATCATCAAAAACTGGGTTAGTGAATTCTAGCGTAATGCTTTTCTTATCTGTAGACAGAATGTTCTTGCCTCGCATTACACCGTGGGCCTTTTTCCAGCTGAGCTTTGGAACAGGATTGCCAGTGGCATTGCACCGAACTTCTAAAGGAGCCCCTGTTTTTCCTGTCACTTTTCTAGCCTTAAGATAAAGTTTTGGCCTTGTGAGAACCGACAATTCAAATTCAACTATCTCTTTTCCGAGAATATTTTCGCCAATGCATGAAATTCTGCCATCGTCATTCTCCCTTAAATTTGATACAACCAGAGCACCTGTGGTAGGAAATGTGTATCTCGCGCCAAGCTGTTGCTTTCCAAAGGTCCATTGCATTTTTGGCGTAGGGTTTCCTTCAGCTTCACAAATTAGCGTCAAATTTGTGCCTTTCTTTTTGTAGAGGATTTTAGGAAACTTTGATATAATTTTTGGCTTTGATATTGATTTTCCTGGCGATCCAGTCTCACCCTTTGGCCCCCGGCTACCCTTCTCACCAGGTGGACCCATAACACCTGCAGGCCCTAAAACTCCTTGTTGCCCAACATCCCCTTTGGCCCCTTTGGCTCCGCGTGGGCCTGGTTTACCTCTTGCTCCTCTTTCCCCCTTCATGCATACTAAGGTCACATTCCGGCATTTTCTTCTATAGGCTGGTTGCTTGTCCCAAGGGTGCAATATCCCGTGGTACGACGATTTCAATATTCGCAACACAGAATCAACCTTCTCTTCGATGTCACGTCTTGACCTTCGTTTATGCTTTTCTGTTTTCTGGATATCATGTGCCAAATAGCGAGAGGCACTGTCTAGGCCTATTTGATTGCGATAAATTTCACGATTTTTAAGTTCCTCTAACTGCTTTATTGTGATAACCTGTTGTCTTTCCATCTCATTTATCCTTTTTGTCAAGACGCTTTCCGCTCTGTACATCCACAAATGCAAGAAAATTGTCTCAGCGACAAGTAGCCCAATTATTACGACAACTGCAGAACTTACATTTAAAATGGGAGGCTTCTTGTTGACCTCCATTTTCTGCTTTTGCTTTTGCACTGGAAGTTGATTCCTTATACTTTTTGTTTCAGATAGCAGTTTTTGGTATGGTTTCGCGTAAGCTGACTTGGTAAATGCTAATGGCCAACGATGTTTCGAAAGTTAATGAGCTGTTTCATTTGGAAGTGAAAAAAAGGAAACTTTGTGGTGATTTTATTCAGAGCCCGGAAAACATGCTGGCCATACGGTCATAAGGTCACACAGCCATACGGTCAATGACAGTGAAAAAGCCGTTGAATACATAAAGTAAAAGTACCACGCCCAAACCCCGCCCTTGTTTTTAGGAAGGTTCTCAAAGCTTGAAGAAATAGTTCGGAGGAAGAACTGACATAAATATATGAAAAGCTCACCATACCTTGAGAACAAACGGTTGTCAAAATCACTACAAGGCCTAGTTGAAAAAATGCTGTTTCTCAATTTTTAACCATTATGTTACAAAGCTGAAAAAAATACAACTACAGTAGAAGCTCTAAAAAAATTCCTAAAATGTGATGTCTTTTCAAGTTATTGAGCTATTGAACTTAGAAGCTATTGCGATATGCAAGGGTAACTCACCCCCTCCCCCCCTCACCCCCCGACACCCATTTTTTTCTTTAGTAAGACTATATGCCACGTCTGCATCAGACATTGTGCATTTTGAATAGGAGGTCAAGTTACAGCAAGAAGGCTACGAGTAAGAAAAAATAAAACTTTTTATACATACACGGAGTTTTTCTTGGAAAATGCCTAATCATACTGAGTCCTTTTAATCTATGCATGAGCCCTCTAGATTGTCTTCAGCTCCATTGATGGTGCCATGAGTAAAACTTTCGATCACATTTCGAGGGACAGCTCAAAATGCCCAAAAACTGAACAAATTCACATGATTTGATGAAATTCATCAAAATTTTTTCGCATAGCTAGAGATGTGAGTGTAGCTTAGGTAAGAGCTAAAATGTTTTCAGTGTGACAGAGACCAAGGGAAGCACGAGTCCCTGTACGTGGCAAATCAATCGATTCTTGCTTACCTACTTCTTTCAATCTGACTTTATTGTTTGAGGGGCAGGATATAACTTAAAGGTCATCAAGGCAGGGGGGCAACTGTAGGCAATTCTTGAAGTTAATTAACCTCACCCAGTTGAAGCAAATCTTGCGCCCCATTTTTAGAAAATGTGCGCCTCTTTTGATGTTAAAGAGATAATCATTTCAAGAGTCTAAGAACAATGAATCATTCTAAAAGTAGCTCTTAATAACATTTCTCGGACTAGGTCCCGATCCCATCTTTTTAACCATGTCAAACTGTATATTTGTGCAAATTTTCATACTTTTATCACGATTTACGCATTCATTCTGCTTATCTCCTACACTAAGGGCCCCGCAGTCCCTAAAACCGCTACTGCCCACATAGAGGTAACGTGCTGGGGGGCTCAGAGAGGGGCTAGGCCCCCTTGTTAATGCCGAGAATTGGCAAATTTCTACCTTTGCTATTGTTTTTTGCAACATTTTGGGCAAGAGCCCCCCCCCTGTTATTCTGATAGCACTACACCACTGGGCCCACAAAGTATGCGTTCCGAAAATTTTGCCCCTCTTTCGACTTTCCTCGTCGGAATTAGACGAAATACTAAATCAATCGGCAAAGAAGAACAAGTCACAAAAGTTTTACAGACACATAAAGACTCACCGAGAAGATCATTTACTATTGCCTTTATTATAAAGAGAAGGTCATAAGAGATATTGACTTTGAAGTATTTGTTTGATTTGCGACTGAGAGAATGAGCTAGTCATACCAGTGTGGTTTGCAGGAAAAAATATCCTTTATTTATTCAAATTCAAAAACAAATATATTGCTTGATAAATAAATAAAAAACGGTACTGAGAAGATGTACAGAGAAACAAGTTTTTGAACGACTTGACTCGAACAATATCCGATCGTTAAATTAAAGAAGCTGTCAATATCTGTAGAAAATTTTGGAGTCAGCCACCAAAGTCCCGAAATATCTTTTCACAAAGTTTACTTTAATTCTTAGAAGGGCCCCAGACATACGCCGCCAAACAGAAGCAAGGTCTGCAGTGCTATAGCGATGAAATTGCAAAAGATTTCGTAAACAGTGAAAATCAGGTCATGGGAAATTACAGTGATCAACTTGAGGCAGAAAAAGACGAGTTGAACTCATTTTCTTTGGGATTTCAAGCAAAGAAGACAGTGATTACGAAGAATGGATTCCATAGCACTTCCTATTCAACTAAATTGACTTCTGACTTGTTACTTTCTACTATTTAAACATTTTTGAGCTCACTCATTCATGATTTCCAATTACCTGTGAAAGAATATGACGTCTTAAAATGATGATAACGTCATGCAAAAACTATTAGAAGTAAGAAAAATAGTAATTCTATACATCCTTCAAAAGCACTGAATATGTGCTATGCAAGTATGGAATTTGGTTGACAAAAATAGTTGCGATAAAACAATTAATGCGGTTCAAAGTTGGTGACGTCATCAAAAAATTTGAATCCTGTTCAAAATATTTTCAATTCAATCTTGGATTTTAAATCTGCATAGTTTATTTAGTTGCAAAATGCAATAAAAGTTGAGGTCAAGTCTTTGGCTGATTTTTAAAAAATTTGTATCCATTTTCTGATGACGTCATCAAAAACAAGTAGCTTCTGGTGTAAATTTTTTTTAGCCCATCTTGGATTTGAAATCTCCATGGTCGATTTAGTTGGTATGCGAAATAGAATTTGAGCTTAGTCAGCTCGCTAGTTTTTTCTACAAAATTTCCAAGGATGATATTCCTGCCCGGCGTTCTTTGTCACCTCGTTGTCATATCGAGGTCAGTATATGGTTGTTTTTGGAATTTGGTGCAAGAAGTAAACACGTTTACAGGTTCAGGCGTAAAAATTTAAAATACAGATCTACTGAATTACGAATATGGTTATTTTAAAGACTATCCCAAGAATACTATCTCCAGAGCTGCTATCTGTCCTTGCAAGAATGGGTCATGGCGATGAAATTGTGCTTGCAGATGCAAACTTTCCTAGTGCATCAGTATCGAAGGCTGGGCCAGAACTGGTTAGTAGGCAGAACTATATTATAATTTAACTTACACTGCGATACGACGTAAGATTTAATGACTAAGTTATATTATGCAAATCTTTCCTTTCAGACTTAACTCTTTCGTGATTTCTTTTTATTGCAAGAAGTTTAAAAATTCATTCTTCCTTCCTGTTTTCAAATCACGTGTTTTACCTGACCTTTCCTGAGAAAGGAACACGCCTTCCTGATTGCAAGCAAAGGCTACGTACTGCTAGCTCAGTTCCTCGCTGAAAGCTTACCACAAAAAAATGAATTTGAGTCAAGTATTCAAAACCAGGACGGGAAGGTAAAACCACACTGTAAAAATAAAACTGCACCCACCTTTCTTACCCATGTTCCATCCTTACAAACTAGTGACTCCAACATAAACAGACTTGATTTTTATACCTGGTCATTGTAGAGACATGTTGCAGGGAAGTTTTTAATTGATTTTCCTAAAGATGAAATAAATAATAAGTAAAATACTTCACATATATTATGCTTAACTTTCAGGTGCGTGCAGATGGACATGACATTCCAAGTTTGTTGAAAGGGGTTTTGCAGTTGCTCCCACTTGACACATATGTAAAAGAACCAGTGGCACTTATGGATCCTGTCCCAAATGACAAAGCTGCTGGCCTAAAAACACCCATATGGGATGAGTATAAGAAAATTGTGAATGAATCTGAAGGAAAAACTATAAATGTCGAACTTGTTGAAAGATTTGCCTTTTATGAAAGGGCAAAAACTGCTTTTGCAGTTGTAGCCACAGGGGAGAGTGCGCTGTATGGGAACATCATTCTGAAAAAAGGAGCTCTTCCTTAAATTTGGAATTTGTGTCTTTAACTTTTTAAGCAAGGAACAGTTGATTTAACCATATTAAGAAAATTAATAATTGTCATCAACATTATCATCATCATTCTTCAATTCTTTAACCATGAAAATCTTGAAGAAATTTTCCACCATATTGACCTTTATTTTGTGATTACTACTGTTTGCTTAAGTTCAATGTTTTGATAGCATTGCTTTGAACTACTGATTATTATATGAATTATAGGCATTGATTTTGTGGGGGTTTAGATTCCTTAGGATTTTTTCACAGCATAACATTATTTAAGGACAGCAAAATCATTATATATTTTCTACAAAAAAAAATCTTTTTAGCAGCTGCAGTTCTCTATCAGCAGGACCTTTATGCCCAGATAGAAATTATGAATGCTTTGCAAAAGATACAAACCTCATAATTCTCATCTGGTATTTGACCCATTTCATAAACAAGATTGGCTGTGCATACTAGTTTCTTTTAAATGGCCCCTCAAAAAATGTCTCCTCAGTTGAAAGGAGTATTGATCAGAAAATATTTTGAAAATAAAGAAAATATTTGATGCATGATATCGTGAAGTTATTTGAATTAGGTGCAAACAGTGTAGTTTTGTATTTACTTTTTTTCAAATTTTGATCAACTGTTCTTTTCTTTTGAAAAACTCATTTCTGGAACACTTTTTTCACAAGCTTTAAAATTTGACAAAAGTTAAGAACAAATACGAATAAGCAGAAGGTGAGTTACTGTTAAAACATTATGTTAATCAAAGTTTGTTTGCATGTTTTTCAATTTTGGCATGACCTGTCAAAATCTTACCTGACAAAGGAAAGAATTCTGAAATCCAGTCACCTTAGGAATTAAATGTAGTAAAGGCGAAATTCAGAAAACCTTTGAAAGAGTCTGTTTCAAAATTTACGAGGTTATGCCTTTTTACAAAGTATCCCACTTTCTAGGCAAATTTTCAAAATTACCACCATAAGAAGGTAGCATATCCACTTTGCCTACAAGTGAGGCCCTGAACTGAACACCCAAACATGGCACTCGATAATTTATGAAAAAGTATCTACAGAGTAACTGTTATCAGTTTTGAAAATGCTTTTTGCTTGAACAACCAACCTAACCTTCCTTTGTCTTTAGTAACAGGGTTTTCTATACTTTGTAAATTGAAGTCAGTTGCAATTTTTAGCAACTCTTCAACCTATCCCTTGTTGTATACTGCCTCTTCATCTAAACTTTATCTTTTAAGGCAAATTCATCCAAATGTTTTCTGAATGAAGAAATGTTGTTTATGTTCACCTCAAAATGTTGGTTTTCATTTCAATCAAGTTTACCTTTAGTAAAAATATATTCAACTAACTGGAATCATCCTTCAGCCATTTTAAGAAAATTTGAAACAGTTCAAAAAGTACAGTGTTAATTACTTGACTAATATCAATTTGAAGGCTTTGCATTTTTGCCAAAATCAGTTAAAAAAACTACAATGCTTCTACTTGTTAGTTACATTGAGAAATACAATGGAAGAAAGACACATTTTTGTTCAATATACAACATCTATTGAATAATTTTACTGGATACTGCCAGCATTAGAGGCAATCCTTGGCCACAGTTCAGCACATTCTTTTGATACAGGCCCAGTAATTGCAGACCCTAAAATGAAAGTAACCATTTTATTCTTTTAATCTAAGAAACCTAGTCAGTGCAAATATCATACCGTAAACTTCAAGGAATACTTCACAAAATAAAAATTAACAATGTTCACACTTCAAATAAGCAGCAAAAACACCAAGTGATTGGGCTACTGATAATAGAATGCGTGAAATTAGTTTTGGCAACAGGGAACGAGAGAGAAGGCACTGGTAAGCCAACCACTAGCAAAGTTGCCACGGTGAAACGACTAAGCTTGAAGAAATCTCAAACAGCAAGAATTAACAATGGATAGATAATTTCAAATTGCTTGAAAAATGACAAAAAATGCCAAAATACCTTTCATTTCCCCTTTCACATTGACTACAACTCCAGCATTATCTACAAAAAAAGTTTAAACTTGGTCAATAACACTTAAAAAAGTCCTTTGCTTAAAAGAATAGGTGATATTAGGCATTTCATTACTCCTATATTGTGTTACAAATTATTTTGTCAATGAGTAAAACTTGAAATGTTCTGAATGAAAATTGTACCCTGACTAGTGTGCAATAAATACAAACAAGGAACAAATATGTCTTCAGTTAATCTTGACAGAAACTGCTTCAACATAATATCCAATATCTCTTGACAGATTTCCCATTACATTTAGCTGTTTTGAATGATTGCTAAGTTTAGGTTTAAGGGAGGTACCATTCAAAAACTTTATTGATTCTATAGACTTAAGTTTCATATTTGTCATATAAAGAATATAATAAGCAAATATATAACAATGTTCACACTTCAAATAAGCAGCAAAACCAATAAGTGATTAGGCAATAAGTTATTATTCAAATGTGTGAAATTAGTTTTGGCAACAGGGAACGAGAGAGAAGGCACTGGTAAGCCAACCACTAGCAAAGTTGCCATGGTGGAACAACTAAGTTTGAAGAAACCTTGAATATCAAAACTTAAAAAGGCATAATCAATCTGAATATGAGCAGAGAAAAAAGGTTTGTTAACCAATCAATGTTTGACAATTATTGTGTATTTTACAGTGTTTCTAAGGTCAAAATAACTTTCATTTAAATGATACATTTTAACCAATCTAGATTCAACTTTTTTCAGAATTGCTATATCACATCTAATTTTATCGCTATTGCCATTCAAAGTTTGGCCTAAGCTATGAACCAAGCAAAGAATCTGTAATGTAATTGGAAGCCTAGAGTCACATGGCTCAATCCACACAAACGGCTGTAGATGTGTAGTTGACAACAATTTCAACAAATTGAGTTTTAAGTGAACTGGACTTTATGAATTAAGTTTGTCTATATATATTTAATCTAGCTTTGTTATTTACTTGATATTGTTGCCAAACAAGACTTGTTTGGTAAACATTCCTTGCCATGAACTTTGCTTTTGCCTAAGGGGTCATTAGGTCTAAACATTCCTCGCCATGAACTTTGCTTTCGCCTAATGGGTCATCAATAAAGTATGTACACAGTTTGAATGTGACTGATATTCAATCAGTAAAGTCAAATGACTTTTCACCATTTTTAATTCGATTTCTTGGAAATATTAACTGCCACTGAGTGCAGAAAGGTGTTTTTTAATTTCACACTGACGGCCATCGCTGTTTTCAGAGGCGAAATGATGCACAATGAATGAGCAAGCTTGAAAGGTCCAAATTTCATGTTTAGGAATTTCTTAAGCATACGTAACAAATGCCTATTACACTCCCTCCCCCTTGTACACAAGCGTATGATTTTTTGTCGACTTCCCCCTCCCCCTGAGTGCGTACATACTTTATGGATGACCCCTAATACTACATTTGCTTTTGCTCCATTCCATCGCTAGTCAGATGGGTTGTTATCGTTACTGCTTCATTAGGCCTATTGGATTTTCATGCTCCCCGAGCAACATCAGCAAACACTTCCTGATGTCACTGGAGACATGCTTTGTTTTGCCTCTATTCTGTGTTTTGGCACATTCCCAGCCTTTTAACAGCATATTCACATTCTATCTTCAGAAATAGTTTAATTCATCATAATCAGCAATAAATATATTGATTCTACAGAACAAAATTTATCTTAACCTGAAAAACTAAAAACAAATAGCAAAATATTTAATTGATCACAAAACTTTGATGATAGTAACCAGAAAATTTGCCTGCAAGAAACTGTCTTTGGCATTCCATATAATTTGGATTAAATTGACAAAAGTTTTCCTTTACAAAATGCTATGTTTTCTTGAACAAATACCACTAGCATATATTTAACTGTTGAGAGATTTTATGTGGTATTTTAAGAGGGCTATATCTAATATTGGTAGTCCTTTACCATAAAAAAGAAATTACCTTGAAGGGTTACTCAATAAATTTAGATATTAAACTGACAGACTAGTTGGCTTTGTTTGAAAAAAGAGTGAATCTTCTTAGTATCAAATACATGTTTAGACCACAAGGCTACAATGCTTGTCAAAAGTCTTAGAACACTGACATCAGTTTGACAGGTTGTCATTGGAACAATGTTGGTTAACTATGAATCAGGTTAGGAATTTAGGAAGCTCTTTCTTTTGCATTTCTTATGACATTTCTCTAAATTATCAACATTGCTCTCGGGGGAACGGGGCAGAAGTAGAAATTTTCAAAAAAGGAATGAATGATATTAAATGCAAAGCAAATTGCTGGGTGTTCCAAGTAGTCTTTGCAGGCATTGTACTCTGTTTAACACTATATTTAAGCATTTTAGTATTTAAGTACACCACAGGAAATTTAAACAAAAGTTATTAGTTAATTGCTATATGGCCAGGGATAAACAAATGACTTGATCATATCAATATGAACATAAGGTATTCCTTTACTAGTTAGTGGTAATATTAAAAACCAGAAGTAACTGTGTTGTTTATATTACAACATATTTTCATATTTTAGTGTGAAGTTTACTTGAGGGAGGTGGACTATTGAGGAAAAGCTATATCCAGTGCTAGCAAACAACTGAAGAGTTTCACATTTCTATCTTCGAATCTGCAGCTTCCATTACTTCCGAACCCCTAGCATTTCAATGTCACAATTGGTCTTAGGAGTACAATAGTGTCAATAGTATACAAGTCATTTAATCATATATTATTAGGTATTGCCCGGAATTCATGAGAACATTAACTTCAATTCTCTTATTTCTTTATCAATATCTGAAATACAGGTAACAAGTGACTTGGTAACAAACACAATGAAATATATGCCGTTCTAGATCAAATATATATGTTGGAAAAATACCTTCAAAGTAAATGAAAACACCATTCTTTCTCCTGTAAGGTTTTCTCTGGCGAATTATAACTGCAGGCATAACTAAAAAGGTAAAGAAATGTAGAGCTTTATTTCACTGTTAAGATAAATCAACAGGTTTGGTATATACTCATGATTCATACACATTAGCTTTTGCAGTCCTTTGAGAACGAGTCCATTCCACAAACCAAAATCAATGATTTCATTACAAATACCTATTATTTTACATGCATTTTCGCCCCGCAGAAAAATTTTGCTCTAGCTCTTTTTGAAACTGAGATTGGATGACTCCATTTTTCGAATTCCTCTGTCTTCGCTGTTCCAATAAAACTTCGCTGTTCTGTCTTCGCTGTATTCAAATGATTCCGTTTTCAGATGACTCCACTTTGAACAGCCTTTTTGAATAACTTTGGTTTGGTATCAAATGACACCGTTTTTGAGCATATAAATTAATTTCAAAATCTAAAACAGATTCACTCGAGTCCCTTCTCATACGGAAACCGAGTAATGGGAACAGGGCCTGTAAAACTTGTATCTTTTTTGTTAAATTATTTTTTTCAAGAAAATTCTTCTAAAATTCCATAAAAACTTTTTGGCTTTTATGAAAACCTCATACGCTTTTTCCAACACACCTTCTCAAACAAAAATGACATGAAGTCTTCAAAAAAATCGTTAGGCCTCCATTTTATGGATCTCACATCATCGCATGCCATCACACGCCATCTCATGCCCAAAATTTTAAAGGCATGCGATTACCAGCACGCTGCCAAATTTCATATTACCAGGACTGCCAGTAACATTTAAATAATTCTCAAGGTAAGTTTACTCACTTAGGCCCTTGTTTATTGTGCCTAGCCTTGGGGAGACGAGCAAGAAAAAGTTTTTAGGAAGTGAGACAACCCTCCATCCTGGAGTCAAAAAGCATGCACTCATTTTCACAACACACATTTGATATGCACACTAGCATCCCACTGACTTTGTTACACTAGATGTAAAGCGACTTTGCTACACGTTTCTCAAGATAATGGTATCTATTCTATTCAACATATAAAGAATATAATAAGTAAATAAATAACAATGTTCACACTTCAAATAAGCAGCAAAACCAATAAGTGATTAGGCAACAAGTTATTATTCAAATGTGTGAAATTAGTTTTGGCAACAGGGAACGAGAGAGAAGGCACTGGTAAGCCAACCACTAGCAAAGTTGCCATGGTGGAACGACTAAGCTTGAATACGAACAGAGAAAAAAGGAAACATAAAATATACTTTTTCAAATTGGCCAGACTGCGACCAATTAATGTTTGACAATTATTGTGCATTTTAAATATCTTTAGAAAAATATATTGAAAAAAAAATTAATCTTAACTTATTGGAACAAAAGCATATATTTCTCAAGCATATATTTTTGAGTAAAATGACAAAAGTTTTTTAATACTTTTCATTAACTCATTCTAGTTAACGCAGACAAAGATTATTTTCAATAATTCAGTTTTTCCAGGCGTTATAAAGGACATGAGCTTATTATATTGAGTTTGAGCTTGATTAGTTTTTTTAAAATTTCATTGTGGAACAGTATGCAACTTTGGTTTCACTAGCAACTTGGTACTTCAGCTGTGCCAGAGTGCAAAGTATTTTTGTGTACAGGGAATTATTTTCTGCTGCTTATGCTTGCTTGTGAACAAACCATGTTGCAAAATAGCATTTAAAGCTGCGGGATTTTATTTTTAAATATCATTTGTAAGCCTTGTGGTGAGGCTGTACGCGGGGCTCACATGTGCTGCAACATGTTCCCCACACCTACCCAAAATTTACAGTCTGGCAGCTGTGCAGACTTCCACTGCATTTGCAAAAAAATACTTGCTCTGCCTCTAACTTTGTGAAGACACTGGCATTCAATGTTAACAAATAATGCACACCAGCTGGTGGGTCTTTGAATTTTCAGCAAAGGATTAATTGCAGTGATGTCCTGAAAACACTAAGATTCACATTTCTTACTGTACTAGCAGTAAAACCAGCAATTATAGCAATACACGAGGCTCTATATCAAGTTTAATTTAATAGTTCATTTCATTTACAAACTTGTGGATTCTTGTTTTACCTTATCTTCTAAAATGATTGAAATTACCTTTTTTCCTGAGTTCAGGCTTTCCCTTTTTGACGCTGGCGATAACCATATCTCCACTCGCGGCAGCGGGCAGTCTGTTCAAACGACCTCTGCATGCCTTGACTGCAATCACAAAAAGATTCTTGGCTCCAGTGTTGTCAGCACAATTGACGACAGCTCCGACAGGACAGGCCGTTGAAATCTTGAATTTGCTTCCTGCTCCACCTCCAGCTAAAATTCATATAACACAAGACTTTAGAAATTGAAGAAGTCCAAAAATCCTCTGGGTAGATAGGCCAGGAACCACAAGAGCGATTTGCAATGCAAGCAATTCAACAAATGGCAAAAAAATATTATTTTCTAAGGCTGAGATAATAAGATGAAGTTTAGAATCTTTTACGAAAACTATCTTCTCCAAGATCGCGAAGATAAACTTTGATTTTAGTCCTCACCTCTTTTGGCTGACATCTTGACGGAGTTTTAAGAAAAAGAGAGCACGAATCCCCGAGAATACACATACGAGGCTGCATCAATGCGCATGTGTTGTGCGTGTAGGAAGAACGACAACAACACATTGATGCTTTAACGACACTGATATATAAAAATTGTTCTAGATCAGTGTTTAACGAGAAGGAAACACAATTTTCTCCTTGTGATTTTTAGGAATTGCTGCACAAAGGTACAGAATCCAATTTTCAAAGAATAGCTTAAATTTCTTGTTGCACAAGGTTACTATGGTTCGTTCGTGTAACTTAGTTAGGGCCAGTTGCAAGCAAGTAAAAGTTATTAATAAATAATTTATTTATTTGTTTTTTCAAAGCTGGACCATTATTTAAACCAATTTTTAAATGGTACAGTGTTATCCAGTCGAAATAATCATATACTACTTCTACTACAATTTTATTGGGGTAATATAATATATATGAAGTGAAATGAGAAAGGGGCTGAGCCAAGTCAAAGCAGTACTGCAGCACACTTATACAACAATTAGTATTAATTTTAATATTTCCTGTTGTTTGTTTTATCTTTTTTGTGAGATTGCTTGCAATATTTAGGAATTTAGGGCCATAAGTTGTTTGAAATTCTTTATGCTTATCGCTTGAGTAGACAACATTAAAACTGCAAGTTCTAGTCATTGTGGATTAAAAATGCAAGTTCTGGTCATTGTTGGCAGGGGCCGCTTCGGTCACATGCTTCTTGGGGGGGGGGGCAACAAACCAAAATATTTTAGGTCACACCTTTTTTACTGTCAGAAAAGGCATGCTTACCAAAACAAGGAACACTAATTTTGCCAATATGAAAAGCCCATGACCAGCTTTTGATTATCTAATAAGGCAATTTCAAAATCATAGGATTACATCACAAAAAACATTGCCAAAATATTACCTCTCCCTAACCTTTTCTTGTCGAATTTAGACAATACAAAAACTATCCTGCTGAGAACTGGAGAAGATGTGTCCCCTCTTCCCCCCTTTGACACAGCTACTGATTGTTAGGTACCTTTTACCAAAGTAATATGGGAGATTGGTCCTCCAGCAGTTAAGGATACAGTGCTCAAGATTACCTTCTCTGGCAAAAATAGACTATGAACAAATTTTGTCAAATACAAAATGAGTTTTTGCAAATATGCAACTGATATTTGATTGTTTGACTGTTTATTGATTGATTAATTGATTGATTGATTGATTAATTGATTGATTGATTGACTGATTGATTGATACAGAGTCACTTTTGATTTAGAACGACTCTTTCAACTTTCTGAAATGAAATATCTTATGTGAATCTTTCAAAATGCATGAATTTGATTTTCATTTTCATTTGTCTAGGCAACTTAATTCAGAGTATTGAAACACAAGGAAATTCCTGAGATTTTTGCTAACACATCTGCTAAATGATTTGAAGAAAACTTGAAGAGATTGTTTCATTTGTGTCCTGTCCATTGCCTCGTGAAAAGATAAAGGAGTCAAATTGACATTATTTAGCTGCTATAGTATTGAATGTCAAAGTTGGAAAAATTATGCTCGAAGCCCAAAATATGAAATTCTGGCTGTTTTTGACCAAAGTTATTTGTTTTGAGTTTAATCTCCAACAATTTATCTTCTTTTCAGAAACCTTGGTGTCAATTATTGGCGGTTTTCGATGTGGTTTTATTTGGGTGCTGCTTAAGCAGCAGCTAATTAATTCATAGAGGCAATCTATACTGAAGGACTGATGCTATTTTCATAACAATGGAAAATCCATACCCAGTTGAAGTTGCAGATTATGGGCAAGAAAATGTTGACAATATTGATATTAGCAGTCTTAACTGCTGTAAATCATGTTCTTCTATTTTGCAAATGTCTGATGAAATATTGGTACAAGTATGCCAAGCATGTGGGTCTTTGCAGACTAAAATGGAAACAAGTCTTGTGTGCACTGCAGATTCCTCAAATATTAACAACAGAGTTTCATCAGAAGACAATATTCAAAATGGCTTCAAATACAGAAAATTCCTTGCAAAGGTTTGTTGTGTGTGCAATGTTTTGAAGCTTCCAGCTGAGGTAATTGATCAGATAACAACACTTGCAGACAGAAGTTTTAGAGACCAACAGCTAAAGAGAATGAAACTTGGAGCAAGAATTGCATCATGCATATATTATGTTACTAGGAAACAGCAGTGCCTGAACATGACATTTTCCAAATTGTCTTACACTGTACAGATTCCAGTACATGGTATTTATAAGTGCCTTAGAATGTTTATAAAAAGGCTAGATCTGGAGCCATTACCTTTCATAGGCTATGTTACCCACCTAGAAAATATTTCAAGCTATGTACCAAGAGCAAGTCAACAAGAACTTATTGAATGTGCAATGAGGATAGAGTCAGTGGTAAAGATCATAAACAATGGGACAGGCATATTGCCTGCAGCTGTAGCTTTGTTAAAGATTGCAGCAGATGCAAAAGGGACTCCATATAAACTTAGAAAGTTGTGTGAAGATACTTCTATAGGTGAAGCGCACATTGGTAACCTTACACGTGTTATAAGGAAAAGTTTGTTTGCTTTTGCAGATAAGATTCCTTGGAAGCCAAAAGGCCTAACTTTTAGGAACATTACAAAATTCTTACCGGAAATTTTGAGATATCATGAAAAGTTTGGTGATGAGAATGATGAAGAAATACCAGATGCAGAAGATCTTGTAGATTCTTTTAAAGAAAAGCTGCAGTTTGTTATTAAAATGAGGAGGGAAGGTAAAAGTATTGAAAAGATGGAGAATGGAGACCCAGTGCTGGTAATTATACAGGAACTCTTGGATAAAGGATGCGCAGAAGAAGAAATTTCGAATTATTCCCTTGGAATATTGTCAAAAAAGTATCTTGACTATGTTAATGAAAATGATTACAGTGATGAAGAAATTCCCGATGAAGACATAGATTTACTTTTGAAAGACAATGTAGGGACAACTAGTTTCACAACAAACAATTGCTAAAATCAACAACAAAATCAACTTTTGGTTAATTAATGTTTTTTGAGTTGCATAACAGGTATTTTACATACATGCTAGTAGCTTTTTTGTCATCTAGAAATCTCAAAAAAAGATTTAACAGTGATTTTGCACCAGTGTTAAAATAATTTGCTAGCCTTGCCAAGGAATACCGTTGGTGATAAATTTTACTTTTTTAAGGAAGAGGGGTTTTAAAAGAAATAACTTTTACATATTGGGAAAAAGTAGCAAAATTTCAGAGACTTTTTGATAAAATAGCCCCTTTGGGGGGGGGGGAGGGTGAGCTTTAATTGCCTAAAATAAAATGCAGGGGATTCCTTCCAAGAATTGCTGCTGTGTTTTATAACAACCACAAAATACAGCACTCAGTAGGGGTCAAATAAAATTTCTGAAAATTGAAAAGGTTGAAGATTTGAAATGGCATTTGGCATAAAATGTAAATTGAATCTTTGGAAACCCTAACAATATTCTTGTTCCACATCCAGGCTATAAATGATGCCAAAAATAATGAATATTTTGATATTTAAAAAGACCCCAGTTTCTAAAGAACTGGAAATTTTGAATTGAGAAATTCTCAAAAAAAACTTCTGTTTTGAAAGGGTGAACAGCCTTTTTTTATTAGACATTATATTGTTTGAAACTGGGACACTTTCAAGATTTCCAGGGGCTGTGGGGGTGTGACACCCTGCAAGAGTCATTAATCTGCATTTTGCAAGATTCCACAAGGATCTGTACTTAGTCTGATCCTTTTCTTGAAAGTTTGAAATTTAGACTGATTTCCAAGTAAATGTTTACAGAATCGGTAAATAGTTCTGCAGATGAACACTTTCTGATTTCTTCCTCTTAAAGCATGCCAGACTTACTATCGCCTTAGAGCAGCTATTCTTAAGGCCCATTCTTCCATTCTTAAAGCTTAGAGGGAAGGGGAAGCAGGGGGTGTAGTGCTATCAATATAACAAGGGGGGTCTTGCGCAAAACGCTGCAAAAAACAATAGCAAAAGTAGAAATTGGCTATTTTTGGCATTAACAAGGGCCTGAGCCCCCCTAGCACTACACCCTTGAGGGAAAGCCAATGTTACATTCAAATGGTTGGAATAAAATGAGAAGATTGCCAGTCTAGAATAATTTCAGACCATCTTGATCAGGAAAGACCGTTCAGATACAAGTTGTATTGACGTTAGCCTCAATGAGAAGAACATTTAATCTGAAAAAACTGTTAAGCTTTTAAGGTACCAAACTCGACAACAAACCTTAATTATCCCTATATTTCAGATTTGTTTCTTTCATCTTTAATTACTGCCTCTCAGTGTGGCATTTTTTATCTGCAAAGTCATGGCAAAAAGTCGAAGGTATGCAAGAGAAAGCTTTAAGACTGTTTAATGATAACAATTCTCAATACGAAGAGTTAATAACAAATTTAGCGAAAAATTATGGTTCATAGGCTGATGGTTCATACAACTTCCCTTTCAGGCAAGTCTCATTTAATTTCAATTATTTGTTACATGGTGCCCCAAATGTTGGAAAATGTTTTTCAGTACTTAAATAGTGATATTTTTATTCATTTTGTGTCCACCTATCTGGAGAGAGTCTTGCCATTTAATAGCAAAATTAAGAAAATTTTTATTCATTTTGAGAGGGGCAACCGGAAAACACTGTTATTCCGTCTCTGAAGAAGGCGATAAAAGTATCAAGAATTTGATGAAGAAACAGGAACGACTGCTGTTTTCTGCAGCTTCTAGAATATTTGGTATGATAACTCTCAAATTCAGAATTAAAATTGTAGATTTGTGTCAGGGATCAGCAAGCCACCCATATTTGGAAGTAAACGTTATGCCTGTGATTGGCCGAACCATAGGGTACTCTACCGATCCCCTGGTTGAACCTTCTAAAGAAAGCCATCAAATTTAGCATTAATGATTGGGTTTATACTTGCGTGATTTTTTAAATTTGTCAAGGTATTGAAAGTGAAAGAAAGAATAGAATTAATTAGAAACCATAGTATCAACTTTCATACTCTCAACCTTCCGCAGAAAAAAGATGAATTGGAGAGACCGCACCTTCATGCAACGAAGAAGCTACACTCTTTTTTTATGAGAACAACTTTATAAGAACACGAGCATCAAAATTGATCGAAGGTTAAAAACAAATTAAGAAAAATCTGGGGCTGAGCTGCTGTAAAATGGCAATTTTAAACAACGTTTTAACTAAAAAACGAGGACTTTTAGCCATGTGTGGGCGCTTTTCCGTAAATATTCAAACACCTCCCTAGAGCGAAAAAGCTAGCAATCGCACTGCCTACACCCTATTAATTTAAGAACAAGTTAAGTTGTAAGGGCAAGAGAAAATTTAACTATCACAACAAAAGATTTTGAAGAAGTCTATCGTTTTGAGAAACGTGGGGGAAATAGCGACGACCACGCCCCCCCCCCCTTCGCGGAGGCGCTGTCTAGATCCGATTTAGAGGAATCTAACATTCAAATAAATGGTTCAACTATAATAGAAAGTAAGAAGTTTTTTGTAAAGAAGCTGGGAAAAAAGTGAACGCTCTAGCCAGGATTGCTTCGTATATGAACGAATCTAAGCGAATTCTTTTAATGAAAACGTTCATGCTATCATATTTTAATTATTGTGCTCTTATTTGGATGTTTTGCAGTAGGAAAAGTAATAGCCGGATAAACCGTATTCATGAAAGAGCAACGAGAATGGCTCATGATGATTATGAATCAACTTTTGAACAACTTTTGACAAAGAACAAAACAATAAATTCTCATAAGAAAATTTTACAATATCTTGCGATAGAAATTTCAAAACATTTAACGGTTTGAATCCACCTTTTATGGATGAAATATTTTCCACAAAAGAATGCCCATATTACTTAAGAAACTCCCAATTCAAAACAGCGGAGCCACATTACAAAATATATGGATTTAATACCGTATCATACAGATGTAGCCAAATACGAAACTCTGTTCCAAACGAGATAAAGTACTCCCCTACTTTACAAATATTCAAGAAAAAATTCTCAGAATTTACATCATTCAATTGTACTTGTAAAATTTGCAAGGAATACGTAAGCAACATCGGTTATATTTGATTTATATTATATTTAGTATTGGTAATTTAAATTAGTTGGTTTTAATTAGCTTGCATAGCTAGAAATTGTGCTAACTTCAAATAAAGAAAGAAAAAAGAATTGTCAGAAGAAATAGTTTATTTCGAGGGGCAAATCACTCTCTTTGGATATCCGTTTGTTTTATCTTAAAATCCCCGGAAATCCTTTT